TAAACACTTCCAAGCATGTACAAATTACGAAGTACAGAGGGGCCAGCCAAGAATCCGTCACCAGAGACCCGGGAGCAGCCAAGCCTGCATTGTTAGGCGGGGAACAGGGGAGCCCAGACCCGGACCCAGCAGCTGGGAAATTTGGAAACGAATCCAAACTGCCACACCCCTTGCAAAAAAAAAAAAAGAGCCATCTTGATGGTCGTCAATGAGAAGGGGAGATCCCGGTCTCGTTTTGAAGGGGAACCTGGACTTGCCAAAGCGAAAGCGAAAAAAAAGGGTGCTCTTACGACAGGTCTCCACATGCCGAGGATTGGAGATCCGACCAGGTCTTTCGGGTCAGAGCTTTCAGAGTCGGCAATGTGGGACGGCATTGCGGAAGGAGGAGAGGGATTGTATTCAATTCGACAAGATTCGCGTCTTAAGACCTAATACGACACACTTTTTAATATTGATGGTTGCAAATAATCCTCTAAGGATTGGAGGTGGTGTCGAGATCGGCACTTCATTTTTTTTTACTGTTCGCGTGAGGAGGGCCGGAGGCGGACGAAAGCTCATGATATATCCAGTCGGCAGATTTAGACCAAGCCTCGTAAGAAGATGATGCGCACCTTAGCCTCTCCAGAGTGAACCGCCCCAGCGTCTCTTTACTCCGTACATGCATGGGGTGGATCCGGGAAATAGGAAATTTCGACAAGTCAGAAACAAAGAGGCAACAGCACTGACTTCGGGCCTGCCCAGCTGAGGAGTGTATCATAACAGCACAATCGTACGAAGCGCGACGTCGTTTACAAAGTAGCGTGCTCCGTAGTCCCAATTGGTTAGGACTACAAGTACGGAGTAGAACATGCACGAATATCAACGGGCCTCTCCGGGGTTAACTGCAAGTACGAAGTGGTCATCCAGAAGATGAGGGGCAGAAAAAAGGAAACATCAATTAAATCAGATGTTGGCATCAGATGCAATGCTGGGAATCCCGCCTCGCGCTACCACTTGCTCCGTTCGCCTTGTGCTAAAATTCTTGGGGTTTCTTTTTCCATTCGGTAAGCGAGGGTCCGTTTCTGAGACAGATGCTCACCAATGATTTGCTGAGACGCTCATAGACAAGTTGGTGCTGCTTGATGACGAAAAGGGAGCGTTTAGTTCGTTTGCCGATTGCTGTGGCGTACAGTTAATCTGGGGACCCGTCTCTGACTCGAAATTACACGAACTCAGTTGTCATTATGAATAGTTACTAGCAAACGTACAGCAAGCATTGATATAGCAATCAGCAGGGAGCTGCTGTCGGATCGTTGGTTCCGTCATGAAGAGGCGCATCGAACCGACGTTGGAAGCAGGCTGCCAACCAACGGCAGTGAGTGATTGCCAGGTGACAAGGCAGAAGAGTCAGCTGCAGCTGTGCATGAAGGGCGAAGCCATCCAGAGCCATTGAAAGCCATCCGAAGCCATGCAAACGCCAGAACGTGAGTTGGCAAACATGACATTTTGGTAATATGATCAGTCAAGCCTTCCAATCGAACTCAATTCAACCCCCACGTCTATTTTTTTGTTCATCGCTTGCCTGCTCCCAGCAAGCGAAGAAAGCAGTGGGGGGACCGTTTCCAGCAAAGCCGATTGGGGCCTTCAGAGAACCTCTCCGAACAATGCCTAGTGTTTCCAGGAGTCAATCGGGGACTAACATCGTCACTCACAATCATCTGACCCTTCTTAGTAGTCGCTGGCGATTGTCTCTGGAATAAGCGCCTCGTCTAGTTTCTGATCCGCCGTACCTGTAATACAAGCCATCGTTCAATCTCGATCGGGTCTTACACTTGGAGCACCTGAGCTGGAGTGGGTACGCTGTATCCAGTGCAACCTCTGCCTGTCTTCAAGCTTATTGTCCTAGCCATGATCCCTTAGTACCGGGGGAAGATAAGGAACAGAATGAATACACAGATAGTCATGTTTTGTTTGCGAGAACAAAATCCTAGTACTTCGCAACCCTCCTCAACATCTTGTACCTGTTCATAACGCGGGTGAGATTGAGGGGTCAAGCCACCATAACGACCTGGCAGCCAATCGATATTCTCTGGGGTCTCCAGCCACTGAGGTTGAGCGGTTCGGAGGGTTCGGAGCTCGGGCGATTGAGTACCGGGGGCACTGGTCCACAACTTCTGTCTGGGGTCTCAGGGCGGTGGCATCAGCGAGAGGTCAGGTGCTGACATAGCAGCGAATCACTGGTAGTCGCATGAGAGGAGACCCATTGATGTGCAGGCTCAGCACTGATGTAAACAGACGATAGCGCGATATTGCCTATTTCACTGGTTGATAATCACCGGGAACTGTAGGCAGCAACAAGGTTGGCCCCTACTAAGTTGATGGGGAAAAAAGGGCTTGACCATCAAGCTTATCCCCCAAGCTCGCGCTCCTTGACATAGATGCTTACGAAGTACAAGGGCAGGGCGACAAGAGGCAAGGAGGGAGTGGCTGGTAGTAATGTCACTACCGTATCACGAGGTCGTCTCTTGACCGCTGATGTCGACCACGCACGTCTCAATATCGAGGATGGACGGGATGAGAAACTGGCCCATCTGATTCGATCGCAATTGAGACTCGCCAGCAAATCACCGCTATTAAACACATTCATAGGTGATCAGGGCCGTGTCTGCGAGGGCTCATCTGCACCGAGATGACAGGAAATGGAGCAATCATCATCGCAATGCCATCCGATCACTTGCCAATTTGCAGGTGCTGGGAGGGTTGGGAAAAAGGAATAATATCCAATAGCTCTTTTGTTTCTTTTCATTCCCGTTCATCGATTTCGCCGTCTATTCCGTCGAGTCACGTTCTCTTTCCTCGCCCACAAGAATGAGCATAATGGGCAGATCGTTTCGTAGTTGGACCCCGTGATCTTCTCAACTTGTGGGACTCGGCCCTTATAGCAGGGGAAAATATAGTTTAGATTCAACGACCGTTTACTCCCGGGTCAACGGGGTCGTTGAACCAAGGGATCTCTTGATTCACTCATTCCTCCAGATTGAAGATATTTGGACGTTTGCGGGAAGACGGGACCGTCAACCACGACAAGGCCCTCGATCTTCCCCAATCGTGACCTGTTAATCAATGGGGAGTGGGAAGGTAGTCACGATTAATAAATACCCTGACTGAGGAGGGCTCAATTACGGTATAACCAACTACCCCAGACTTTGTTTGCTTGAGGCCTGGTTCTCCTCATCAGTTTCCCATACACTATTGACGACGGTGTTGTTTCTTCGCTCATTAACCAAATTACTTGGTCCTCTTTTCTCCATCACCTGCGCACCTAAACCGATGGTTAGGGCTCCGAGAGGCTTGTGCCACAGCGCCGGCGCAATTTGCTGTTTCGTCCCGCGTCCCGTGATGAGCCTTGCCTTTTCCTCCGGCCCAAGTGGTATCGATGAGAAATCCGTTCATGCCCAACTGGGAAGGGCTCAACTTTACCAAGTACGGAGTACTAAAGTGACGCGGCTGCTTTGGGTCGTAGGACCGTTTTCCGACAATCAGGAAAATAACGGTTTCGGCTGCGGGACCACCTTGTCAGGCTTGGTACCTCCTCGCCCAAGTTGGCAGCAAGTGGTTACCAAAAGAGTTGACAAACTATCGTAAACTAGTCCGAATTTGGAAACCCCCGTCAAGCGAGGTCGGTTGTTCTCCTCTTCGGCTCTTTCTTTCTCCTAAGTGAGAATAACGGTGCATTGGCTATCCTCCCTCAGCCGCGCTCAGGACCTCATCGCTTGCTTCCCCGAACCAGAGTTTGACTCGCTTTCCTTTTGCAAAGCAATACTTCGTACCCGGTATCTTCTTCCCCTCCTCCTCATACCATTACGACTTCGCGGTGAAGTATGGTTGTCGCCCCCCATCAACCCGAAAAGTTCCGCTGCGAGTCTGGGGGGAAAAAGAAGTAAAAAAAGCTCGTGTCAAAGTCCCGTTAGTCTAGTAGTAGGGCAGTTCAATTGATTCGGTTGGCTCCCCTACAAAATACTCCATACAAATATGTCCCAGCCGATCAATTCGTTTCCATTTCCTTTTTTTTGCCTTTACGGAGTTCGACAATACTACCGAGGCCCATAGCTCCACTGTTCCGAGAGATGAAGGCCCTTTAAATTTTGCAGTATCCACGTGCTTGGAGAACGGAGATACCGCCACCCAATCCGAGCATAGGTATTATCACAAGGACCACACAAACGTATTACCGTCGGGAATACTCTGGCCTAATCCCTGGAGGGGGCGTGACTCTTCAGCGTCCCACCCCGTTCTCCACCCCACCTTACGAAAAAGCCACCCCCTTCCTTTTCGACACCCCCATCCACATCCACCCCCCATCATTTCGCACACCCTACGTGTCGACATACACCCCACACACCTCCACCCCCTGTACGAAGTAGTGGGATACGGAGTTGCTAGTGACTTCCCCCTCTCCAGCACACCGCGTCTTTTCACTTCCACTCCGCCGCCCACACACCCCAGAAATAGTGGGTTCAGCTTCTGCTAGCAGATCCCCAAGATAGATAACTACCTTCCACCCCCATCTCGTTCCATATTCTTCTCCCCTCAACCCGCATACACCCAAACCACCACCTCGCTCGCGACTTGGCCAAACTGCGAAATACACATCTTTCGACATTCCCAGTCACATTCGTCGGACGATAGCATCGAATAGAGGAGCAATTCAAACTCACCGACGTGGACCCGTACCCTAATTCACTTACAACACTGGCCCTCTCTCTCCCCCTCACTACCCGCCGGACAACACAAGCGCACGACCAAGACATCGTCAGCCATTTCCCGAGATCAATCTCGAACTCTTACACTTCGCTCCGGTGCCGATATTCCCTCTGTGGAAAACGCTGCGTGATCGTTCATAACTCGATCACCTACTCACCCTTGCCTTCGAAGCGCACTCTCAATCCCAAACCACCATCACATCACCTGAAAAGCGTGCGCCTTCTGCTCGGTTGTTCGAGCAGTCTCATATCGGCAACATGCCTTTCCAATTAGATACCCCCGTCCTCACTGTGGATACAGGAATAATACACAAGGTTGACGCCGGAAACCCACAAACTCTCTACGACATGTGGATTGGTGAGTATATTAGCCCCAATGGTTAAAGTGTCATTTATATGCTAATCCATTACCACAGTTTTCTCCAGATGTGCCGACTCAGTTCAGAACGGCAGGAGATTGGAATACATGTGCTGGCGCTACTGGAACAGGGCAACCATGCTTCACCGACCTGAGCTTGCCCCGGCTGGCGTTTCCCAGAGCGCTCCCCAACCCATCCCCTCAGTCTCGTCAGTCCCCGACATGCCTCAACTGTCTAAGAGTGTCGATTCGGCACCCGATGACGAGGCTAGTGACTTCACAGCACAATCTTCCCCCGTCGACATCCGACCAAGGATATCTCGACAGGACTCTTGCGGCAGCAGGCGAGACAGGACTCCCAGATCGGAAGAGTTTGAGAAGCTCTTCGTCTCGATTATCAAGGAACAGGAGCTTCCCCTCCGCCAGAACGCACCTTCTCGGCTGCCACCAGCGGCAGCTCTCGAGCGATCGGGATCTACCACTACCGAGGAGGCGGCTTCACAAGCCTCGGAGGACGCCATCTCCGAATCCTCTCCGCAGACTTCACCCGACACATCCTTCCACACCACCACCGTTACTCGTGGCTTCCACCCAGCGACCAGCATAACGTTCGAGCAACCCAGCAGCGTTCCCCAGAGCTCACCTAGCTCAGTAATGGAGCCCACTTCGGTGCCTCACAGGAAGCACGTCGGCGCCACCTTCACCTGCGGTGCCTCTAGCTCTTCGAGCGAACACCAAAGCCTCCCCATCAGGAAGACATTGCCCAAGCCGAGGCAGCCCGTATCCTTCCAGATCGGAACTTCGGGTTCCTCTGAGGAGGAGAGTTCTCTGACCACGGCTCTTCAAAAATCCCGCTCCGGTGCCCTCTCGGGCCTGAAGAAGCAGGCTACCGTCCAACACTTCCCTAGGACTCATGAATCGAGCGCTATTGAGGATGACGATACCGAGTGCGACGACGTTGACGAGAGCGCCATCGATGATGACGAGGACGACTCTGATTGGGAAGATTCCGACGAAGTGAGTGGCAAATCGAGCATCGATGACAAGACGTATTTCAAGCGAGTAGACTCCACTGCCCAGCTCGTCTCTCGCCGCTCGCTCATTACCCTTGGTCTCGAGGCCACCGAGCGGCAAAGGCGGCTTGGCAACCCCGCGTCCCAGTCGACCTCGGCACTCCATCGCTCTCGCGGACCCCAGGCTGGCCAATGTACCATGGGATCCCCCAACGACTCCGACGAGTCCCCCTTGATGATGAAGAGGGGCAGCCGCGTCAATCAGCTCAAGCCCATCAGGGAAATCCCCAGGACGGGTGCGCAGCCCATCGTGGCTCCCCCCGCTCAGAACCACTTCCCCGCCGCCCTCTCCCCCCGAACCACCCGACGACACATGCTCGCCACCGAGTTGACTGAGTCTCTCCGCCGACACCTTCTCTGGGAACGACAACAGAAGTCGTCGACCGCTAATGCCGTGCTCAAGCGGAGGCACACATCTCACGACGTGGCGAACCTCAAGCAATACCCCGAGAAGGCCTACATGGACAAGTCGGAGGATGCGAACTCCAGCAGCTGGAACCAGTACTTCACGAAGGAGGCCTTCAACGGATACCACTCGAAGGGCTGGTAAATTTGCGCCTAATTTTCTCGCCCTCTTCTGGTCATGCCTTAAAGAGCCATGACCGTGTACATTTTCTCACGAGATGACGGGCCACGTTCCTCGATATTCCTCGAACATGCATACTCTACAGTTTAGCGTTGCATCTACTTTTATGGCGAGGCTGCATTTCAGCGACATTTTTTTTTTCCCCATTATTTTATTGGTCGTTTGGTTTTCTGTTTTTATTCGCACCTAGGTGGCGTTTATTCTTTTACCACTCTCATATGATACCACGGTCTGGGGTCTTCATGGTTTTCTTTTGCGTATCATGTTTCTTCTTTCTTTTTACCAAAGCTCAGGTCTATACGAAAGGGTCAAAGTCATTGTCTGGGGCGACATTGACAGTTGTGTCTTATTATGTGTCTTTTTTTACAAAAGAGGAAGACGGGTCATACCATCGAGGGCGACCTCGTTGCTTTTTTTCGACGAGATGGAGGATGCGTACGGAAGGGGAAAAAAGCAAATGAGGAAAAGAAAAGAGGCAAGAAAGAGGGCTTAGAGTCAGTGGATGATTCAAGAGGCAGAAAGAAAAGCGAGGAAGATACAGGGATGATGGTGATGATGATGAACCGAAGAAGAAGAAGGAAGAGGAAAAGAAAAAAAAGAAAAAGAAAAACGAACTTAAAACAAAAACCCGCCTAAAGATCAAAAAAGCCCTGAGCCCAAAAAACAATGGAAAAATGACCTAAAGAGCTATCAAAAACATGAATAAAACAATGATAAAAAGAATGTGTGCCTGCCTTCCTGCTTGTGAAGTGAAGTTAAGTGCTGACTGCAAGGACATGACGGATGAGCCAACTACAATTGTAATCACGAGGCCAGAATACAAAGGAGTCGGATTCCAGTATCCAGGGGATTTTTACATATCGGTCTGCCCTGAAATTAGTTTACAGTATAATAGTCAATTATAATTATTCTTTTTCAGTAGGCCACATGCTCCTGTCACGCCCATTCCTCTCCTTCGCAGGCGGCGGAACTCAGGACCGAAAACAGCGAAAGGATCATGGGAAGGGGAGGGGGGTGGCGGAAACTTGGGGGCGACCAAACCCCGGAGAAGGGACACGATTGAGGGGGAGGTGGATTAAGATCTTCCTTCTCCCTGGTTTCGGTAGATGATATATTGGAAGGGGGGGGGGGGGGGGGGGGGGAAAGAGGCGGGACGGGGAAAGGAAGACGACATCAATCAATTCTTGAGGGCGTGTATTAACTGCCGCGGGTGTAATATTATGGTTAAGGCGTCTTAAGAGAGGGGCAGGGAAAGGAAGGCATTTTTCGGCGCATTGCCGGGGACGGCATTGGGGGCCAAAGAATAGGCGAGGCAGAGGATTTTCCTTAGCTTCCGTCCTTTGTTTTTTGGTGGAGGCTTCTTTTTTCTGGGCGGCTTGTTAGTGAGAGGGGTGAACTGTTGGAAAGGGTGTAAGAGATGACTGTCAGGCGCGGATCCGGAATCAGGGGGACTCTGGGGAAAGCAAAGGCTCCGGCGTGAGAGCATTGCAGTGTTACTTTGGAATTTACTGAATCAATTCGATGGTCTCTTGTTTGCACGACATTTCTTCAGAGATTCAAGTCGAAGCGGATTGGTGGGAATTGATTGTGGCATCTCTGGAGATCAACGGAGTCTACTTGGGTGGTTTACAAGTACGAAGTTACACTTCCCTGAAGAGAAGGATGTCCTCGAGGCGGTTTGGGGAATGGTTGTGTCCGAATAAGGCAAAGCTGGTTGTTTCTCGCTTTTGCTCGCATCTTCCTTCTTGTTCTTCTTTTTCTTTCCTTTTCCTTGCATCTTCCTCTCTCTTGCTTTTTTCTCGTCGGATTAGGAACATGACATGACCCTGCGGACCTGCACGTCGGCTTACAGATCATCTGGGGCAAAAAAAGGCGGGCGGGAACCGGCCGGTCGCACAAGACTCGGGATCGTCCTTTGGGCTTCTCACACGTCATTGCTCACGCAATGTTAGCATAACGAGACTTCAATGCTCGGAGGTTTCCTGGGCCCCGTATGTCTTGTACGGAACGAGAGGAGACCTAGAGGTATCGGATTTGATGGGAAGGATCAAGTGGTGAGAGAATTGGCGGGATTTAGAGTACGTGCTAAGATATCACTGATGCCAAATGCAAAACAACCTCATCCCACACACCTTTACACCACGAGGTGTCTCGAGGGTTCGACCGGGGAAGAAGCAAGATGCAGCAGTGTGACGTAACGATCAACAATTAATCCCAGCTCTATCGTATTTTAGATAAACTCGATGGGTGGATGAAGGGATGCGTAGATTAGTTTAGATGGATAGACCACCACTGAGACCATGTTGGGCTTTGATGATGAAGAGAGACCCAATTGCTTACGGGCTCACGTCATAGTTTGGTTAAGATGTCGATTTAGACTCAGATGTTTCATCGGACGACCTCGAGAGACACCGAGACCCAGCGTAAGGCAAGATGGATAGCTTGAGAAAAGAGGGGACAGAGACACGCATTTGATGGTACGAAAAGCAACGACGTCGCTTCTTGTCGGATATGCAGCACTAGCCACCAATCCGCCCAGGCGAGTCGAAGTGGATGGATGGATGGATGGTTTACTTACAAGCACAGGCGAAGGCACGATGACGAAAGGTGGTGATGATAATGATGATGACAGGTGAAACCAAGGGGATTGTTTCTACGCTGCATGTGTATGTATCCCTAAGCAAAAGACAGAAAAAGCAAAGATCCGATGGCGGGCCAATTGAGCGATATGGATGGACAGCATGAATCTTCCAGGTGTTTACTTCTTCGGAGGTAAGTGTGTGTGATGATGTGTGGTGGATGGTGGATGGTGGATGGTGGATGGTGGATGGGAAAGGCCAGTTTCAGCAGCCTCGGATTGCTGATTGACATCACATTGAGCCTCGAATGCAACAAATCTTGGTCACACAGGGAGGGGATACACAGTCAGAACATGACCATTACGCCCCGTATTCCCTCTGCCTTGTTCCAGATGGCGGTGGTGATCTCATTTTGGACGGTTCCTGAATTCACTGACGCACACAAAACACAAAAACACACGCAGCGCCACGTTCCCAACCTCCGAGGAAAGTCTTAAGAGTATGTCGCACCCCTCCCCCAGTGAGCCGAAGAGGGCAATGATCAGACTGAAAATTCCAGAGAATATTCCTACACCCTCATCGTATGCATCATATGTATCATGAGGACAGATGACGACTCAATGGCATTCGTATCATGGTTCCACGTTCCTCGGGGGCGGGAAGGGGAAAAATAAAAAGAAAAATAGACAAATGCAGATTGCTCTTTCTCAGCAGATCATGTCGGCCTCTGCGTAACAGTCGACTTAAATGGGAGAGCGGCTGATTGATCACCCCAATGCAAGTGCCGTTTCCGTCCCATCTCTGGGTTGATCCTGTTCTGTCCTTGCCAGAGTTACCTCTGATCCGACAAGAAGGCAGAGGAGGGAAAATAACGACATCTCGCCACTTATCACCAGTCACAGGGATTACGTTTTGCGCGAACCAGAAAAAAAAAAAAAAAAGAATAACTCTATGCCGTCCCGCGTGAGCAAGAGCAGCCTTCAAACGTCAATGCAAACAACGGCTTTTGTTGAGAGCCACATGTTGGAAACTGATCCCGTGGTTGTGGTTGAGCCTTTTGGTTGTTGGTTTACGCCTCAGCCTAACAAATCGAGAGGGAACTAGCCAGAGGGAACAAGCCAGAGGGAACAGGCCAGGGCGAACACACCAGTGCGCAATCAACGGTACGGTCTGTCCAGCCACGGCGTGTCCTCCCCGTGGGGAAAGGGCTTTGACGAACGGGCCTCTTTCTGAACTTGGTAATGGACCGCACATTTCCACAGCCAGAAACCAGACCCATGGTCAAAAAAGCATCCAAAATAGGAGGGCCCCTGGATCGCTGGCATGGTCCATTTCCTTGATCCTCGACAAGTCCCGCCCGTTCCCCGCGCCTTGGAGGAGTCACGAGGTGGCAGATCTCCTGCCGGGGTCTGGTCTGAAGCGGTTCCAACGCGATTTTTGCTTTGCCCTGATACCGACCACCGTTTCCTTCCCCTGCCGTCTGTTCTTTTACCTCAGCTGCTTATTTATTTCGTGCCCCGGAAAAAGGAACAAGAATGCACCTTGAATGGTTTTTTGCATGTGTTTGTTCTGTCCTTGGGAGTGGTTAGTGTTTGTCACCGTTTTATATTTCGTTACTTTTTTCAATGTGACAATCGGGATTGCATCAGTGTGCCTAGGTCGCGTCGCTGCAGGGCGGTTGCGCTGTCTTCGTTCCCCTTTCCCTTTGCTGTATTGTTCGTCTCTCCTTTGCCTGAGCTGGAGTTGGCGTCAACCTGATACCTTAGTAGGGCTGGGGATGCTGAGTTGTACGCTCAACTACTTCGTACAAGGTGCAATCAACTCTTCATCACACTTCACACCATACACCCCGCACAGCTAGGCGCGGGAAGACATATACATCGTGGCAGATTGGGCGTCTACACGCCCATGATAGATAGGGCTGTGGTCACCGGCGGACACAAACTTGACGGGAGGCCAGAATGTGAAGCCAGCAAAAAATGATTGATCGAGTAAATGCCACACCCACACCCCCTCTGTATCAAGAACAGCAGAGCGGTGGGGGGGAGAAAACCACAGGACGACGTTGCTTTATCCAGAAGACCCAAGATACAGGAGTATCATCACCTGGCCAGTTGATTTTTTTCGCCTTTTTTTTCGCCTTCCTTTCCCCTCTCTTCAACACAAGAATGGAGTGGAAATATGCACACTACACTAGGGTAAGTGTACACTCAGTCCAGCATTCCGCACTGCGTCGGCATATGCGGGTCCAAGCTGGACGCAAATCCAATGCAGTGGTTAGCTGATGATGATCATTTGTGCGAAGCTATTCCCTTATCACCCACTGCGGAGCGAGAAAGTATGCACACTACTCCCCTCCAGTTCACATTTGTCATAGGGCCAAGTCATCAATCGTTGAGCGCGGCAAACAGCACTCATTCGCCCTTCCTTGATTCCCAATCTATGCCATAGCATCATCTTCACCAGTGACCAGGCTCTCAAGAATGTGTCTTCAGGCCTCACCCCCTTCCTCGAACTGACGCCCATCGATCCAAATTCTTCTTCCCACATGGCTGCCAAATTCCCGCCCGTCTCACCGCCTTCAGCCCCCCCAAAAGCGGGAGGCGGACGAGGCCATCATAGCGGGGTGGCGTAGGGGGCGTGTGCGTCTACAATGTCCAAGAACGATGGAGAAAAGCCTCAGAACGCCCCATCTTCAGCGGGTCCTTCTTCCAGAATCCTCAAGCCCCCTCAACCCCCCTCTCTCATCTTCATTGTTGTTACGTGGGAGATTTCGGAAGGCGGGGACTTTTTTTGGTTAATTTCTCGTCTGTGGCGGCGCACATGGCAATAAATTTTTGGGGTTGACGCATCTTTGATGCCTCACAGTGAAGGCAGCGATATTTTTTTTGTTCTTTTCCTTTTATCTTGCTTGGCCCTGGCAACCCCGCGTCGAGCAGGCGGGGAGAGACTGCAGCACGGGGAAAATAACGGGAACGCCGAAGGGAGGCGTCCAACGTCCAACTGCTTTCCCCCGTTTTACGTTTCGACACAGGTTTTACGTTTGGAGTTATTTTTGGCATCAGCTCCCTTACAGCCTGGAAAAAGCCTCCTGCTCCGTTGTCCCTAGTGTGCGCCACCTCTTCTTCATCTCAACTTGTCAAAGCGAGTTAAACTTACCACACAGCATTTTTTGAGTTTCGAGCTCCCTTCCCAGTCGTAGAGCTTAGTTCTCCACCACCGGTCAGCTCCGTTGCTTGTCAAGGATGAGCTAAGCCTAAGTACAAGGTAGAGGGCCACTTTGCTGGAACGAAAAGAAGAAAGACACAAGAACAATCCTTAACCGCGCCTCCGTAACTCCCCCAAGGGCACCGTTCCCGAGGTGCTCGAAACTTTTGGGTACCTACGAACGCTCTGATACGGTGCACCGACCGTCTGTTCTCACCCGCCCCCGTCCACGGGAACAGGAAAAAAAAAAAAGGCACGGGATTGATGCGAATTGATGCCGAGCGTTTCCATTTCTTCTTGCGGCAAAGAAGAAACAACGCATAAGAAAAGAACGTCTGTGAAAGAGGGGCCCTGTGGAAGGAGGTGCATCGTGGATGACTCACGAGGACTGCGCAAAGCGCTGGTTGTTTCGATGCCGAGGCGCCAGCACTGCAAGGTCTTTTCCGCATGGCTTCTAGATCTCTCTGATGGGTGTTCCTTTGTGTTAGTCCCAGAGGGGTGAGCTGAAGGGAGGGGTTTCGGCCTTGGGATGCCTGATGTGAAGTGTCATATGTAAGTGCATCTCTGAGGGGAAATGTAAGAAATATTCCAATATCCCGCCCTCTCTCCTTCGAATGAAGAGAGATTGGATAGGATATCAGGCAATCGAGTAAACGGGGCTTGAATTTAGGTCATTTGTGCCCAGATTTCCATCCATGGGATCCATTGGCATGCATTGGGTGCGATCGAGCAGAACCTGCAGGTACTCTCACACTGATCGATGAAAAATGGCTGGATAATCGAATCGCTCATGCCTCACACGCCCCTCCAAGGAATTGAAAAAAAGCCCAAGAGCAGTCGTTCATACTCCCCAGCTTGTACGAGGTATTACTTGTACCAGTAGGAATCTGTCCGCCTCCCCCTCCGCGGTCCCCCGCCAGGTCACGCAGCGGGCAGAAAAAGTGAAGGCGCTTCTCCATGTCTGTGGGCTGCCCGTTTTCTCCCGCTTTCATACCCTTCGACACGCCCCCTCCTTATTTTTTTTCCATTTCGCTCCAGCTGCAACGGACACGTCCACGTCGCCAATGTTAGGTGTTCACCGCTTTTTGTGAGTTATATTTGGTCGAGGGCGGCGGCGTGCGCTTCTGCCTTATGCTGTTGCCATGATTGTTCTCAGTGATTTGTAACAGTCTAAGATGGGTGACCACCGGTCGTTAATATACACAAGATCGGCGCCGAGAGTTCTTGTGACAGCGGAGCCGGAGGGCAAACGGAGTGGAGAGGATGCTAGACGCGGTTCCGCATAACCTGCCATATCTCAAAATTTAGAAACTGGATAGTGCTCATTCCCAGGTCGCGAAAAGTCTTGGAGCTCAATGGCCTTGATTGATACATGAATTCAATTTTTGAAGGCGGCGATATGCTTCCCGCATTACCATCAATTGATGTTCACTGCGGGGACTTTCAAGACCAAATTATAGAATTTATTGAGCGTTCAAGTTCAGGTGGGGGCTGAAGACACGACAAGGATCGATCAATTGATTAATACAAAGTGGTTCCAAACGCGCGGCTGATAAAGATCTCCAGCATCAAAATCGAATCACATTCAATACACGTTCAACGCTCGTAGCGCTTTGGCAAACCCGCCCACTCAGCGTCTTTTCTTTTTTATGTTACGGCCATTCCTCACATGGCCTCTCTCCTGCGATTTGTTTCTCGGCTCGGCCGTCGTCCATTACCACCGCGTGCATTCTCAAGCCAAGGCTTCGAACGCATCCCTCCCAGTATAAGAGTCGAGGAAGAGACGCCCCCAGACTATCTCGCTGCGCGATATTATCCAATTCGCATCGGCGAGGTCTTGGCATCTAGGTACCAAGTGGTAGGGAAGCTGGGCTACGGAGCTACTTCGACCGTGTGGCTTGCACGCGACTTGAAGTGAGTCCAGTCCTTCCACTGGCGCGGAGAAGCTATTCGTTTATTTACATTCAAATGTTGACAAATAGCACCCACGATCACGTCGCCTTGAAAGTTTTCATACGTTCAAAGTCTCTCGGAAGCCAAACGGACCATGAGCTGAACATCTACAAGAAGATGCATAATGCGCCGTCTAGGCATCCCGGCGCGACATGCGTTCGAACGCTTCTAGACTCATTTTGGATATCAGGGCCTGACGGAGAGCATCGATGCCTCGTACACCCTCCTCTGTGGGATAGCGTGAGGACATTACTTGCCCGGAACCCAATTGGTCGGCTTCCCGTACCTGTTCTCGGCATAGTTCTGAAGCGTCTGTTCCTTGCCTTGGACTTTCTGCACAGTGAATGCCAGCTTATCCACACAGGTATTGATCACTTCGGAAGGGGGCTTTACACTCTAGTGCTCTTTCAACTGACAAACCCCGTTTTAGACATCAAGGCCGACAATATCATGTTCGGCATCAAAGACGATACCGTCTTCGAAGAGTTTGAGGAAGAGGAATTGCGAAACCCGTGCCCCAGGAAAGAGGTTGAAGGAAGATGGATCTATACGTCCCGGGAACTTAGGCGTCCTAAACGTTACGGCCCTCCAGTGCTCTGTGATTTCGGCTCTACGGTCAGCGGTGAGAAAGAACGCCTGGGAGACGTTCAGCCGGACATTTATCGGTCGCCGGAGGTGATTCTCCAAGCACCGTGGCAGTACAAGATTGATATCTGGAACGCGGGCTGCTTGGTAAGCGTCGCATGGATCCTTCAGGCCATGCCGGAAGCTAAACTGTCCTGCAATAGATCTGGGACATTTTTGAAGGCGGGCATTTATTCTATGGAACGGACCCCGAGCATAAGTACCGGAGTCGGGCGCATCTTGCCGAGATAATGGCGCTACTGGGCCCACCTCCGCCGAAGCTACTTGCCGGTGGCACAATAACCGGGAAATTCTTCGCAGAGGACGGTAGGAAACGCCTCAGCTACAGAAGAAGAAAAACCGAGCTTTAATTCGCTGACTTATTACCTAGGAACATTCCAAGTCGGAATCGATCCACCGCCATCGGTCTCTCTCGAAGAGCTGGAGACCAACCTGGAAGGAGCCGAGAAGGAAAGGTTCATGATGCTGATGAGGAAGATGTTGCAGTGGTTGCCGCAAAATCGTAGCACGGCAAAGGAGCTGGCGGATGACCCTTGGATCAACGGAATACTTGGTGGTTGAGTTATTCGGCGTCGGCACGTCAAGCAGTTGACGGAGCATCTAGATGTAAAATACTGTATGTACAATGTTACGAACCCAGACGGGCATTAACTTGGTACTCTTCTCACATCCCGGCAACTTCTAAAAATAGTATCCGTCGAGACATATTGTACACGGCATCGGGGCTGTTCACGTATCAACCGTTAACATTTTAGACCGAAGCCGAAGCCGACCGTATGAGATGCCGATTACGACGTAGCATTTGGAGTCGGTCAGACCGTTTCTCGTACGAAAGCCTAAACGCCCCGAGATATCTCCAGACGCCACCCATCCGTAACCCGAGGATCAACGGTGTGCTTTGCAAACTGTATTACAGCACAAAATGACATCAATAGATAATCAGCGCCAGGTCTTACTTACCGAGTTTACCACAGGGCAGTGCTAGGGTTACACCATGTGGTTGATGGGTCCCTAGTCCATCAAGATCATCCACCCCCTGGACTAGAAGGGTTAGAAGGGCCATGCCTGCTACGGATGGTTCCCCGAGAGCAGCATTTTGGTGGGTGAAAAGATCACTGCCTACTGTAGAGACTTAAACGAAGTCGACCTAGTTCCGCCTCTAACCAGCCACTGAGAGGGAGCCCAATGATGGGGATTTGGAGCCATGAGTTTAGTTGAGTTTAGCAGTGGAGATGAGAGCCAGGATTCCCTGGAAGCTGCGTCTTCTTTCCTTACCAATACTAAACTTATAAGCACACCCTCTGTAAGACTGTTCGGCTCTCTAATACCAAGCCGGTTAGTTTGTCAAGGAGTCCACGAGCGCTGCTCCACTGCCACGGTAATCTATTAAGATTAGTGTAGTGGTGTACACTACTCCATAGTGTAGTGCAGTGAAGTGAAGGAAACTGAGTGCGAGACTTCCACGAGATGACCTGCAATGCAACGTCTTAACTGGCCCGCGTGCTTTTTAGCTAGCCATAGTGCCTAAGTAAACTAGTCTATAGTATACGTAGTTGGTGTAGTGCTGTTAATGCCTACTTTGTGGATGTCGGAGTCGATAACTCCGTTGTGGTGCTAACGGCCGAGCCAATCCATCACCGTTGCCGATATTGGCCGAAGGTTCCGAGATGTCCCGAGGCGAGAACCGACCCCGTCCAGACTTCCGGCTCCGGCTTTCTTTTTGCCAGCAATTTCTTCATTCACAGTCTCCTCTTGCCTTCCCCGCCTTTCATGGAGTCAGAGAATAGGCATCAATGATGCATACTTCGTAGTCTGCACTACTCGAGTCGGACCGGCAGAGAGGGGTGGTTGTAGAAAAGGGCTGGCACGCATTCTGGTCGTTTGCCGGCTCGACTGTCGAGGCTTCGTTTCTTCCTTCCTCAGGCGCACCACTTAGATGGACGTATCAGTCGTTATGGAACTGACATTTGCCGATGGTCTCATTGGCGCGCAAACCGAATATCCAATGAACAAGACTGGATCAACGATGACACGCCTTGCTACGATGAAAGAGGTCGCCATCTTGCGGGACTCTTAAGATGGCGGCAATAACGAACAACGACGATCCTTTTGCCTTCTTGCTCTCTCGAATCAACCATCTCGTACGTATTAGCAGGTGAGGCGTTGATGCCTCGTAGTTCCGTGCATATCCCGAAAACGGAGATCAGAGTTCTTTCCAATTTCTCCGGAGAAAACTACCCACCGTCTTCTCCGCTGCTAGTCTGGGCAGCGCCTCGCTTCGTCTTTTCCCCTGTCACTCCCCACAAAAACGCTGTGCTTGGAGAGGCAAGAATAACACGGCAATACCGATCGAAGCCTTGCAGCGTCGTAATGGTATCGAAATATCGCCGTGAGGCTATCCATGCCATCGGACCTACTCCAACACCTTCTATATTTGCCTCCCCCAGCCCTCGCAAAACCGAGATTTTGACTGACCAAAGACATCCTTGATCGGTCCTACTGGGGTGGGCTCTCGCTTCTCCAAAAAAAGGGCCTCTCCAAAAAATGCCCCGACCAGGGCCTGAATTGGAGCGCATCCACATTCCCGAAGAGAGTCCGGGCCCAGCACGCCTCCCCCCCCTTCGATGTTACGAAGTAAAGCCGAGGAGGGAAACGGCGGGATTAAGTGGATATCCCCGACCTCTCACAGCCCTTCCTTTCCCTCGCATTTTGGAGTCACCTCGGTGGGGACATCTTCTGCGCTGCGGGGATTTTGATCATTTCCCCTTTTGGGCAACGTGCATACCCTTCCTGGCAGGGTCTAGCGTAGGAAGGGTTTCGGACTTCAACAGGCTTCTAGAAGGCATTGGTTGTTCGAAAAGGGGGGTCAGATGAGGAGAGAGAGTTTTCCTTCCTTTCGGTCTGCTGCATGACGCTACGAGCATTTGCGAGGTGTGACATCTCGCGCATTAAAGTTTCAAAGGGGGATTTGATGAGAAAGACTCCTTCGGAGATGTGGAAGGAAAAATGATGTTATAATAAATGGCGTCTAGGCGTCGATGGCCTCCTTAGTGCACCTTCGGAACTACAAACAATAAGCGGGAGGTGTGAACCAGGTTAGCTTGATTGAGGCATCAATCCATCTGGACCCTAGCCCTAGTGCCATCAACTTCTGAAAAAAAACTCAAAAGCGCCTCAGTTTTAGACTCAACTCCTACCGTTTGGGCACCTGTCAATGGATAGGTGGATGGCCCTGGCCTGGCTGATGGTTGAGATTGATCGATGCAGGTGTTTTTGCCAAGAAGCTCCCCTCACAAAGGCCAAAACTCTAATGGAGCAATCCCCAGAGTCACGAGGCCATGGCTGCTCGGAGGTAAACTCCCAGGCCGGTTAACCCTGGTTCCAGGTGGCAAAGTGACGTTTGACAAAGTACGGAAGTTACTGACAAAATGGACTTCGACACCGAGCCACCTCGGTGAAGGAAGAACGAAGGATAGAATGGAAAGAATTGATGGGGAGGCAACTTGCTCCGAAGGAGGACCCGTTTTTTTGACTTGCCCCTCCCAGACCGACGGAGAAACTGGGAAGGCCCGATCGATACGGTTTTCTTTGTATGTTCATCTCAACCTCTACGAAGCGCGCCCTCGTGGCAGGAATCCACCCCTTAGCTCGAAGTTTAATGCCCCGGAGATGGGCGTAATACGGGCAAAGCCTCATTCGTTCGGGGTCCCTTTCCCTCCTTGTTACGCATACACCATGAGGGCAAAAGGAGATCTCGTTGGAGAATCAAAGGAGGGTGTCGATGTAATGATCCTCAGCTTCGGATATCGTGCGACTGCTCCCAGAGTATTACGTGTTTCTCCGTCCTCGCTGAGCTTCGGACCCTAGTTTTTTTTAGGATTCATACCAAGATTGCCAACGCATAGGAGAGAGATCAAATGACAAGGGCCGGGGGCAAAAAGACCCCAGAGAATATGGGGAAGTGGTCAGTGTTGACTCGTCCGCTATCTGATACTACGAAGTAATACGCATACACATCCCCGAAGGGCTTGGCTTCAACAGGCATGGAAATCCTTCGAAGTACGGGGTAATTAATTCGTGCGGATTCCCCGCAAAATAGCGCGGTGTTGAATTTATCGCTTGCCAGGGGGAGGGAGGGCACCGTGGCGGAAAGTCTCAATGTAAACCTCCTGGCTCAATCCTGCCATGCCATTTTGACACAGGTGAAGTCTAACTTTTACTTGCCGCGTACGGATCCGCAGCTCTGCTCGGAACCGCGGCGTTGGAGCTAAGCGAAATATCACAAGCTCTGTCGGAGAAGTGTGTGGGAGGGAAGGAGCATAGCAATATATACTTTGTAGTAATATAGTAGTAATAAGCACATGCATGTACCTTGCATGGATTTACTCTCACTTCTTCCCTTTCCGGGGATCGGCATGTGATCTAAGGCTGCATTTGATAGATCAATGTGGTACAAGTATTTCCGGGGAAGCGGGTACCGGGTGATTGGAGGAAAGGCAGGAGGTGTGCAAGACATCGACCCAAAGGGGAGGGAAGGACCCTTGGCAAACGTTTTTTTTTTTTTTTTTTTTTTTTTTTTTTTTTCGGGTGAGGGGAGCAATGAGAGAGGCGGAGGGGAAGGGTGGGATGAGATGGGATTTACTTCGTATGAGATTGATTTTAATGAGAATTCTGGCTTCTGTTATTGGCCTTCACCGGAGTTTTGTGGCTTGGAGATGTAACGTGTTGATCTGGCAGGAATCTGGGGTAAGAGAAAAGAAAGAAAGTTAAATATCAAAGTTGCACGAAGTACGTTCGATTCTCGACCGAGAGGGTGGTATACACTCCCTCCAAGTACGGCGTAGCCCGAATGGAAACTCTGAGGGATTTGATGAGAGAAAAAAACGTGGGAAAGCCACTGTGCCATGGAGAGGAGGGGGGGTGTCAAAAGAAGTCGAAAGGTGCCAGACCCTTTCCAATTGCCAGGGTCTTCGAGGCCATGCCCACTTCCCGAAAGCGAGAGCGAGCGTTCGTACACCCGACGGCCGATGATGTAGATGGCGTACACTGCTTCCTAACACTCCAAGACCGTATCCGATGCCGAACGGGTACGGGGCTTTTCTTTCTTCATGGAAGGAAAAAAGCAAGTTGCATTTTTTTTGTCCGATCTTTTTCCGACCATTCTTCGGTCTAAAGGACTTTACAAGTAACTCTATGGATTACACATTGCTGACCTTGGTCGATCGTTCCTGCATCTGCAAGCATGCATGTCATGTGCTCTATTATTCCGACGAAAGTCGTCAGACTACAAGGTGGAAAAGTAGTGTACACTACGAGGCATGTATCATTATTATTGACTGGCTGCTTTCGTGGCGTTCCTTTGGATATAATCATCGCACGATACTTGAGGACGGCTCGGCCGACTCTTACGGTAGACTTGCGCTGGACTTGTTCGGCAGGAAAAACGGGGGAAACAACCGTTCTCTTCTTCGGAGATGCGACACAGAGAAATCGTAACTAATGTGGAAATACACTTGCCCATATCGTGATCACCATCGTAATCGAGGTTGTTCGTGCGAATAAACTAATTGCAGGGCCGGGAACAGAGAAAAAAAAAAAAAAAAAAAAAAAAAAAAAAAAGAGGAGAAGAAGTAAAAAAACGCCGTCCTCATAGCCGGAGTCTCTGGGTAAGCCGCTCCAGATCTCCATCATCACCATCGTCTCTAGACCGCTTATTCCCCGCGGTTCCCATCACTCGGTCCCTCTGCCAGCGCATCTCGTTCATGAGGATGTATTTCCCGTACGCCTCGTCACCGAGAATTTCCCGCATCTGTTCTCCCTTGAAATTTTCCACCCTGGCCTCCCACTTGGCAAACTTCTCGTCCTCCTCACGTCTCAGGGCCTCATGCTGTTTGCCGAGCTTGGTTACGACGAGCGTATGAGGCGAACTGCGGACCTCAATGCTGCACTTGAACAGATTGGGCGGTAGTTGTTTCCGGAGGTGAGCGCGTCGATTCTTCTCCATGGGGAAGCGGCCAACCTGTTGGGTCTCGGACCCAAGGAACTGGTTGAGAGAGCCGCAATCCTCGCAGTCGCCGTTGGGGCAAGGAATGGATCGATGCGCCCAGCCGACCGGTTTCTCCGCGTAGGTTGGTGGCTCGGGAAGTATGTAGTCCAAGAGCATAGACGTAGCAAACTTTCTCAGGGATAGCGTCGTTGGCCTCTTATACAGCTTCAAGGGCTTAAGAAGGAAAACGAGAAGGGCTTTGTAGATTCTCCAAGTGTCCCACTGGCCGTCGTCGCTCCTGTGCTCCTTCGAGGGGATGGGTTCCTCCTTGAGAAAACGATCGCAGCTGGCGTCTATAAGCTTGGTAAATTCCTCAACGAGGCCGAGCTCGAGGCCCTTCTCGACAAAGCGGGCGAACTGATCCCAACACGTCTCCGCCAGGTAGAGTGCATCCTCCGGTGATTCGTTCGTCTCGTTGGCCAAACATATCGAGCTTGGAAGCATGAGCTTCTTGCTCCTCTGATTGAGAAAGTATTGGAACATAGTCACGGCTCCGGCAAACTCAGGTTCCGTTCGTTCTTCAGCTACCGTTTCCAGAAACACATAGAGCAGGTCACGCGAGGCTCGTGATTTAAGGGTTGGTAGAAGACTAAAGACGCCCAGCGAGTTAGAGAGAACCGAGATATTCCTCGGGGATATTGGGAAATAGTCACAGTCCGGCTCCCAGTTCAAAGACCGTGAGATATGGACGGAGGCAAGATGTACTGGGAATAAGTCACCGCGGAATAAGAGGAGATCACGTACACATCATCGATCCAGCCGCTTTCGTCGTACCGTTGACGCACCATGTCAAGGACGAAGTCGAGATCCTGAAGTCCGAGCTTGGGGCGGTATTGAAAAGCCTTGTCTAACGCCCAAGTTGTGAAATTATCGAAAGACTCCCAAGTATAGCCGTCTTCTATGAGTGTTGAGACATATTCGAGGTCTTCCCTCGGCGAGAGCGATGCCGACACAACTCCACCAAACCTAGAGGTGTAGCCAATTAGTCCTTGTCACTGGCAGCATAGAGGTAGAAAGAAAATAACATACCACTTTTCCCAATCGAAGTGTTCCTCCTCGTCCGATTGGTAACGTATTTCCACAATATTCCAGAGTTTTTCTAGTAGTGGCTTCCGAGTACTCCAGTTAGTGATGCCCTTGGTAACTGCTGCCATGAAAACGTCATGTCTGCCGAGTTCCACAGCCTGGTATGCAATTACGCCGGCCGCGTTCCATGCCGTACCGGTACTAATCGCATCGAGAGCATCCAGGAAAAAGTCTAGGATGATGGACGTCGTACGCTGAGAGCAGGAGGGACTATTGATCTTGTCACAGGCTAACGACACGAGACGGTCAATACGGGTATCGGCGTCCGGGTAGTCAAGTAGAGAGCTGAGGCCCTCCACGCGCACAATGATGATAGCTGGGTCGCGGTAACGGAAGGTATCTGGCCTGCTCGTGTTCTCGGTGGATTCGCTTTCGTCCATATTGTCGAGCTCTTGCTCTAGGAAACGATCGACCCCGAGAATCTCAGAATCGTCGAGTGTAAGCCTGCTCATGACAAAATCTCTGGAGCAGGTCAAAACCTCGTTGGCAACCGTGTTGGTTTCTTCTAACCGACCCTCGTCAACGTCCATGTTGGTGCGCGTCATGTTTGCAAGAAGCATGATAAATCCATCCAAGGCACAAGCTCTGCGCAGGGTTACGGCAACATTGCGGTTGCGGCCAGTCAGATCTTCAAAGGATAGGTACCCGTCATCTTTGAGCACGCGGGATAGTGGATAGGCGATCTTGGTAGGGCCCGTTGGCCATGCCAAAAGTTGGCGGCGTACTATTTGCACATCCTCTGTTATAAGTTCTATATCGGCCATTCGTTGGCGTTCGGCGGTCTCAATTTGGAAAAGGTCATAGACCAAGATGAGGCGGTAACCCTGCGTCAAAGGTTTGATTTCGTGAGTAGCGTCGACGTGCCAGGCCAGCACCGTAATGTCGGACTCGGACCCCAAGGTAGTGCGAAGGACAACCTTCTGGTCGCCAGAAGACAGATGAAAGTCTCCATCGCTATGCTGAGACGGAAAGCAGACGGCCAGAGTGCCTAGAATACGACTGCTTGGCCAATCTATTTGACTCTCGGAGAAAGACCCCTCCCCGTGGAGGAGAAGCTTTTGCAGCACAGCTCTAACGTCCCATAGATCTAGTTGCTGAGCGATGCGGGGAACAATGGTGTTTCCCAGAAATCCTTCCCAGTCTGGGTTCGCCAATTCGAAACGGCGACGGTCCAGCTCCCAACTTTTCTTCTGCAAATTGTGACCGATAGGCCCCACCTTTGCAGACCTCCAAGTCTCCGTGTTCCACCTCAGGCCCTCCCAATCGTCTAGCTCCTGTGCGTTTCGGTGGAGTGCCTCGTTCCCTCTTTCAACGGGAGCTGGGCTGCAAAAACGCCTGATAAGTTCGACGTCATCTTGGCCAAGAGGAAGAGAGACTCGTTGGCCTCCGAGCTCGAGCCAAGGATCGACGAAACCCTTGAATTTCTCGGACGTGGCAAACTTGTTGGTACTTCCGACTTGGTTCAGGTAGCCGAGCAAAGTTGAGCTCCAGGTTTGGAAGTCTCCGGGGCTGTCATCATTGGCATCTTGGTCGATATCCATCTTCTGGAGCTTGGCTTGGGTCCGCTGGGGTGGGTTATTCTTTTCTAGAAATCACAAATGAGGAGATAGATTATAGGATCTAGCCTGGGAGCAAATTAGAAGTAGAGAGTTCAGCAGAGTTGTCCCAAGATGCCGTGTCACGTAAGAAGGCTTTGTGATGTTGATATTTTCATTCTGGACCCTGACATGTGAGCGGAGAAGGTTGCTCTTTCCCCCTTGTTGCTTCTGGTCTGTGGTGACTTTTGACTTGAAGAATAAGGTAACTTACTTGTTTCGTTCTTTCCCTTTTGGAGTGCCTGCAAGTCATGCTTAAGAGTGACTAGAATTGTAAAGCAAATTCTGGACTGACCCTGCAGACTTGGGAGAGGTCGACATGTTTTAGGAAGATAAAACACCTTGGATATAAGATACACGGGTGTTGAAACAGAGGATGGTGATTGATAGGATTGGTAGGGACAAACTCCCTCCCTGCCGCTGAGTCTGGAGATAGCACTGAAGGATATTTGGTTAACAGACCTGATCCTTTCCCTTCCTATAAGGCAACGGAGCCCTCGGGATGGAAATAGCACATACCTCAACCTCGCCAGCGAACCACCACTGTTGCCGCCGAAAAACGAGTGCCGGGGAGGGTCATGAAATTACTAGCATCTCGATTTCCACCGCCAAAGAGTCGCGCCGATTTCGACAGACGAAAGCATTGATATATCCTTGGAGCAAATGTCACTCGGCAGCTCCGGATCTCGCACTCGCACCGCCAGCCTTCCGAAAGAACAAGAGTCCCTTTTACATTGATTCATCATCTATCTCTTTTTCTACACCCCATATCCGGCGCCTCCTCCCATGAATGGTATAAGATTCTCCATGATCAAACATGTCCAAGTTCCTCTTTTTCCCACATCCCCCCTTTCCCTCCACGCTTCTTTTTCATTGTCCTTTATTTTAAAAGTCATTCTCATCCACACCCGACACAATAACATTATTAACCTTGAGAACCATGCGACATAGCTGCGTCGCGAGCTGAAGCTGCTGCTTCTTGCCGATGAGGGGATCGATAACGAATGCGTCCTTCATGTCGTTGTTGCCCCGGCTCATGCAGTCGACACCGTACTTTCCGCGGGCGGAGGGGCCGCCCGTGGCTTGCTGGCTCTTCACCTCGGCGAGCGTCGCGATGGGGTGGAGACCGCTGTTCCCGGCGAGGGCCATCGGGATGGCATCTAGCGCCTCGGCAAAGGCGCGCATGGCGTATTGCTCGAGACCAGGCGTCTTGACGGCGGCATCCTCTACGGCGAGGGAGCAGGCGATTTCAGCGGCACCGCCACCGTAGACGACCCTATTGTCGCGGACAAGGTTCCTTACGACGCAGAGAGCATCGTGGAGAGATCGCTTAGCCTCATCAACAAGCTAGAAAGTGTAGTGTCAGCAGATACCCCAGAATAGAGCGCAGAAAGTAGGGGGAGCAGGTAGAGAGTACATACCATCTTGTTGCTGCCACGGACAAATACAGTCACCGCACGAGTGTTTGCGCACTCCTCAATAACGAGCATCTTCTCCCTCGTTGTACCGAAAGACATCTCTCTTACAATACCAGCGGTGCCGAGCTTCTCGGGGGTCAAATCTTCGAAACGCGGAACGATACGTCCGTTGGTGGCAATAGCAATCAGCTCAATCTCGGGGCCACCGACCCATCGCACAGCCGGTAGGTGGTTCTGGAGGAGAAGATGGTTGGCCTCGTCGTCAAAGCCCCACTGGCAAATAGCAAGATTGGCACCGGTATCCTTGATTTGCTGGATCATCTCGATAAACTTTTCCTTCTCGTAGTTTTGAAGCTTCTTGAATTCCTCAACGCTTGTGATGTCGAGATGGTGTTTCGTCTTAGGCTTCGGGGGCTCGAAAGGACAGGTAAGGATCGCAATCTTAGCGTCCTTGACTTCGGAGGGCATCTGGGGATGAGAGAAGTCCTTGTCGACAATGACACCCTTGACAAGCAGGGAATCCTCTAGAGAACCGCCAACCTTTCCATCAACCTTGATCAGCTCGAAATCGACGTCCTTGCGTTCTAGATCAGCGACGGACAGCACAGCATCGACGGCGATGTTGGCGAACTGGTCGTGAGCCTTGGAAACAATCTTGCTACCCAAACTCGTCCGCGCCACCTTGACAAGGTTTGTGGTCTCCTCCTTTGTGAACTCGATAACGTCCGAAATCTTGTCGAGCTCCGCCACTGCGATGTCGCAAGCATGATCATAACCGTCGGCGATACGGATAGGGTGGATGCCCTTGTCGATGAGCTCCGCGGCTTGCTCGAGGAGGGCGCCCGCGAGCACTACGACGCCCGTGGTCCCATCTCCTATCTCCTCATCTTGCGACTTGGATAGCTCGACGAGAAGCTTCGCTACGTGGTTCGTGATTTCCATCTGTTGCAATATAGTAGCGCCATCGTTTGTTACGGTGATGTCGCCGTCTGGAGAAATGAGGATCTTGTCGAGGCCGCGGGGGCCGAGGGAGGTCTTGATGATGTTCGCAACTGTGCGGGCGGCAAGGATGTGGGACTTGACAGCTTCGGTTCCGAACTGGCGCTTCTTCTTGCCTTGGCTAAGTGGGTGTTAGGGGACTCCAGCTCCAGATCATGAAAGGGGAGGCGGGGCCGAGGAGGAGAAAGGGAGACATACTCTCGGACAACAATAAAGGGACGACCTTGGTCATCCTTCATCAACGTCGCTAGAGTCACAAAAACGTTAATCGGAAGCTTTGACTCGGGGTCGACGCTCGTTCATACCATTCGACAAGTCTAGGTCTGCAAAGGATGTTAGCGGGGCTCATGGAAGACAAGAGAAGAATGCGGACTCACTCATCGCCATCTTCTCGACTATAAGAGCTTGGGAGCTCTAGACTACTCTATTGAACGGAATCTCCTCCAAGAATAACTGGGCGGACTACCTAGAGGCAATTGTGAAGCTCGAGGTTGGGATCTTAAGGGGGCGGGGTGATCGGAAACGTGAGGTCGTGGTTGATGATTTTTTGCAGTTGCCTGCTCTGGACTTTGGGGCGCCGTTGGTAGCTGGTGGCCAATCGATACTGAGCACTGAGGAGGATATTAGCGGTGTACTGCTGCTATGTCAGCTAAAATTTGGCGGTCGTCGCCACTGTCCAAGTCACGTGATATAGAAACTGGTACTTGGCGGGAGAGGCATGAGAAGTTAGCACGACTTCAAGAATAGCGCAACAACTTGTCGATTTCTAGAGATATTTTTTTTCCGTTTGCGATCAGATGCACTTGAGATATTGCGACGTAATTCAAACTAGCTATATATCCCATAATATGCCGTAAATAAAGCCCGTACCTGCAAAGGGGAAATTCTACACTACCGCCTCCATCGCGACGATTAATGACTTCATCTTCAGCCCACACCAAGAATTGCCCCTCCCCCACCTTCACGCGTCGAGGTACTTGGATCAATTCCAGCTCGTTACCCCGCCATCAAACATTGAACCTCTAGCACAGCATCAGCCATCATCACAACGGATCACACAGCTTGAGCCACACCAGATCACATCAACACCTCTTACTCATTCAGATCGGCTTATTTAGTAGCGCACATCATCGCCCAGGTTTTGGCCCGTGAAGCTTTTCTGGCGCCTTCCGGTTCAGTACTTTGAAAGCTAGGACTAAAGTAGTCCCGAAACCCACGAGGTACGCAGTGCCATCCACATGGGTGAACCAGGAGCTTTTGCCACGGCTTGTGCCCAACTAACGTCTATTTCGGGAGACCAGAATTTCGAGCGCACAAGACAAAAGACCTCTGTCTCATCTGCTTCGCTGATCAGTCTCCACCAAACAAACTTCATTTCATCCACCAAAAATGTCTCGCCATCGTGTTATGGCAGGACTCGACTACCGAGAGGAACTCTCGGATGCGGAACCCGATGACGAAGTCCCTTTCGATGATGAGGTAGACCAGGTGGCCATGCGCGAGGGAAAGGCAAAGGTCATAACGGCCCTTGGAGAAATCGCCGACCTGATCCCGCCTTCGGAGATCGAGCAAGCGCTATGGGACAACTACTACGACGTTGACAAGTCAGTGGCTGTACTTTCCGAAAACTATGAGCAGGAAATCCACAAGCTGGGCGATGCGACGGTAGAAGTCCTGGCGCGACTTGGCGAGAGCTCCGAAAAGGTTACCCCGAAACAGATCAAAGATGCACTCTGGCATTACTACTTTGATATCGACAAGACTGTCGCCTACTTAGACAGGACGTACATAAACCCCCCCGAGAAGCCTAAACCCAAAGCCAAAGCAACCCCGGCTGAATGTAAGTACATTTCGAATTATTTGTACCTGAGTCATCATAACCGCACCGAAGCTTCGCGGAGGGACAAAGAGCGTCGGGTAAGCGGTGGTGAGCGCGACGGAATGGAGCCCAAAAACGACCCTGTGAGGACCTACGACCTCGCACCACGGATGCACGTCCCGGCAGAATGGCACTTCTACGGAGTCAAGTGGACAAATGGCTTATGCGGACCCCAAACTACATTCATCGAGCCGCCAAGGTACGGCGGTCTCTTGGGCGGTTCGGGAAAGCCATCCAAGCTCCAAGCGCTTGCCGCTGCCCGAAAGAATAAAAGAGCAGCTGAAAATTCTCAACCTGGACACACCGGGCCGGGGAAGTCCACTGCGCCAACTTCCAGTACCCCAGCATCATCAACCACAAACAAGGAGAACATCAAACTAGACATACGCCTTCTATCCAAACGCCGTCGGGATGGGTCAAAGGTGGATCTAGAGGCTACGCCGCCTGCCAGCGGCCTACTAGGTCAGGGTAATCCTGGCGCTCTCCGGCCATCACCCAGCAAGGATGGGGACTGTGCCCCCGAAGAAAATCTTGCTGCCGAAAACCAGGTCTACACCCTGCATAGGGCCGCCCAGCCCTCTGCCTTTGCCTCGACGCTCTTTGGAACCTCTTCGAACGCAACGGCTCACCAGGCTGAGGCCTATCCTTTCCCTTATACCGCATCCCCGTCGTACTCTGCCAAGCCTTTCCTCGAGCCGAGTCCCGACGATATCGTGCTGGCTGCACAGGCCAAAGGTTCGCGCTTTTCGGGTAAAAAGTGACAGACTAATCCTGACCAAATTTCTTACCAGCGGGCAAAAAGATCGCCGCACCAACGCCGAAGAAAGGACCTAAAGGCAACTCTACGGCTACCCCTTCGAACAGCAATGTCGAGGCTGTTGCTGAGCAGATGGGGAAGCTCACCACGAAGCACGAGCCCCGACCTAAGAGCAAGCAGCTTAATGTTATACAGGAGTATGAGAATGCAAAGAAGGACAAGAAGTCGGCGAGTTTCGTCGTCGTTGGTATGTTCATCCTACGGTCAATAATTGGGCCTTTTTTTTCTCGACCTGAGTACTAATTTTGCTCGTTGCAGGCCATGTTGATGCGGGGAAGAGTACGTTGATGGGGCGCCTTCTCTTGGAGCTCAAATTTGTCGACAAGGCCGTCGTCGACAGATACAGGAGGCAAGCAGAGAAGATTGGAAAGCAGTCATTCGCACTTGCCTGGGTGATGGATCAGAGAGAAGAGGAGCGCGACCGAGGAGTTACCATCGACATCGCAACCAACAATTTTGAAACCGACAAGGGAAAGTACACGATCCTCGACGCACCAGGACACAAGGACTTCATTCCCAACATGATAGCAGGCGCCAGCCAGGCTGACTTTGCTATCCTTGTCGTGGATGCAAGTACCGGTGCTTTTGAGAAGGGACTCAAAGGGCAAACACGAGAGCACGTCTTGCTACTAAGGGCTTTAGGAGTTCATAAAATCATCGTTGCGGTCAATAAGATGGACATGGTGGACTGGTCCAAAGCTCGGTTCGACGAGATATCCGACCAGATCATGGGATTCCTCTCAGCGAAGGGATTCTTGGCGAAGAACATTACCTTCATCCCCCTTTCGGGGTTCAACGGAGACAACCTAACACGCAGATCAGAAGCGACTGCGTCGTCATGGTACACAGGGCCCACACTCATCGAATCACTAGATAGCGCTGAAGCCATCAGGCCCTCTCTCCGTAAACCCTTCCGCATGGCTATCTCGGAGATATGGAAATCCCCGCTAGGCCACGTCACAGTCTCTGGACGGATAGACACGGGAACGACGCAAATTGGTGACGTCCTTATCGTGCAGCCCAGCGGCGAAGAAGCGTGCGTCAAGACCATCATGGTGGACGCCGACATCCGTGACTGGGCTGTGGCAGGAGAGAGCGTCAACATCTTCCTCACGGGCATCGACCCAAACCACCTCCGTGTCGGCGACATCATGTGCGCGGCGACGTCGCCCATCGGAGTCAGCGACACGCTCAAGATGAAGGCCATGGCGTTCGAGCACGTCATGCCCATGCCCATCGATCTGCACCGCGGAAGGCTGCACTCGGCGGGTCAGATCCTCGCTATGGAGGCCATACTCGATAAGGCTACAGGAGAGGTGCTCAAGAAGAAACCCAAGGTTGTGCAGCCGGGTGAGGTGGCGAGGATTACGGTGAAGTTGCAGTCGAAGATTCCGTTGGAGGCCGGGCAGAGGGTTGTTATTCGGAGTAGTGGCGAGACTGTTGCGGCGGGTCTTGTGGAATAGGGGATAGGGGCGATGGGGAGAAGCAAAGACGGCATGCCGCATGGGCTAGCGGGGGTTGGTGGAGTGTTGTAATGCGCGTGAACCGGGAATGGGTTGGTCCATTTTGGTATTTGATGATATAGAGATAGACGGTTTTGACTCAATTTGTGTTCTTCAGTTACAGCCATCCAAGGCGTAAAAAGACGTTACTCGAAACGGTGAGGACTTGGGATATATACTCGTGGTTCAAGTCGCGATGATGAACATGTTGTCCCGGGCGGCCCTTTTATATTCCCCGATGCTGTGCTATCATGTCACATCAAACGAGAAGAGAAGACAATGACCCGGAGATCAAATCTCAAATACACGATGAATTTCTAATTTCGTCCATTGATGTTCACTCCTCGTGCTCTGGCCTGCCCCTAACAATGAAATTCTCTTCGTCTCTCCCGATAGCTGTCAAAGACCCGAGTCAAACTGGGCGATGAGCCTCAAAGGGGTTGCTCAGTTCCAGCGCCAATACCGCTTCTGGTCGTACAATAAGTGTAGACACGCTCCACACTCTGAGGATCGATGAGTCTGGAGGTTATTTGGGCACGACACTCCCGGAACAGAGGAAGTGATAATGGAGCAAGACCTTGCGTGTGTTCCCCAGCCAGAAGACTCTCCCACCCTCGCCTTCTAGGGACATTGTAAAGAGACCCTCCGAACATGAGCCGACTCCCGAGGGCATCTTGCTACACGGGAAAGATGATGAATATGTCTTGATCTGGATTTTCTCACGAACATATTGCTGCGGATGCATCACATATTCTTTACATAACCGACTCCTTCTGCGGAGAGAGCTAAACATCACGAGGGACTCTTCTTTATCACCTTTTAACGCGTGGATGTAGGTAGTTCATCGCCGAGTCCGAACCTGCGAACCCGGGTATTTACTGACTGTTGCATCAATCAGATAAAATGAGCCAAGAAATAGTAATGACAACAACGGCAACAACGGCCCTCTCCCTGAGTAGACACTCCGAATACCCTCGCCGTCAAACAATAGATCACACAAGAACTGCCAGAGAAAAAACTGCCCAACCCTTCACTTTATCGGCTCCAAGCCACCGCAACACTATACAAATACTGTCACACCGTGCCGACGTATATATTCCGGGTTCACACGATTTCGCAAAACGCCATCCGCCATTTCGCGATTATAGCGCCCTACTCGCCCAATGGCCGTGGCGCCATTCACCAGGCGGTCTCCCTGAGCACAGATGTACTCGTGGATGTGCGTGACAGCGCCGTCCAGCTCATAGCGTCGAACATAGACACCTCTAAGCGTAACGCGGCCGGTATTCCTAGCGAACGTATAGTTCCATTGCGCCGTATAAACGACGACACCGCGCCCTACAGAGACCTTTGCGTTTTGCCTCAATGACTCGCTGGCCGGCTCCCTGTGTATCGGTCCAGGTATCCTTGCCTGAGTTTCGGTATTGAACCAGTCCGTTCTCTGAGCAGGGATGTCCCTCTGGTCATCAGCTGCGACATCGCCCGTCAGGACTCCTGCCTGGTTCGTGAAGTCGGGCCCGAAAATATCGATGCTACGGGCCGTCTCTCGGGATCGAAGGTAGAGTGTGTTCGCGGAGTCTCGGTCGAAGCGGACGTTGATCCGCTGTCTGCGGTTGGTGACGAGCTCGGAGCCGTGTTGAGTGGCCGCCATTATGGTTGCGAGATTGATGTCTCTGGTGGCTTTCTGTACCAAGACGCGATAGTCTTGGGGTGCCGCCGGCTGGGACTGAATGGAAGAAGAGAGAAGGGAGGAAGTTAGGGCGGTATAAAGGCTCGTTGCAGTGCTCGGAGGCGACGAAGGAGTTGAGGCTAAAGTTCCCGTCTACTTAGAGTCTAGATCAGGGAAATGAATCCCACGGTTGGATTTTCAAAGGGCATGGTGTTGAGAACATGAGGGATGAGCTTTCAAGAGCGGTTTTTCGCTCATTTCTATAGTTCATGTTGGCCCCCAATTAACCCAGAGACCAGTTTCTGGGCTGACAGAAACCAAGATTGTGAACCGAGGCGATGGTCTTTCGCATTCTGGGAATATCAATCCTAGATTCTGGATTCTGGATTCTGTATGCTGGGTTTCTCAAAAGTCTCGAACAATACTTTCAATACTTTTCGTGTTCTCTGAACATCAGCCCGGATCCTGGACTCTGGACTTTATATTCTAATTTCTGGTTTCCAGATTCTCTAGGTCCTGGATTCTGGGGTTCTTTGTGGTCTCGAACCAATAGTTTCACGCTCCCTGAATCTCAGTCCCGGATCATGGGTCCTGGACCTGGGTCCTGGATTCTGGAGTTTTCAACGTGTGGATCCAATGACCGCTAGCCGCCAGAGGGTCGAAAGCAAGCTTCCTCATTGGACTGATGGTGAACTCATGATATGCAGGGCGAGTATTTATAGAACGATACTGTCGCATTCTCTGCATGCCAGCCCTGGATCCCGGATTGTGGATTGTGGATTGTAGACTCTGTGTTCTAGATTCTAGAGCCTTCGAGGTCTTGGGCCAATAGTTTTGTATTCTCGGAATACCGAGGTAAACTATCAGTCCTGGATTCTGGATTCTGGAGTTTTCAAGGTGTGGATGCAATATCTTGGCTGCTGCAGGATCCAATGCGAGCTTCCTCATTAGGCCGATGTGAGTATTTATAGAATAATACCATTGTATTCTCTGCATACTGGCCCTGGATCCCGGATTCTGGATTCTGGACTCTAGACTCTGTGTTCTAGACCCTAGATCCTTCGAGGTCTTGAACTAATAGTTTTGCGTTCTCTGAATACCGAGGTAAACTATCAGTCCTGGATCCTGGATTCTGGGTGGAAGCAATATGCTAGCCGCCACTGGATCATAAGCGAGCTTCTTCATTGGATTGAAGCTGAACTTATGATATGAAGTGTGACTATTTATAGGACAACGCTGTCGCATTCTCTGCATACTCCTGGGTCCTGGATTCTGGATTCTGGAGTGTTCGAGGTCTGCAAGCAATATCTTGGCTGCTGCAGGATCCAAAGCGAGCGTCCTCATTGGACTCATGACATGAAGAGCGCGTATTTATAGGACAGGGCGGTAAGAGCGCGGCTATGCTCGGAATTGATTGGCCCTGCTAAAAATAAGTCAGAAGCGCCCACACATTTTCATCCATCCACCGTCCATGGGCCATACTCAATTCCCTAGTAATGACTACGTTACTTTCTTTTCACCTTTGGGCGTCTCCCGAGGGAGATTCATAGCGTTTCGGGCAGTCAATACCAGGCTCTGTCTAGGGGAATGACCGAAAATGCCCAAAATGCCCGGCATCCGCTGACGACCATCAAACTTCGTGGTCATCGTAAACGACGGATCGCCCAAGCAATCCTACAAAAGTATCCGATAAAGCTATCGGATCCCACGGCCAGCTCTCGCGATGTGATCAAGGTGGTCTGCATCTCTGACACGCACAACCACCAACCCGAATTGCCGGCAGGAGACATACTCATCCACGCCGGAGACCTCACTGATAACGGATCTTTCGAAGAGGTTCAGGCGGGTCTTAGATGGCTCTCTTCACAGCCGCATCGATGCAAGATCTTCGCGGCGGGGAACCACGACGTCCTTCTAGATGAGGATTTCCTGAAGAAATACCCAGAGCGCCGCTACGGCGACACCAGGACTAAAGAGGATCTGGTCTGGGGCGATGTTATCTACCTACAAGATTCCCATGTAACACTGGAATTCCCTTCCCGGAAGGAATCCAATCCGGATGCGGCGGTGGAAAGTTCAGGCACCACGCGAAAGCTCACCATCTACGGCAGCCCGTGGACACCGCAATACGGCATCTCGTGCTTCCAATACCCACCGACCAACGAATCGCACTGGTCAGATCGGATCGGCTCACTAAAGCCGGATATCCTCATCACGCACGGCCCGCCAAAATTATACCGCGACAAACGGGATTTTTACCAAGCGGGGTGTGCGTTGGTGAATGCTTCGGTTGTTGCGGGTAGGGGGAATGAGTTGGGGAATGAGTTGAGGAATGCGCCTATTGTCGTGGAGATATGATGCGAACGGTGGCATTGAGGATCGGATAGAACATAGAGGCCACATATACATAGGCTGGGCGATCAATTGGGACGTTGAAGGGGAATCGTGTTCAATAGAACTCGGACGATTTTACAACATCTTGAAGCGTAAATCTTATTAAACTCACTTGGTGTTACGACGTTGTCACATTGTGCTGATTCAGCGAACGCGTCGAAACTAGTCTAGGTTATCAATGGATTGATCAGAGATTATGTCCTCGACTCATCACAAGGCCCACAAACACCATGTCGAGAGTGGTGGATTTTGAGGGTCCCGTCAGACAGAAACGGATCAATTGATTGATCGATCAGTAACATCGGGGTTAAACCTTTGTGGGGAACCTTCTGGAAAGAGGGTGGCGGTGGTTGGTTCAACTGCAACTTGTCCCATTCCCGCCTTCGCCTGACACGCAGAGAACCAGTGTTCACTCACATACCTTGCCACACAGTTCCCAAACAGAGTGGCCAGGTCATTCCGGCGAGTAAATTGCCTGCAGAAGAGGCCACAGTGGCATCCTTATAATAATCTAGTTTACTTCGTAATTTAGACACGCTCTGCAGGTCCACTGTGACTCACGCAGTGGCGAAGGGGAGCTGCCAGATCAATTACCATCTAGGCTGCCCAGGAGGGCGTTTGCAGGTCTCTCCAAACGAGGCTGTAGGGTTCTCTCACGGTGTCCTTTTTCTATTATGTTTTGTCGTAGGGTCCTGTGCGAGGCTCGTTTCTTCATGGTGGCAGACATCGATGGCAAATTCTCAAGCCGTCGAATCAGAATTCTTTGGGTGTCATCAATTCAAGTGATCCTCCGTTGTTTGTTTGCCCCACCCAGTCTGACATCAAAGTGTTATACTGTCTTTCTAGACCCTGGAAGAAAATACCTGTTCAGTTGGAGCTGGCTCCCCATTAGCTTCGTGACTCTGAAAGTATGTGTGTCGATTCGTTCCCGTCATTCCTCTCCCAAAGTAGGATTGATTTGAGGAGGCACAAAGAGAAACGTTTAGACAGATATAATTGCTTTGTACTTCGTTGCTTTCGGATTTGTTAACACTTGTCAAGATACCTATTCGAGGTCAATGTCGTCTTGGCTGCTGTTGGTGATACAGTCCATTCTTGATGATGTCGCTCTCCTTCGCTTGACGGGAGTTTCTCCGCTGCCGCAAGCTTCCCCCCTGCTAGGATTGCTCAGTAGCCCCTGCATTTTCGGCGGGACTAGGAAGCAGGAGGCAGACCGTCTTCGCTGTGGCTGGAAGCTGTGTTTGAAGAACGAGGTACAAGAATATCAAGGGAACTGAGAGAAGAGTACATTGGCTAACAGTGGGAATTAAGTAAATGGCACAGTTAGGATTGGGACGATATTGTATCAAGATTTAGTACCACCGCATGTTTAAGCAGTCCATTCTCCTTCATGTACTCAAAAAGGCTGACTATGACAGTGTTAAGACAATAATTTTGGGGTGGCTACGCGCCGATTTGAGTACACCCAGCGGCTTAAACAAATGTACTCTACAGCGTAAATCACTCGATGAGTACTTCGATACTTTTTGATCTCTTAGTCATCACCCCAACTAGCAAGGCGCAACCGTGGCAGGTCCCATGCCAAGACCGGGCCAGGCCAAGTGCGGGTGCCCTGTTCCTTCTCCTTTGTTCGATCCCCCCTGCTTCAGTACCCGTAGTGGACTTCGGGTGTTCTTAGTGGGCATTGGACAAACGAATGTGGCGGTTGCTTCCCCCAAGCTGAGATCTGGCCTTTTTTGCACCAGCAATTGGACACCTCAACTTTTCTGTCCACTTCTCCCCTTGATAAAGCTAAAATCTCCTCCTGGCCAAACCGAGTCTTGCATTCTCTCCCACTCCCACATCCTCACTTCCTTGGTGATCGATCTCCAGGAGCAACTCGATTCCCTTTCCTCCCATCTGACTCGTAAGACAAAGATCATTTTGTCCTGCGCGCAGAGCTAATTCGTCTTCTCTTTTTCTTCTCCCCCTTCTTATTTTTCCTTTTCCTCATTGTATTTTTTCGAGCGTGGAACTCTTTTCTTTTCGACACACCATCACCATGGCCAGACATCGATCGGGCCTGGCCCTGGGCCTCTTGGCCTTCTTCATCCTTCTATTCTCCCCCCTCGCCTTCGTTCAGACGGCGAACGCGCAGGGTGTTGAGGAGATGGGAACTGTTATTGGTATTGTAAGTTTTCCCAACGGGCCTCAGTCTCCACTCGACTCTCCCAACGACGAGAAAAGACCCGTGGAGCTAACCGCAGTCGAACCACCTCTAGGACTTGGGTACTACATACTCCTGCGTCGGTGTGATGCAGAAGGGCAAGGTCGAGATTCTCGTAAACGACCAAGGAAACCGAATTACCCCCTCTTACGTGGCCTTTACCGAATCTGAGCGTCTCGTCGGTGATGCCGCGAAGAACCAAGCCGCCTCTAACCCCACCAACACCATCTTCGACGTCAAGTAAGCTCCATACCCGGAACCCACACCACAACAGCACTTGTTCTCAAGGAATAAACCAAAAATGCTAACCATTGGCTTGCTGTTAGGCGTCTTATTGGCCGCAAATTTAACGAGAAGGAGGTTCAGTCTGATATCAAGCACTTCCCCTTCAAGGTCGTGAACAAGGATGGCAAGCCCATCGTTCGAGTGGAAGTGGGCGGAGCCGATAAGGACTTCACTCCCGAGGAGATCTCGGCTATGATTTTGGGCAAGATGAAGGACGTCGCCGAGGGCTACCTTGGAAAGAAGGTTACCCACGCCGTCGTCACCGTCCCCGCTTATTTCAACGACAACCAGCGCCAGGCTACCAAGGATGCCGGTGTTATTGCTGGCCTCAACGTTCTCCGTATCGTCAACGAACCCACCGCCGCCGCTATCGCCTACGGTCTTGACAAGACCGACTCCGGCGAGCGCCACATCATTGTCTACGATCTTGGTGGTGGTACTTTCGATGTGTCTCTCCTCTCCATTGACGAGGGTGTCTTCGAGGTTCTTTCCACCGCTGGTGATACGTGAGTTGCCTCTCTTCCAAATTCTTACTCGCTTTGAATCGAGCCGGGCCGCTAACTAATAGCTTCTCTGCAGTCACTTGGGTGGTGAAGACTTCGATCAGCGTATCATCAACCACTTCGCCAAGGCCTTCAACAAGAAGCACAACGTCGATGTTACCAAGAACGCCAAGACCATGGGTAAGCTCAAGCGTGAGGCTGAGAAGTTGAAGCGATCGCTCTCTTCCCAGATGTCCGCCCGCATTGAGATCGAGGCCTTCTTCGACGGCATTGACTTCTCCGAGACCATGACCCGCGCCAAGTTTGAGGAGCTCAACATGGATCTCTTCAAGAAGACTCTCAAGCCCGTTGAGCAGGTTCTTAAGGATGCCAAGGTCAAGAAGGACGAGATTGACGATATTGTCCTTGTCGGTGGTTCCACCCGTATTCCAAAGGTTCAGGCCCTCATTGAGGAGTACTTTGGTGGCAAGAAGGCTTCCAAGGGTATCAACCCCGATGAGGCCGTCGCCTTTGGTGCCGCCGTCCAGGCTGGTGTCCTCTCTGGTGAGAAGGGTACCGAGGACATTGTCCTCATGGACGTCAACCCGTTGACCCTTGGTATTGAGACCACCGGTGGAGTTATGACCAAGCTCATCCCCCGCAACACTCCCATCCCCACTCGCAAGAGCCAGATCTTCTCCACCGCCGCCGATAACCAGCCCGTCGTCCTTATCCAGGTTTACGAGGGTGAGCGTTCCATGACCAAGGACAACAACCTCCTCGGCAAGTTCGAGCTTACTGGCATCCCCCCGGCGCCTCGTGGTGTTCCTCAGATTGAGGTCTCTTTCGACCTTGATGCCAACGGTATTCTCAAGGTGTCTGCCCATGACAAGGGCACTGGCAAGACTGGTAAGTTAAAGAACGCTCCACGGGCCCCCTCCGTAACGGGAAAAGTGCAATGACTAACGATTATATTACAGAGTCTATCACCATCACCAACGACAAGGGTCGTCTCACTCAGGAGGAGATTGACCGCATGGTTGAGGAGGCCGAGAAGTTCGCCGAGGAAGACAAGGCCCAGCGTGAGCGCATCGAGTCCCGAAATGGCCTCGAGAACTACGCCTTCAGCCTCAAGAACCAGGTCGGCGACGAGGATGGTCTCGGTGGCAAGATCGACGACGAGGACAAGGAGGCCATCCTCGACGCTGTCAAGGAGGCTCTCGACTGGCTTGAGGAGAACGGCGCCACCGCCGAGGCCGAGGACTTTGATGAGCAAAAGGAGAAGCTTTCGGGCGTCGCCTACCCCATCACTTCCAAGATTTACGCCGACGGCCCTAGCGGCGCTGGTGATGATGATGAGCCCCCGAGCCACGACGAGTTGTAATTTTAACATGCGGGTTTTCTCTTTTTTTCCTGGTTCTTTTTTTTTTCTTTCTCTTTTCATAGATGACGTTCATATACCACTGGGTGTAAGGTAAAAAAAGAGCAATGCATTGAAATTTTCCCCAAGAGAGAGCTTGTTGCATCGACGTGAATGTGAGGTTTTATTTGGTTTGACTTGTTTCTCGCCATTGATCTTGGACAAGAGGTGCAATACCAACATCTAGGACGAGGGATGGGAAGAATAGGGCTCCTGTTTACCTCTGTAGGTCTCATTGGGACAGCGTCCTCCATCATAGTCTCAGAATCCGTCGGGATGGATCAAGGCACCTACCTCGTTTCATTCACGTCCCCAAGTCAAGAAGCAGGAGAGACAAAATGGCACAAAGGTTATAAAAGCAGAGTGAGACGATACACATACGTAGTACAAACCCAACACCCATCCATCCATCCCCCCAGTTCAATCGTCAGTCAACCAATCCATTTCATTCCATTTCCTTATCCTACCAAACAGTTCCTCCTCTTCCACCGGAGAACAGAAATCATTGAAGCACGAACAAGAAAAAAGAAAACAGGGAAAAAAAAAGAAGATAGGAATAAAAATAACAAAAGGCAAAGAATAAGAAGAGACTAAACTCTTCTTCCTTTTCTCACTCTTTTTTTCACTTTGCTCCGACTCCCCCCCATAAAACGTCGTGGATATCAAAACAGATGGAAAGGTGGTTTGGGGGATTCAGAGGCAGTATTTGTTGTTGGTGTTTTTGTTGCGGGAAACAAAAGACGAGGTGAAACAACCATTAAGAGGTGACAACAAGGATCGTGACCGGCGGCGGCGGGTCGAAGAAGAATCGACAGAGATGTTACGCCGCATCTAAAAGTTTTGCTTGGCGAAGCACTCTTCGATCTCCTTCTTGTACTGTGTCCGGACGACCTTTCGGTTTACCTTTTGCGTGGCAGTGACGAGGCCCTGTTATCGAGAAGACAAGTTAGTTTTAAGAATCTGGACAATGGAATACCAAAATTTGGTTTTCGAGAGAAAGGGAGGGAAAACAAAACACTTACGTTGATGGGGGTCCACTCCTCATCGGTAATGACGAGGCCGGCAATCATCTCGATGGGAGAAAGGTTCGCCTTCCTGGCATGAGCAAGCATGTCCTTGAAGACCCAGTTCACCATGCTGTGGTCGTGATACATGCTATGCTCATCGACACCAAGCTCCTCGGCCTTCTCGGCAAACAGCTTCTCGTTGGGGAAGATGATGGCAATGGGACGGGGGTACTCGCTGTTACCCTCAATCATGATGTTGTGGACGAGGTTGCTGCCTCGGTAGATGGACTCGAGCTTCTCGAGGGCGATGTACTCACCGCCCTGCATCTTGACGAGGTTCTTGACGCGATCGATCACCTTGAGGTGACCGTCGGCATCGAACTCGCCAACGTCACCCGTCTTGAACCAGCCGTCAGCCGTCTTGGCCTTGGCCGTCTCCTCGGGGTTTTCATAGTATTCCTGGAACACAGCGGGGCCCTTGACAAGAATCTCACCCTGGGGAGGGTTCGAGTCGGTGCTGTAGCCAAGCTCGGGAATAGAGACAAGCTTGACGTCGACGGAGGCGGGGATGGGACCGATGGCGTGGGACGTGTACTCCAGAGGCGAGCCGAGCGCTCCGTTGGCGCCGGTCTCAGTCAAGCCATATCCGGTAAGCATGGGGGCGAGGACCATGGACAGGAAGTGCTTCGTGCCATCGGCGATGCCGCTGGCACCATTCATAATGAACCGCAGACGGCCGCCTGTCATATCTCGGACCTTCTTGAAGACGATACCGTCGAGAATGCTGGCAGCGGGGAGACCGTGGGCGGTCATGAAAGACTTGTAACCGAAGGCCCCCCAGAAGAGAGCTCGGACAATGGGGCCAGAACCCTGAACCTTGGACGTGACGCCCTTTCGGACGGTCTCCCAGACCTGGGGCACGCCAACCATGACGGTAGGTCGCAGCTCGCGCATGTCACCAGCGCAGTTCTTCACCGACACGTCCGAGAGAGTCCGGGGGCTGCCATAGCCAAGAGTGCCGCCAATAACGAGCACGAGGTTCTCAAGACAGAGTTCGAAAATGTGGGCTAGCGGGAGGTACGCGAGGATGACTTCATTGTTGCTGACGGTTTCCTCGACACAAGTGTAAAGACCAGCGACTGTTGGAAGGGTGAATCGCAAGGTTAGCTTTAGCTGATTGGATGGCGAATCGGGGCCTCCGTCCCTGCAGAATGACGCAACAACAAAAGGGGAGAGATGCGCGCTACCAACACCGGACCATCCGAGGAGCATCCGTCAAAGGGTCACGGGGACTTGAAAAAAAAAATGGAAAAAAAAAACAGAGAAAACAAATACTTACTAGCAGCAACAATTCCAGCGTGAGTCATGGGGACACCCTTGGGCGGGCCAGTAGAGCCCGATGTGTACATGAGGCAGTACAGGTCTTCGGGTTGAGGGAGAACGGTGTCGACGGGGTTCTTCTGGCCAAGCTCGCGAAGCTCGGAAATACTATAGACGGTGAGGTTGGGGTTTTCCTTCTTGAAGTCGTCGACTTCGGAGTGGTCTGGCTTGGCGAAGATGGACTTGTCATTGTAGACGACGGTCGTAATATGAGGGGCGGCCTTGAGAGCAGAAGACATGGTCTTGAGGAGCTGAGGATCGACGTAAATAGCGCTGACCTTGGACTGGACGAGAGTGTGTTCGACGCCGGCGGAACCCAAAGAGTCGTAGGCGGTGACAATGGCGATAGACTGAGAAGAGGAAGCGTGGGACATGGCGAGCCAGTTGTAGCTGCGGAGCGCGACAGGGTTAGCCTCTCGGATTTAAGCGGGCAGTCGTGACTTGCGCTCAGAACAAGATAATTGGTGAGCAGCATCACATTCGACGCAAAGCAAGAAGTCACAAAATACGCTTTTGAAGCAGGGGAATGCGAGAAACGTAGATCAATACAGCACTGGAGGAGATGTGAACATACCTGGTGGCAGCATAGAAATGCAGCCTATCGCCGGGGTTAAGGCCAACCTTCCTCAGACCAGCACCAAGGTCGAGAATGTACTGCATATATTCCTTATAGGTCAGGAAAGTGTAGGGACTGAGCTCAAATAGGTTCCATTTCTTGTCGACTTCGGTAACCTCGCCGTCAACGATCTTTTGGACCCTCTTGGTCTCGGTGTGCATCTGGATGAGGTCGCGGCTACCGACGGCGTTGCCCTCAGGCCAGAGGGAAGCGCTGCGCTTGATAATGTCGAAGACGGTATGGACGCCTTCGGCGGGGTTGGTGATGAGGCCATCCTTGGCCTTGGGATGGCGACGGGGGAGGGTCTCGCCTGGGACGGGTTCGTAGCCGGGGGCCTCGATGGTGAAGGGAGGCTTCCTGACCTGCTTCAGAGGCATAATTCCCGAGGTGTACGTCATCTTGACGGTGTTGTCAATGGGTATCCTTGGTCGAGATGGTGTGGTTCAATGGGTGGGTGCGGAGATCGAGCTCTCGTTTCTCGCTCGCGGGCGCGCGGGCTGAATGACGTTGGGAGTGGTTGCGGTTGCGGGAGGGTTTTCGGGGAGAAGGAAGGGAGAGGAAAGAGGAGATCTTAGCAAGCTTTGTATTCGTGGAGAGGAGCAAAAACTAGATAAAAGGAGGGAGAGGGTATCGCAGAAGAGAGGACAAGGCAAGAAAAAGAAAACAGAACACAGAAAGCGATAATGTCTGATGGATGATGGCAAAAGGAAGAATGGGTATGATGAGGACACCCAGACAGAGGTTGAGTCGAGGTGAGAAGATTTGAGGGAAACGGTTGGAGCTTCCTCGTGCAGTGTTTCTCCGAGGGAGGTGGGTGGCAGTAATAAAAGGATGATTGACAGAAGGGAAAAAGGCCGAGAGGAGCTAAACAAGCCAAGGAGTCAAGGACAGGTTGAACTGCAGGCGAAGGATCGAAAGGCAGGAGAAGACAAGTACGCCGGAACAATGAAAGGCTAGTCGCACCTGCTCGGTTGCTTGGTTGCTTGGTTGCTTGGTGCTCAGACAAAGCTGGCAAAGTAAGCTTTCCTGGGGGAAATTATTGGTGTTTATTGGTGGCTGCGGCTACGACAGGGTGGACTGGGTGGGCTGGGTGGAGATCCCCAAGATGCCGATACCTCGGGGTACAAGCTAGCCGGGGCTGGACGGTACCATTGGAAACGGACTAGGGGGCGAAGTGCGCTGGAGAGCGGGATAGTGGGACAAAAGTATCAGCACAACTGGTGTACTCGGTAGTGCACACATACATTCCACATTCCCCTAAGTAAACTACAAGTAAACTACCTTGGGGGGATAAGGGCGATGATGAGGGTGGCTACAAAGGTTGTGCAGTGCTGTTCTGGTTGGTTGCCCCCAGCCAGGCAACAGTTGAACCACCCACTAAGATTGATCCAAGACCTCCTGCTGCCACAGCACAGGTCCTGCAGCCTACGTATGCACTACAAAATACAAAATACAAACCTAAGTTTACAATTTGATACACTTCGATGGCATGTACGTACATCTCGTACATCGACTCGCGTACATCAATGTAGAATAGGTAATCACCTCAACGATTTGAGCGAAGCTTCCCAAGGTTGACATCGGTTGGGGCCAGCCAGGGTTCGCAACATTTGAGCTTAGCCTGGGATTTGTGTCTCACCGGGGCTCTCTCGTTGGCCTGGCCAGGCACGCCACCTGCTTAACGCCTAAAAGTCCCCACGTTGGATATTGCAGAGAATTTACTTTGTAGAATATATCCCGCAGATATCAAGGAATGCCAAGAACAATTTGAAGGGCTTAGGAACACCATCATTTGTCGTCCACCGAGAAAGCGACATTAACAAAGCTACTGGTTGGGGCCCTGGCCTTCCTTCCCTGCGTTCCGGACAAGGCCAGTGGAATTCGAGTTATTTTGGGGGGGGATATTTCAACGTTTCTCTATCCTGAGCCCAGGCCAAGACGGTCAGGTGGGTGGGTGACTGGTAACTATCGCCTGCGACCCAAGCCCGAATCTCACCATCTCCCCAAACAGCGCCGGTTAGTCTCATCTCCTCGGCATGCAGCCAAGACTGCTGGATGCATCAATGATCAGCTTGCAACCCTGCAGGTCCTGCATTTGGAACGAAACAGGTACAAGTAGTGTACTGAGTAGTCTACAAAGGTAGATTCACCCTCGTCATCACCACCTGTTGTTCGAGGGGAGCACATTTGAGTCTGCACTTTCCGCTGTGGTTTCGGTCACCTCGTCTGTCTTCTCGCCGTTGAAAGGAATTCAGCATATTTCAGTTTTGGTGTGTGGAGGGCTGCGCCACTGCCACGATGGAGCGGGACACTGGCAGGTACCAAGTGTACTTTCCCAGTCTAGCGTCCTGCATTTATTAGGACCTGCCACTGTACTGGGGAACCTCTTTGACATTTTTTCTTAGCATACGAAGTAGTTCGAGCTCTTTATTGATTGATGGTCGGTAACTTGCTAAACCCCGAAACCTAAGAAAGCTCCAAGTCTGAACACCGCTACATCGACCCGTTTGTCGAACACAACCTTTGCAGTTCAGGACCATTGCTCTTGTCGAGATCATCCCTCACTCGGAAACTCTGGAAGATGTGGCACTTCGGAATGTATCCACATCGGTCCCCGAACAATGAAGGCCGATCGTCGATATTCGCCTCTCGGTATGCCCAGTCTCCCGAGCCCGTCAAACATCATCATACAGTTCAACATTTTCCCGGCACTGCCGCTGTTCGTCGTCATGAACATTCTATTATCTTGCGGGCCCGAAACACGAGTTAATCAATATCTTCGCTCGCCCACAGACAACATTCGACCCGCTGGCAACAACCATGGGTACCATCGAGGCCCCAAGCCCTCCAACATTGGAAACGTCCTGCGCCAAGCTCCCCGAACGCGCTTAGGCTGCATTTTAGTGGTACAATGGTGTCCTTTGGGGGTGCGGGGCAGTGAGAGAGAGTCCGTCCTCGAGACCTCGACCGCTCACGACTTCGCTGGGCGCGCAATCTTACCCATGATCCATCCAAGTCGCATCGTCCAGATTCGGGGAATTGATGTGACTACACAGCGTACGAAGTAAACTATTATCTGCCTGGTTTTGATTCCTCCAACTCCTCGTCGCCACATCTTAATTTATCTTCCAGCGCACATTGGTCCAAGGCAAGGGCTACTCCGGACACCAGACCCCAGTCGCGCACCCTATGACGAGGTCAGTCGTCGTCCCTCCATTTCAGCCGCCTGGTCTGGTCGTATGGCTCCCGAACTGCATCTGCAGATATCAAGCAGAGAGAAATATGCGTACTTCAGGGTTTGGTTTTTGCCCAGAAATCCCCTATTCTCGCAGCTGTGATGCTACGGAGCAGATTAGATATCCATCCCGCCCCCATCTCGCCTAGCACACTTCAATCAACCTCCAACACACCGGAGCTCCATTGCCCTTTTTAGTAGGCCTTACATGGTAATAATACCACCCTCCGAGGCTCCGACCAACCCCATAACCCCCTTTCCCTCCCTGTCCCCCGGCCCCCCATCGACGATTCCATTTTGATTCTGTCTTCCGAAAAGACGAGCACCATCCTTGAATCTAGCTCCAAACCTGTCCTTTCCCCTCCTCGTCCCCCTCCAATCACCCACCATGGTCTCCCCGCATCCCCATCGAACCACCAGGATAGCAATCGCATGGTTTCCGTTAGGGGAGTGAATACCTGGATCTTTCCCGTCCTCGTACCTTGTCTGTACGTGGCAAAGTGCCCCTACGGAGGTATCCTATCCTATCCCATTCCGCACTATTACTCGATGCCCACGAGGGTTCTTGCCTTCTCCTTGCCCCAAGCAAACCCCACATCTTTTACCCCAGATTTGCGATTTGCCCCCACCAAGCACCTGTTCGCACCCCCAAAACGCGATAGCTCAACTTATCCAGACACGAGCACGGACATCTCGTTCCCTTTCGCGGAAACAGAGAATCGCGAGATGCGGTTTTGCTTCGCTTTGGCTAAGAGAAACAGCTCACATGTCTAGCTCGAGATCAGATGACCTTTTTGGCGTGATGCTTCTTTTGGGATGACTTGTTTCCCAGCGGAGGAAATACGGGATATAATGTCTGTTACTAAAAAAGAAAATAGAAATACACAAATAAATGCAGAGTATAGAAACAAGAAAATACTAGAGGCTCGCCGGACTGAGTCCCCGGTCTGGCCCATCCCGGCCCGACCTGGAAAGAAAATAAACAGGAAACCTTAAAAAAAAAAAAAAATCCGGCCCATGTAACGGCGGAAATGCTATTCTTAGCTTTCGTCCGATCTTCCGCAGGACTCCAATTTCAAATCCTAGAAAATAGGAAGGTCGTCGGGAACGAAAGAGTGGAAAAGGATAGAAAATAAACATGTGCTTAACGCGGGAACTCGGTATCCAGATTCCGAGGCTCGCCCCTTGTACGACCCGGGATACATGTGGGTGCGGGCGTTGGGGACGGGACGGGACCCGGGGTGTTAGTTGGAAATGCCAATCCTGATAGTTCCACAAAGCGAGGACCCTAGAGAAGCAGGCTTACCGAGACGGGACGGAGATCCACCGTTCCTCGGCGGAGTCGAGTGTGTGAGATATCGAATCCCCTTATGATCCGAGATGCCTCGGGGCCAAGAGACGCTCGAGACCAACAGAACCGCAGTTTCATGGCCTCGTGAAGGGCCGGTGTTGATTCAACCAAGGACATCCGGTCCTCGCAAGATTCAATAATGTATGCTTGGCCTCATCTCCTTCATAGACTAGGGGAAAATATCACGGCAAGCAAGGAAGCTCGAAAAAGGATGGAGAAAAGGGAGAGATGAAAGAATCATAAGGTGTTCTCTGCTAGACACACAGGGAATCCAACACATACACCACAAGACTATACAAACTCCAAAACACCAGCAGGCCATGATCGCCCTTTCAACCCGTCCAGGTAGTTGTCTACATACACCAAGAGCATCTCCCCTCCCCATGCTACTTCAGCATTGCTGCTCTTTCACGCCTCACGGAAAGGAACAAACAAAGGAAACGAAAATGAAGGGCACCTTGGGTATAACTTTGTCAAAGCTCCATGGGTATTTCTCAAAACACACAAAATGAAGAAGATGTAGTGTGGGGGAGAAAAAAAAAAGGAGAAAAAAAAAGAGGAAAAGGCCCACGAGAACCAGGATATCCATCTGCCCATATGAACCCTTAACATGCTCTCTCTACTTCAACCGAGAAAAAACAATTCCTTCCAACCAGTCATTAAAGAAAAGGAAAACAAAACTTCTGGCTCCATCTATTAGAAGATACCAGAAAGCAGGGATATAACCCTTCTCCCTCCTCTTTCCCCAAGCATCTTCTTTACCTGCATTCACACTGACCAAGCACAACACGCCTTACTTTGATTGTTCTTTCACTCGCTGTAAAAACAGCACGTACGGAACCCTATCGCCGTTCTTCCACACGTCCCGTAAATACCTCTTGGTAAACTCGGAGTCTGTACCAAGCCGCCTCACCCTGGCATCATTAAATTCATACCATACAGGCGTCCCCTTCTCAGGGTCCGCCCTCCGGACAAAGGACCAGTAATGTCCCGAATCCGCGGTGTTGCCCATGTGAACTACAATGCCGTAGATCCGGTATTTGAATCGTTGTCCCCAGGCGGAATCTTCCGGCGACTCGGTCCCAAAAGAGCGTTCGTTGGTGGGGATGTAGAATGGTTCGAAGTCCAACTCTTCTATGGCGAATTCGATCCGCTGTGTCATCTTCTTGGTAGCTTTATCCTCCACGCGGAACCGGAGGAGTTGAATGATGATAACCTCGGGGAGTCGACCAATCCACGTTGTCCGCGTCGAGGTTCCGGTGGCCGAGCACCCGTCGCATTTATAACTATCGAGAATCTCTGATCTGTAATTGAGCTGCAGCAAGTCATTGAGCGTCCTCGTGCTCTCCGTGATGGCGAGTGAAAGGAAGAGAAAGGGATTCACGGTGACTTGGGCCATGCCACATTTGCAAAGCGTCCTGACCACCTCCATGCCTCTAAAGTACCTGTCGACGATGGTGTCTGATGTTTCGCGGTAGTGATTCCAATCGCGTATCACCGCTTCTTGTAGTGACTGATTCTTTTTGGGATCCAACTTTGCGCTCTGCCCTCTCTTCGGTCTCCTATTGGTTTCGCTGTCCATCGCCGTGAAAACGACGTGCATGTACTCGGCAGTGTCTTGCTGAGTATTGTTATCGCCGAATTTAATACGGTCAGTATCCGTTATGTGGCCAAGATAGTCCTATATGAAGAAGCCCAAGGGCCTATAGTCAGTTAACTGGGACCCTTCCCGGTGGGGGACGAGAAGATATAAGCCAGGTGATTGACGGGATGCAGGACCATATTAAGAGTCCGTGTGTGGAAGAACTATCAATCCTGCTTTCACACTTCTAGTCGAATTTGGGAAAGGGGTCAAGGGGGAGAAGAAAAAAAAAATGGGGGGGGGGGGGGGGACAATCCTTACCATGAGCGTCTGGGCCTTCATAACCTTAAAACAGCCCTGGTTCATCCACTGGAACAGATTTCCAATAATGTTCATTAGGAGTTGCGGCGGCTTATCGTCACCGGGTGGCATCCATTGGTTTCCATTTCCTTGCCTCCAGCCTGCTAGCTCATCTCCAAAGCCGGCCGTGAAGCGCCATACCTGTAGAATGCTATTCGAGTAACACCAAGTGCCTCTATTATAGAGCCCCGTTACGTGGGCTCCATGCGCATCGCTCCCTTCGGGGAGAGGCAATGTCTGCGTTAGCATAACAGTAGGGGTCCCCTGGTCATCATGGGAACTTAGACCACTATAGCTGGGCCGCGGGATGGCCGGCGCTGGACGTGTTGGCGGTGCTGGGAGGTCGTCATACTTGGAAAGTTGGTAGTCTACCGAACCCTGTGGCAAGTCGAGGGGGTAAGGAGATCCAGAAGTCATCGACTCCTGCTCCACCGTGACAGGTGGGAACCTCCGGAGGAAGTCTTCAGTTGAACGTACAAAATTTGGTGAGTGGGCCACGTCCATGTCCTCTTTTTTCAAGGTCTCCTGCCATTGCTTCACCTCCTCGGGCTTCAACGGCTTCACGTTGTATGTAGATAGGTGCTGAGCACTAAAATGCCTTCCCTTCAGCCCGGCACGATCGGCTTCCTGCGCCGACACTGTCACCGACATTCTTGTAGAGCGTCTAGTATTGGAGGATGAAGCCTGGAGTGAGTTGGGCCCCATGAGATCGGTCCAGGCCTCGAGGCCACCTGAAAGGAGCTTCGGGGGATTTCGCAATTCACGACCATAGTTGAAGTCTACCAGGGCCCTCCGTAACGAGACGAGGGCCTTTCCAGCATCGGAGGACGGGATATACGGGGTGGTATCGGAGTCATTATCATAAAAGACAACAAGCTCGAATTTGTTTCGACGTTCAAACTCCAGTTGCTCTTCGGCCGGTGCTAGAACGTTGCTCTCGCTTATCTCCGCTGCAGAGATACTGTCTCTAAGGAGAACGGATGGCTCGATGCAGATGGTATGTTGGGATAGGATATGGCCGCTTTCAAACTCATCGCGGGGTCGAACGTCAATCAACAAAATGTCGCCACTCCTGGACCTCATCAAGTCGCAGAGCTGCTGGGGCGTCAAAGTGTCTGTGGTGGGGATGGGCATCGGAGACGTCGATTCCGTGGATCCGCGTGCACTCCGCGTGCCATTCGTCGCGGGTTGATGTAACACTGATGCTGTGGCAGATCCGCTACGAACGCTAGAAATGGGGTTGCTCGAACCCACGAGGCCAAAATGGCCCCGGGTTGTACTTGACGATAGTTGCGAATCTTCAGTGATCACCGTGCCTCTTGCTGGGCTGTATATGGCGTCAGGCACTTTTGGGAGGTTGGGAACGGAGACTTCGGCAGTAATCTTCGAAGCGCGGGACCGTGACCCTCTCGGTGCCGGGGGTGGAGGAGGAACGAGAGGATGGGTCTTTATCCGCGGGTCCTGTTGTTGTTGCTGTTGCTGCTGCTGCTGCTGTTGTTGTTGGTGCAGCGACAGCTGCTGTGCTTGTGACGTTGACCCTCTCAAGTTTGCGAATCGGGCGTTTAGGTCACTCGAGTCTGTTCGATGATGGCCCGACCCAGGTCGTATCGCATTGCCATGGAGAGCTTGGGGTTTTGGGTGAATAGTCGGTTTCTGTCTTGGTGAAGATTCACCAATGGGACCATCCCCATTGCTCCGAGATCCACTTGCGCTTGGCGTATAGTTCGAAGAAGCGGCGTCCCGTGAAGTCGCGGGCCTGGGAACTCCTTTCTGAGTCGGCTGCACACCAGTCCTTTCATTATCCGCCTTGATATCCTCTTTTATCTTCTCGAAGGTGGGGCTCGCCGAGATGACTTTGTGCTGGAGCGCTTCGTAGAGTCGACCTAGGCCACTTCTGTCGCTGCGAAGCGACACGTATTCCTTGTGGTGGGGGATTATCTGGATGGCGATGATGCAGCCACGGATATACTCTTGGAGAGCAAGATCGGGCCGGTTGAAGGTGACCCAAGTGTCGGCTTGGCGTATGCACCCATCGCCGGCCTCGAGAAGCTTCCGGATTGGGAGATTATGGTCAACGCCAGCGGATACCGACGTTAGGTCGCTGATATGAGGAAGAGGGCCCCTTGAGGGGGTATTCCCCCCAGAAAGCTTGCCACCGCTGGCGAAGCCATTTGCATCGTTCCTCGCCACGAACATAAGGGTCTTATATGGGAAGCGGGCCAGAAACTAAGCTACCTAGACAGCGAAGTTGGATCGGGTTGCCGTATTGCCTTGCTTATCGTTGTCGATCACGGGTAGGACGGTGGGGTCGGCAAAGGAGCCGAGTATTTTCGTAGGCGGAGGGTTCGAGATCGGACGAGAGATGTCGTCGGGGAGGGGGGAAAAGAGAAAGGAAAGTAGGATGGGAACGAGGCTAAGTATCGGTGGAGCTGAGAAGAGAGAGGGCTTTCATTTCGCTGTTATTGAATCCAAGACCTGCTTCGTGGTGATGGAGTGGGTGCGCTTCGCATTCGAGAGAGAGAGGGAATGTTCTCGGGCAGGGTTAACAAGGATAATGGGCGTGGGGTGGCAAGAAGGGGCAAGCTGGAGTGTGAAGCGGTTCTGGGGTACTGAAAGCATCAGCGGCAGCAAAAGAGATTGTTCTGCAAACAAGGTGAGAGGGTGTGGTTGTGGTGTGCAGGACCATGGACTGGAATTTTGTCACATTCTTGGATCTTGCTGGAGCGGATAGCCAGATTTGTCTGGTTCTGGTTGTAGAATGACGAGGCTCGCTTGGAGACAAAGGCGGACGTTGACGAGGATTGCGGTTGCTGTTGCGGGACTCTATCCAGGGTCTGGGTTCTAGTGGATAATTGGACTTGATTTGCTGTCCAAGTCACCGCCAGGTACATTAGCCATTTGTCAGGATACTTTTCTCCCGCCTAACATTTTAGCTGCCAGCATGGTAACTTAGAGCGCCCCGCTTGTACTAGTCGGACCTGCCTTGCCCAGCTGCGTGGTTCTGGCATCAATCGGGGGGTCCAGATCAATTTGTTAAGTAGAGATCTACGATGCAGCTGGCGATACGAAGGCAGAGTTGAGGACAGTGCAGCCCCGAACGAAACACTCAATACTTGCACTCAATTAATAGCGCAGCGCTCTTTTGGACTGGCCTGGCCCTGGGCTGGCCAGCTCAGCCATCACTGGAACCACCGGCCACTTTTCGCTCTTTGGAATCTCTCGTGCCATACCTTTATACATACCACGGAGTTGTATCCGACGAAATAATTATCCTACTTGGCACCTACAAAGTAAGAGAACACTCGGATAGTAGAGAACTGCGACTCCGGGTTTGCAGCGCCCTGCCTAGCCCAGTCCTCTTAGATTGGTGAGGCGGCATTGTTCGGAGTTGAGCGGCTAGGAGCGCTGCCCGGGGGCCCAAGGGAAAAGTGAGCGGGAAAGCCTCAAAGTGGAACTTCATGGCAAGGCAGCCATATTGTCGATTCCCGGATCGAAGGGTTTGGAAAATAATGACGAAAGATCCAGTTACCTACGCTCGTAGTAGACGATGCCCAGTTCCGGTCGCATAAATCAAAATACGCAGAACCACCCCCATCGAACATATCAAATCGAGTCGAATGGATCAAATGGATTGAGGTTCAATCTAACAACCGTTGCAGATTGGACTGTTCGAGCCTTCTTCAGTTCTTACAGCTCTTACAGCAGGGGTATTACCGGGGCAGGCTCACTCCACAGTTTCTCAGCACAGTTGCACAGTACACGGATGGTGGAGAAGTACTAAATACATCCATATGTGATGTGAGCTGCTCAGGCATGTCCTTGTGCTATGTTAGTTTCTGACACCAATGAGCAATACCTGTACTTCGTAGACTGTGTTGTTCTGTACAAGTATAAATGTACTTGGTACAATTGTACTAATTAATGGGGATGTCCACAGTCCAGTGCTCATTACCCTGCCTCACCAAGCTTGCACGTGAATGAGCCAGACAACGTCAGCTCCCTGGCAGGAAGTGGCCGCTATAGCCATCACCATCACGAAAGCAACCAAGGCTGCCACTTTATTATCCTCACCTTCATGCCCCGCTACAACTGTGCATAGTTTTCCTTTTCTCCAGATCCTGCAGCCTCACCTGTTACTGTTGCCGGCATTCTCTGTCCATTTAATATTTCCGATTTCGTTTTGCACAGTCTGACTGCTCAATCCAGAGTCACCGTCTCGTTTCTAGTTCCCTTTCAGTACCTCCCCTTACTGGGCACTACCCTCCTATCAACCACACGTCTGTTCGCCTCCTCCTACCGGGGCAAAACGCAAATACAAGATGATGAGCTGGTGGTCATCATCGGCCAATACGGCTTTGGACGAACAAATTGATAAAGCGACTAGCAGCAGCTTGTATGGAGCTCTCCCTCCTCCTATCGCAGACCCCCGACCTTCGCTCCTAACCCAACTTGCCTATCTAGGGAGGATATCGCGTTGAACCTCGAAATCTCCGATGAAATCAGATCGAAAACTGTGCAGCCTACCGAGGCCATGCGATCGCTCAAGAAGCGCATCGGCAACAGGAACCCCAATGTCCAGCTGAGCGCGCTCAACGTATGATAATCCGGGAAATCCGCCCCCGACTTCCGAAGCTGACCGACCTTGCTAACGCTTTGGATGGGTGATATAGCTCACGGATACCTGTGTAAAGAATGGCGGGGACCACTTTTTGAAGGAAATCGCATCGCGCGAGTTCATGGATAATCTTACCTCTCTTCTACAAGCCGTTGGCCCGGCCGCCGTGAATCTCGAGGTCCGAGCGAAGATACTCGAATACATTCAGTCGTGGGCGACCGCCACCGAGGGGCGACATGAACTATCCTACATCAATCAGGTATATAGCAACCTGAAGCGAGAAGGATACCAGTTTCCACCCAAAACTACCATCTCGAGTAATATGATCGACTCCAGCGCTGTATGTTATCCTAAATTATCCCGATATCTACCCCTCCTGTGGTCGTCGCCCTCGTCGACTAACACGTCTCTCTACTTTGACTATAGCCCCCTGAATGGATAGACTCCGATGTCTGCATGCGATGCCGTACGGCCTTTACGTTCACGAACCGGAAACATCACTGCCGCAACTGTGGAAACTGCTTCGACCAACAGTGCTCTAGCAAGACGCTACCTCTTCCCCACCTCGGAATCAAGACGCCCGTCCGAGTTGATGATGGATGCTATGCTAAGCTCACGACCAAACCCGCTCCTGTCGACAGGACCCCGACCTACCCACACAAGACCCGAAGCACGTCTGCGATGCAGCCCAGAAGTGCCCGTGTCGATGATGTCATTGACGACGACCTTCGAAGAGCGCTTGAGATGAGTCTAGAGGAGGTCAAGAGCTATTCTCGCGGATACGCCGAGCCGAGCAAGAATGGATCCGCCACCACGGCACGTGTTAATGGCACTTCCCAGCCCTCCAAGCCCGCCGCCGAGGAAGAGGAGGACGAGGACCTGAAGCGAGCTATCGCGGCGTCCCTTGCCGACATGGAGGAACAGAAGCAGAAACACTCGGCCGCTCTGAAGGAGCAGACCCACGGGCCCGCTACTTCATCATCGGTACCCTTGACGCTCCCCAAGAACGATTACGAGCTCACCCCGATCGAGGCCGAGAATATCAATCTGTTTGCGACTCTTGTCGATCGACTGCAGACGCAGCCTCCTGGAACCATTCTGAGGGAGCCACAAATCCAGGAGCTTTATGACAGCATCGGTGCTTTGCGACCGAAGCTAGCGCGTACCTATGGCGAAACTATGAGCAAGCATGGTAAGGATCCTAACAAAGTCGCACAAGCAAATTCTTGTACCGGAAGACCTTTCGACTAACTGAGGGTCACAGATACGTTGCTAGATCTCCATGCAAAACTATCAACGGTGGTGCGCTACTACGATAGGATGCTCGAGGAGCGTCTTTCCAAGGCGTACGGACAGCACGGGTTTGGCGGATATAACCCAGGCCTCACCCGCCACCCCACCGGTCCCTATCCTACCCTCCAGACAGGCGGCGCTAGTGCGCCGGGCCCGGCCGAGAACTTTTACACAGGAGAGCAACGTCAGGACTACGGACGGCCACCTCAACAGCAATACCCGGGGCACCCACAGCCAACGGCGCAGGCTCCGTATGTCGGATACGATAAGAACACAACTGGCTCTATCCCGCCCCAAAGCTACCCTGTGCAGCCGCAAAGGGCTGATAGCTGGCAACAACCCACTCCGACTTCGGGGGCACTGGATGGACAGTACCAGCAGCAGCCGCCTCAGCAGCAACAATACCCGCCGAGTGATGCGCAGCAGCAGCAACAACAACAGCCACAGCAAAGGCACCCCAGCATCGCCAACCAGCCGACACCAACCCCATCCGCTCCCCCAACTCAACCTGATACCAATTATTACTATACCCAGCAACAACAAGCGCAGCCACAGCAGCAACCACAACAACAACCCCAGCAACCTAGCCAGCCCATGCCGCCTCCCGGAGCTGCTCCACTAGACCCATCCCAGTCCCCATATCCCAATCTTCAGCAGCCCCTCCAGCAATATCAGCAGACTCCCCAGCCCCTGCCGGCGCAACCTGCCCAACCGATCCAGTCGCCGCAGCCGACTCCTCAGATCCAGCACCAGCAGCTCCCGCCGCAGCAGAACCCGTACTGGCAACCTTCAGTTCCTCAGCAACAGCACCACCAGGCGCCGCCTCCGCAATCTCAGGTGCAGCAGCAGCCTCCCCAGCAGCAATGGCAGCCCCCTCCTGCGCAGGGGTACGGCGGGTATCAGCAGGAGCTTCCGAAGCAGCAGCCTATAGTGGAGGAGAGCCTAATAGAGTTGTAAGAGAGAGAGAAAGAGAAGAGGCTAGGGAGGCTATCGAATTGTCATGGGTTAGTTAGGGCGTGGACATTGTGGAGTTTGGGCTTGTTTTCTTTTTACGTCCGTTTTTTTTCTTCTTTGAGGGGAAAGGGTGGGGGCTAAGGAAATGTATTTTAGAATGACGAAGAGGTCCCTTAGCCTCAGAATACCCGGAAACGGTATACAGGATGGGTGGTGAGTGAGTGGAGGGTGAGTATGGAATGTAGTGGTTGATCGGCGGGGTATGCTATTGATATCCAGATCCAGGCTTAGCCCCATTTCACCAATTCTTCTCCCATTACGAATCCGTGCCTTGACTCGACGTCTTTGATATCCAGCCTGGTGGGAAAAACTTTTGTGAAATGCATATACACTCTGTAAACGAAGGGGTTCCTTAAGCTTGCCTTCTCACATCCTTGCTCTATGTTCCCCATTTCGGCTCTATATCGCACTTCTCTTGAACTCTCTATCTGATTCCGGACCTGACAAGGAATGAGCAAACCCGAGCCTTGTTTATCCAACGCACATCTAGGAACTCAAGATGGAACCGCGAACGGAAGATTTTCGATGGTTACACATTCCGATGCTTCGTTTCTAACATACTTCTTCATCGAACCATCTCACAAGGAATGACGATAGCTAGTAGTACTTTCCATGCCTCTTCTCCATCCTGGCTTCGGGGTATCACCACTCCCAATGCCAGTGCCTGAGGTTGTTCCTATTTCGGATTTAGCTTATTCGATTAGCCCTATTAGAAACATAGTTATCTTAAGAATGTGGAAAAAGGGGGGGTGGAGGGTAAGGAAGAAATATCGACGCGGTTATACATGACATCTCCAAAAGGCGAATCTATCAAAGAGCGTGGATTATTTCTAGCACTAAGAAGTAATCGGGGCATCTGACATGGAAAAGGGCCCTAACCGCCTTCACCGAGTTTCTCGGCCGCCATTGTTTTTCTGTTTGTTTTTTTTTCCTTTCACGACTTCCCTCTCCTATTGTCGAGCCAAGAGTTTGAGCTCCTCGGTTATCAAAAACAGTCCTCCCGCAGCAAGCAAAAGCAGGAACCAGCCAACCAACCAAAAAATACATAGTACATACAGGGGATATAAAAAAGTTGATTCGTTTTTCGGTTTCCAAAACACGCAGGAAGAGAGGCGGAAAAAAACACACACCTGTAAAAGAATAGATACGAGCCTTGAAGGGCGAGGGGTGCGATGTGTCGATGATCGGGGAGCAAGTGATCGGCAACTTCGCGGGCACAGGAGAGACGAGGAAGTGAGCAAGTGGAACTTTTCCTTGTTTTGGGGACACACGACACAAACAAGACGTGGTAGTCGAAGAAAAAACAGAAGAAAAAGAAAGGCAAAAAAAAAAAAGAAAAAAAGAAAAAAAAAAGCATATGTGGTCCTGTCCTAATGTTCGTTGCCTCCTCATAACTGCTTTCATGTCCTGGTTCCCCCCAAAAAGAGGGTAAAAACAAAAAAAAAAAAAAAAAGAAGAAAGCAGAGAAAGAATAGAGAAACAAGCAATATAATGAGGAGTAAAAACCTATTGGTACCCTCATTATCCCACGCTATATCATGTCTTCCTAATACACTCCTTTCTTTCGCCCTTCCTACCCCAGTATCATGCCGTTCCTATCCGGGTGCATCACCAATTCCGATGATATGCTGTATGCTACTTGCGATACCGCAAGCAAAGGACCGAAAAGCAAGCTACAGGGGCGCATGTCTGGCTTGCATCTAAAATCATGTATCAACCCCGCCTCGAGTGTCTGATAGAAATTAAACGGAAGAGCAGCACCAGGTAGCCATTCTCTAGAAAACTCCCCTCCCCCGCCTCCTGCGTCGTTGCCCGATAATTCTTGCAGAATGTACGATCGTGGCTGTGGCTGCTGCCAGCTCTGAGGAAGCTTCGTCGAGGAGTATACGCTAACTCTGCCAAAGGTCAGCCGCACAGGTAATCTGGAACGCAATGTTCCAGATCATCCTTAGCCATGCTTGGCACCGCTGAGCCTGGTCACAGCTTATTTCTCCACTTCTTCTCGCACTCCAGGTCTTCGTAATGGCGCCATATCTAGTGTAGGCAGGACAAGTAAAAGCTGACTCTCGGCTCTGGGTGGAGGAACAACCATCGTCAATTCGAACGACCCCTTTCGGCGTACGAGAGGAGTAGCGTGACCTCGTCGGTTTAGGTTCAATAAAAAGTAGAGCGACCCTACTGCCCTCCTTTCCGAGCCTTCTCCTGCGCGCGTGCTTCACGCGCAGCCTTGACTAGCGGTGCAAGATGTTTCAAGTCGACACATTGCTTCATGAAATCGTGCTGGAGTGATGATTAGCGACGAAGTTCCAGGCACGTGCGTGCAATCAAAAAATCCTCGACTTACTCGTAACAGATCGTTGGCGCTGGCTCGTCTCTCGGGGTCCACCTTAAGGGCCCAGTACAGGAAATCCCTAAACACGTCGGACATGTTCTGTTCGTCCTTGATTTGTGGCGTCCCGTTAGTAGCGATGAGCCACAGTGCGCGGAGAGGAGATTCCGTAAGGTATGGTGGTTCGCCCTCAATCATCTCGATGGCCATGATGCCAAGTGACCAGATGTCGACCTTTTGTCCGTATTCCTTTCGTGTCACTACCTCGGGTGCCATCCAGTACGGAGTGCCAACCATTGTAGTTCGCTTGTTTTGCGCATCGTTGATGGTTGCGCAGAAACCGAAATCAGCTGTAGAGAACGTCACCGTGTTAGCGCCAATTGAGGGGGAAGTAAAGAAAAATTTCTCGTCTCTTTTTGGAGAAGTTCAAGGAAGAGTTGCGACATCACGGTCATCGTTGCAAGAAATAAATTAAAAAAAAAAAATAGAAAAAAATAAAAAAGAGGGAAAAAAAAGGTGCCAAAGGGGTAGTGGGGTGAATGCGAATGAGAGATGAAGAGTTACGTACTCAGCTTGATATTTCCTTCCATGGACAGGAGGATATTGTCAGACTTGATGTCTCGGTGGATGACGCCCTTCGAATGTAGATGCAGCAGACCCTTGAGTGTCTCGCGGCATACAGACGCAATCATGCCCTCCGTCATCATATTGAACGTAACAACATCCGTTAGACTACCACCTTCCATAAACTCCATGACAACCCAGAGCTCGCCTCCACACAAATAACTGTTGATGAAGTTGACTATGTTGGGGTGCGAGCTGTCCTTCATAACTAAGATTTCGTTAATAATGAGGTCCTTCTTGGGTTGCTGCTCTAGGTTCATCTGCTTTATAGCAACCAGACGATTAGTCCCCCTCTCGTGACCCGTGTAGACTCCGCCAGATGCTCCCTGTCCGATCTTATTGAATCCCCGATATATGTCTCGCGGATCATCCTCGGAGCAGATACGCCTGAGTGCCGCGATAACATCGATGCCACTGCTTTGGCGGGGGCGTTGTCGTGGCCGTGCGGCTGGCGGTTGCGATACTCCTACGGGAGCTTGAGGAGGCCGCATCGCACCGGCTGCGTCCGGCGTTCGGCCATACTGATGCTGTGACGTAGGAGGTGTAGGCTGCTGCGGGGCGGGCTGCCTCTTGCTGGGAGCTCGGCCGATCTGTCCTGAGGACATAGCCTGGGCCTGTGCTAAAGCCTGTTCATGCTGCTGAAGCAACTGTTGCTGATACGCTGCGGCCTGGGCATTCTGCGTCGTTTGAGGTGCTGGGCCTGCGCCTTGCGGCATGTACGGTGACGTGCCATTGACACGCGAGTTGGACCGGGATCGGAGTTCCTCAGGAAGCATGGGTACGTTATCCTTCGGAGGCACATAGGAGACCGGGGGAAGCACATCGCCAGTTTGAGACATGCCAATCCCCGAGTCCTTGGTTGGGTACGGCTGTTGACCGACGCTTCTCGGCTGCTGCAAGTTGCTTGTTGGCGGTTTCGGTGCTGGGCGGGTAGGGACGAGGTTGGGATCCTTCGCGGGAGGCACAGGACCGGCGCCTTTCATCGGTACGGGAGGGGGTGCTCGAGGATTTTCAAAACTTCCTTCATGATTGACTGTCGGAAACCTGGGACTCGCGGGAGGGCTGAGCATGGGGGACATGCCTAGGTAATTCTGCTGCTGGTAGTGGGATGGGGACAAGGGATAAGGCGGCGGGGGTGCGCCATTGTACTGGCGCATCTCTGGGGACGCAGCAACATGGTGGAATTTCTCGAGAACCTGATCTTCTTTTGGTTTCTCCGTGGTTTCCTTGTAGAACTGAAGGATGTCCACCATGGTTTGCGGGTTCGCCTGCCTCTCCTTCTCGGGGATGCCGCTTTCGTTGATTAATCGCTGCCATGCTTTCGGGAGACCCTATCATAGTCGAAAAAACATCAGTAGCCAATTCAAACATTGGAAAGCCACAACTTAGGCAGATGGCAACAGAAGAAGGGAGTTCATGGAAGACAAGACTTGGTAACTTTTGGCTGTAAAGACAGATATTTGTTTCCACAAAATATGTGGCATAGAAAAAGAAGAGAATAGGGAAAACAAAGACGGAAAGGAAAAGAGACGCACCGTAAATTGTCCCGTATTACTATCATATCCTACATGGGTGACATGAACTGGGTTCTCTGGTGCTGAAATGATGGGTTTCTTTGGCGAGCCAACGAGGCCACTGACGAAACCGGAAAACCCAGACTTTTTCCTGAGAACTGCAACTCTTGGCTCCTTTGCCTCGTCCGAAAACCTCTTAGAGCCCGACACGTCGATCACCTTTGCGTCCTGTGTCTTGTCGGCGGCGCTCGGGTCGGCCGACACGAATGTCGCCGAGTGGGGGACGATCGGACTCATGATAAGGGTATCGGTGTTCGATTTGACCAACGGAGGAGGGAAGGAAGGCTTATTCGCCGAAGGAGAAGAAAGTTTCGAAGCGTCGAGGCGGTTAAGAATGGCCGCACCGTCGAAAGGAGCGCCGACAAAGTCGTCTGTATTGTTGTGGAGGAGGGGCTTCTGGTGACTCTGCGGATCAGAGAGTCTGCCACTTCGAGGCGGGGAGGGCGCGGCCGTCGTAGGCGGCGGGGGATAATTTTGGAAAGACGGGGAGAATTCGGAAGAGCCAAGGAGAGGCGATGGGTTTGATCGCACAAGGGAGGGGGGATATCTGGGAGACGAGTTGTTTGACGCGTCCGGATTTGCCCTCGCGGGCGGAGCGCTTGGGGTGCGCTTCAGACTCTGGGTGCTGCGTTTGCTCTGGAGGGAGAGGTTGTCGAAGCCGAAGCTAGCATCGACGCCGGATGAGGATCGGTTATGATGAGAAGGAGGTTTCTTTGTGAGTTTTCGACGTTGAGAATTGCCGTTCAGGTTGGTGTTGGAACTATCCATGATCCATCCAAATCTGGAGGAAGTGGAGACAGAAAAGGTGAGGGTGCTTTGTTTGCTGGAACTGGGCTTGCAGCAATAGCGGCGGCGACGGCGGCGGGCGGCGAGACGAGGTCGCAAAAAGCAGGGGAGTAGTTTTTAATGGGTTACCCTTTTACCCTTTACCCTGCCTGGCTGTGTGGCTCTGGTAACTGTACACTGCTCGGGAGAGGAGTGTACGAAAGTACGTGCTGTTTTAAGGTGTGGAGATGCGCCAACGTGCCGTACGTGGGTCGAAGAGAGGGGCGACAATTGTGATAATTGGCACAATCAATTGATGTTGGGTTGGGTTATTATTGCCCACCTCGTCTGTGCTGGCAGGCCACAGACTGGGTTGAAGATGGCGAGACCGGTGGGACTAGGTACCTTGTTTCTTGCGGGAACTGGGACAGTGGTTATGAGCGGTCCCTGCTCTGCAGTTTTCCAGGGTCTGAGGACAAGTCCTGACTCCTGGGTCAGAGGAAAGGTGCAATGGAGACTTGTTTGTCGCAAAGTGATGCTTGGACGGACAATAATAGGCGGAGGGGTTTTCTTGGGTACAGAAATTATTGTACCACAGTGGTGATGTACACGGTACGGCGTGTACTAGTACAATTCGAAGAAGGGAAGGGCAGGCGGGTCCTTCGACCGGTCCAGGCTGGGGGCCACTTGATTGTGATGGGGAATAGTGGAAAGGAGGGGGAGGGGAAGGGGAAGGGGAAAAAAAGGTGGCGACGGCGACGGTGGCTGCCAGATGCGGAGGTCGAGAGACAGAGGCTGGAAAAGTGTTCTTTGGTTGATCGAATGCTGCAAGGCGCCGAGGCGGGATTAGCCTTCGATTGAGTGTATTGATCGAGGGAAGAGATCGAGAGAGCTCTCGGGGTTGTGTTTCCCTCTTCGGCAAAAAGAGTGCTGCGGGTGATGGAATCTGATGTCGAGGAAGGCAAGACTAAAAGCAAGAAGGGTTAAAAAAGAATGGAAGAATCCCTTTCTGGATGAAGTCGAATGTTCAATCTCGTCTTGTGGATTGGATGCTGAGCTCTCAAATGGGGAGTCGTCGTTCGTAAATACAATCAATCTCGGCGTGAGCTTGGTGGGACCGTTGTACACGACATTGGAGGATCAATGGGTACTCGTGGCGGGTACAGCAGTGTACAGTACATCAGGATGGACAGGGCCAGAGAGATCAAATGAAGAGTAAAATGGACTAATATCTAGAGACAGGGTGAGTGATATTTTTATGGTACTGGATTACCGAAAATTGATTTATTACTTGGGGAGCGGCCTGGGTCTTGAGGTTGTATTGATACAGTCTATCTCCCAAGTCCAATGTTGTCCGTTTGCGTGTCAATGTAACTCACCTCGCGCGTTATGTACAGATTCTACGTCGATTCACTCATGGTCTAATTTGATACTGGGGACTCTGGAAGCGGAGCAGGCCAATAATTGAGGCAGGTACTGACTACGAGGGACTAACCTGGGCTGCGGGAACAATTGAAGAGAAGGAAGGAAGGAAGGACTTCGCTTTGCTTGTACGAAAGTGGGTGGAGCGATGGGAGTGATGGAAGGAAGGATTGTGTTGCTCCTTCAGTTGAAGCAAGAGCAATGATCGTTTCAACTTTCTTGTGATAATCAATACGAGGACCGCTTCCCCCTTCCATCCTTGTCGGGTCGCGCCTGCTTGATGGCGAGATGGGGGCGAACGAAAGAGCAACGAGCCACCTCAGGCATTCAGGCGCGAGGGATGCGTTCAGGGGAACTGGACCCTCAAGGACTTGGGATATAAGCAGCTTACCTCCTTCATTCGGCGTCGCTCTTCCAACAAGTACCAGCTCAACCTCGTGGTCAGCCATGCGTTCGTCGATGTGAAGGTCGCAAATCCGGCCTCTACCATGCGTACTTCGTACTTCATGCGCAGTCCGTTCATCGGCATCCTTCAATTGACTTCCCAACGAGGGGACGAATTGGCTTTGCTTCGTGGTTCCATACACCCGCCACATGTGCCAGGCGCGTCACGTCTGTCGGCCGAGCAATGCTTTGACGACAGTTACAGCGCTATTAAGCGGGCGGGAAACATCATTTTGGCTACAAAATACAAGTAGCTCGATGTTATTAGGCTTTCGGACGTCATTAACAGGGAGCTTCCAGTTCTCACTTGGTGTTCTAGCTTGGATGGAGACTGCTAGTCTAGTGCGGCGGCATGTTTCAGCTAGAGCTTAGACTAGCTCCATCGCCGGCCGAGCAAGCACTCCACCAGAGATCTTGTCTGGGAACGAGTGAGTCGGGGAAATGAAGATATCCAGGTCTTGTTATTTTGTGTGTCTTGGTGATCCAGAGACCCGTCTCACGGAGACTGTCTCGACACGTCAAGCGAAGAGGGGATCTTGGAATGGCTGAACTCAATCGAAGAACTAAGGGCTTGTGGCGTGTCCAGTCGAAGAACTCCAGTAGAGGCTGTTGATTTCCTTTCGAGACAGCGCAGTATATTACCATGAATGCAAAACGTGAGAACAAGCTCTTGGAGGTACCCCGTCCGTAGGGCACTGCTGCAGGCCCATCGATGTACCTTCAATTTCACATATCCAACGGTTGTGGCATCAGTGTTTTGGGTTGTCTGCTGATGACTGGGGTGGCGCGACGCCATCCGAAATCTAGACTAGTACGAAAACAAGCACCTTAGTTATAAATTATGTAGTGTACACTACTTCGTACACGTAGGTCACAGACTACCTCTTCAAGGGCTTCGAGCTCTTCATTCTTCAATGGAAGCCTCCTCCAAGTTGAATCATGACGGAGAAATACTTCGTAGATCAAGGAAAGTATTGTGGCATGAACAAAAGGAGTATCTCGTTCGATGCACTGACCAGGTCTATCACGAGAGTGCTACGGGTCTGCGCAAAGTTTGGCTTGCCTCCTCTAGGACTGAAATGGTTCGTCCATGTGCGCTGTAGGTGCGGCAAGTGGCGCCGACCCTGAGGACCAGACTGCATTATGCCAGCATTACGAAGCTTGGTCAAGAACCCAATGCTTCAGAGATAGCCTTCTCTCCGCAACCGCATTTAAGTGGTACCCCATCTAAGAAGCAGAGCCCTTGATGCCTCGGTACGATGTTACTGGACAATGTATGGGCTTGTACGAAGTACTGAGTATGCATGGTCGTAGAATTGGTCTTCCATCAATCGAAATGAGCTTCGACTCCTTACAGCCAACTAGAACGGGGATCGTGGATATCGATTTGAAGATTGCATGCGTCCTGGCGTCTTCGATGGGCCCAGGGTTGTATCATTTGCGCATTCCCCTGGTTTCATGGGTGGGCGCAAATTAAGCCTTTTTGTGGCATTTACCGCTCATGCTCGTTAAAGGCATGAGATTTTGAATCTTGACTTTACCAAATCAGAGACGGCATGGCATCATTGTGTACACATACAGCATGAAGTAGGGTATCTCGCTCTCAAGAAGACGCCAATTGAGCTCTAATCGAAAGTGCTGAGATGGAGAAGGAAGATCCAGCAGGCTGCAGGCCCATGATAGATGAAGACAAGCTCATTCATACGGCCAACGAGAAGGGAATCTTCAAGGACCGTTCATAAAGCAATACAGAGCTATGAAGTATTATGCCGACCCATCCTGACCAAGTTTGTGGATTGCGGCGTGGTGCATTCTCTGGGAACCGAATATTAATTGCCCGGAAGCCACCCGCCTACTACCAACTCTCCACGCTTCTATCTTGGACAGAACGTGTAGCAGCCGGGCCATGGATGCTGTTTAGTTGTATTCCCCCTAACCAGATGCGATCCATCGATCTTGCTGGTTCCTCGAAGGATTTATGAACACACTGTGGTTGCGTCCCTGACTCGCTAACTGGGGTCGATCCTTCGTCATTGCCGGCGAGGGTCCAAAAACTGGGAACTCGATCTTGGAACTGCATCCACGCTGACATACTTCGTATATCAATTTCAATGCGAGATGCCATCATGCTGTGTGGTACCTCACGCAACCAATCCGTCGAGACGGAGATTCGGGAAGGATTATATCAAATGTACGATTATTACGAGCTATATGGCCAATTATGCTATGACTCCGCCTGTTTTCTAGAATAGCCAAATCTCCGTGTTCCCTTCTTCTTCAACCCTTTATTCGCCCGTTGCTGACCTCGACCATTCCACCCACATTGCCTATTGCCTGTGGAGATTGATTTCTTGGTGTACCAAGAATATAAGTACTGGATACTTGGTGATATAGATCGTGACTTTCTTTGGTTACTCTCAAGAAGAAGTGTAGCTCAATGTTTGGTTCCAGGCATCGGCGTGAAAACGCTTTGGAAGGATTCCCTGCCGTTGAGTGTCCATTTATAGTAGACGTCAGGTGCAGCACCCGCTTGTCATCGACCCGAGGCTCAAGTCGGATATCAAGCCGCTGTACTACTTGTGTCTCGAACCCGACACCATTCTTGGCTTCTACATGATCTATGTCTTAGCTGCGGTCTGATTCGTCCATCCTTCACGGGCATAAATGGGACTAGACTGCCGACCGCATCTCCCAGCATCTTGTGAAGGAAGCAGGAACTATCACACCAAACAGGAGACGAAGGGTGACACTGGGTCAAAATATGGCCTAATACTATCCCAGGCCATATAACCCAGACAATTCCACAAGGTCTCGGCTTTCTCTGTTGCTCTTACCTCTCGGTCGTTTCTGCCATTATGCAGCGATCATCTGGAGCTTATAATCAGCCTCAGCCTCCACCCTCCATCGCCCGTCGATCCGTTCTACCTGCTCATGCTCGCCCGCGTTTTATGTTTGCCGAATGACATCTCGCCAGATTCCAGGTTGAGTAATGGCGAGATTCAATGCCATGCGTTCACTTACAGGCAACCGTTTCAGAGAGATATCAATGTCCGTCTAGTGAATTGGCAATTGCCATCTACTAATGCATAATAGACCCGGCCAGACCTACGGATAATTCTCGCCAGACGATCAATGCTTCTTCTTGCTTCCTCAGGTCAGTCTAATTCAAGCTGTAGGATTGGGTACCAAGCGATATCAATGCAGATTTTGCCCGCATCTTCCACTTGCCGCGAGTGAACCATACCCAAACGCGACTCCCATGGGCGAAAGCGCACCCAATACATCCCATCGATGCGTTGTACGAATTAGTGCCTCTTCTGTGGCCCAATGCCCAACCGGATGGCATTTTCGTCCAGGCACGAAGCATATCCCACTCGAAGAGCTTTGGGGGTCGTCTCTCAACCGGATGAACCTTCTACTTCAAGGGAAAGGGGAATAAGGGGAATGCAGCACCGTTGTACAACGACGGTGCCTTGCGTTAGGGGGAGGGGGCGCCGCGTCCACGTCTCCAACCCCCCGGTTGTCTGCAGATATCGACTTAGGAGCAACGTTCCTTCAATATCCTTTATTTCATAGCGCGGGGAGCCTTAGCCCAGGAGTGCCTACTCCGTACTCCTGTACACAGCGGTTGGTGGCGATTTACGGGTGAGAGCCCTTCTAGATTAGTATGATGGGCGATTTCGCCATCGATTTTCTTTTCGTTCTACAGCGCAATAGTCGCTGAGATGGAATTAGGTGTGGTATCCAAGCACAGTGCCTAGGAAACCCAAGGTATCCTCTACGAGGCGAGGTTGAGGTCTCTTGCAGAACATTCCCGAAGGCTCCACGGTGGGACGACGGACATTCGATATTGTTGTTGAAGGACAAAGCTTTGGGCGTCTTGCTTCTTAACTAATCCGAGACTTCCGCTACCGACTCCTGGCCATTGTGCGTGGGCAAGCGAACGTGGATCCCGGATGAATCATATTGTGCTTTTCTCAGCGGAGTATGAGGATTGGACTCGTAAGCGGTTGGCAGCTGATTCTGAAAAGGCAATGGACAGCGTCTTGGTTCAGATCGAATGACCAAGTATAGGACAGAGGGCGTGGTTCGATTGGGCAGAACATTGGCCCACCAAAAAGAACGAGTTCGCCTCATCTCAGCTCCTGCTCCAGTGAATGAATTGTTGAACTGCATCTCAGAGCAGTCCAACAGACCATCACGTGACAATTATGTCTACCTTGAGGTCTCCCCAGAATCATTGAGCGAGGCCCTGGACTGGCCAATCACTAAGTCTTTTAAGCTTGTTGACAGGTGATGCAATTGGTGCTGTCACTGGCATCAGCTGTGCGCTTGTGAGGTGAAAACAATAGCCTTAGCTCGATCTAGTAATGTGGGGTTCCTCTGGTGTAATGTACTTCGTAGTTTACGCTAAGTTACGAAGTAAACTAATACGTTGCGCCAGCGATGCACCTTCTAAGGGGCAACATGAGGGAACATTGAATCCTTGTCTGTTGTAGTGTAGTGCCACCGCCTGCTTGGTGCAGCAGAATCGCCGCTTATTTTGTGACCACCTTGATCGAGTGGGTTCCTCTAAACCTTCCACCTCACCCTCTTCTCCCTACGATCCTCCGATCTCAACGCATCCCATCTCATTGATTACCGCTCTCGCCCTTTCGGCATCGCTAGTCATCGAGGAACGGATATCGCAGTCCCTTCCTCGCATTGGTCTTTAGTCCCTGGATTCCTGTACTCGCCCGGTCTGAACGAACACTACGATGTTCTAGAGTCAGTTGAACTACCCTAAGCTCTCAACCGTCTCTTCTGAATCTGCTCCTCCGGTTATTCCCAAAAGGTCCAATTGTAAACCCTGCGCTGCTCTCATAGCAGTAATTCCTGGTTACTCCTTCCCCGCCATCCTTTACGAGGTAAGAGGCCATCCATATTGCGCCGTGGTCCACCCTCCCGCGGACGCTTCTTACCAAATCACCCGACCTGTCGTTAACCTGCAAGCCGAGACAGATCCTTCTCAAAGCCCACGAATCACCCCGCTCTCCTCAATCTTGTGTTACCGAAAACCACTAATCGCCATGGCCTCTGAAATGTCTGCTGCCGAGCGAATGGCTCGCGAGCATGCCGTCACCCACCAGGCCTACATCGAGCCTGAGGACGCCGATTCCCCTGCTCCTGCCGCCGAACCGTCTTCTTCCCGAGGCCCTACCGCTGCTGACAAGGTCGCGGGAAAGCAGGCGAACCCAAAGGCTCTCGATACCGAGTCCCATGAGCTCTTCCCTGAGCTTGGATCGTCCAAGGGCAAGAGTGCTGCCAGCGCCGTTCCGACCTGGGGCGCCAGGGCCAACGGCAAGGGCGCCAGCAATGGCGCTTCTGCTGGAGCTCCTGGCCCAGCCATTGCCTCTGTCGCGACGCCTGCTATGACTCTACCTGGTCGCAATGTTGAGACGATTACCATTGACCCGCAACACATTCTTCCTCGACAAAAGCTCCGACGACCCATTCCCGATATCATCAAGGATATCAATAAGAGGTCTCGCGCTAAGATCACCATGTCTTCCGCTGCCAATGGACGCTACAAGTTCGAAGCTGCTGGCCCACAGGATGTCGCACAGCAGGCTTTGAAGGACTTGGTTTCCCAGATTGGCAACAAGGTAAGCCTGTCACAGTAGCTTTCTTTGTTCTTTGGTATTATATATGTAGACAAGTGGGTTTACTCACAGCTTTCATTTCTAGACTACCATTTCCGTTGCCATTCCCCAATCTGCCCGTGCCCATATCATTGGCAAGCAGGGATCGACCATCAAGGCCCTTCAAGAGAGGACTGGTGCTCGCATTAATTTCCCCAAGCTTGAGGAGACACAGGCTGCTGTTGATGAAGACGAGGATGCTGAGATTCATGTCACTATTGAGGGCAACACTATTTCTGCTGCCTCAGCTCGTGATGAGATTCTCAAGATTGCCAGGGAGCGTGCTGCAAATGTGCAGACTAAGCTCCGAGGTATTCCTGCTGAGTTCTATCCTTTCATTGCCGGCCCCCAGAACTCTCGTGCCCAGGCCTTGGAAGAGGCCAATGGTGTCCGCATCCAGGTTCCCCGTCATGCTTCATGGACTACACTCCCCATCCCTGCCGCTCCGGCTCCTGGTCAGAGGCCCGTCTTCTCGGCCGAGGGTGTCGAGGACCATATCTCGCTGGCTGGTGATCGTGCTTCGGTTCAGAAGGCCCGCGCCGAAATCGAACGCCTTGCCTCCGAGCTCGAGAAGCAGCTCCATATTGAGCAGTTCTCGGTGCAGCGTGGTCGCCATCAATTCATCGTCGGGAACCTCGGCATTCCTGCCGAGGACTTCTTCGCTGACACTGGCTGTCACATTCTCCTTCCCGCTGAAGGTGAGGAGGATACTGTGACGATCATTGGTCCTGCTGCCAATGTCTCGGATGCCGCCGAGAAGGCCATGGATCTCGCCTTGGGAATGCAGTGTTCCAACTTTGATATTTCTCGATTCCACCGTGGTGCTCCTAATGGCGCGGCTGTCCATGCCCAGAACGTGACCCGCTACCTCCGTCAGCGCCGTGAAATCGAGCGTCTCGAATCGCTCTACAATACTCGTATCAACACCCCCTTCTCGGAGCATGGCTCCCTCCCTTGGGAGATCTACTCTCGTGACGGCAAGAACTCCATTCGCGCCCAGTCTGAGATCACATCGATTATGAGCGGGCATCCTCCTTCGCGTATTGAGTCCGTCTCCGTGGATCCTTTCTTCCATTCTCACATCTCCAAGAATGTTACTCCCCGAGTTCATGAGGACTTTGGAGTTCACATCGTTGTTCCCGAGCCGTCTGAGACTGGCGCTCCGATTCTCCTTGTATACGAGGGTCCTTCCTCTGCCGATGCTCCCTACCAGGTTCCAAAGACCCCCCCCTCTGCTGAGGATGCTCGCATCTTCCAGCGGGGCCTAGAGGATGCTCGGAAGCACATTCTTGACCTCATCAACAAGCAGGAGGAGATCATCTCCGTCTCCATTGATGTTCCTCAGAAGTAAGTGTTCTCGTATGAGCATCTACCACGTATTTTTCTTCTAACACCTTTCTTTCCAGGTTCCATGAGCGTCTACGACGATTCATCAAGAAGGAGCAGGAGCGTCGTGATGATGACCAGATCCCTATTAGGGTCTCGTCGATCGGCACCAAGGTTACCCTCCGCGGCCCGGCTGGCGCCGTCAACACACTGGCGGGCAAGGTTGAAAAGTTTATTGAGCAGGAGAAAGAGGACGAGAAGGAACGTGGCTTCACCATGTCTTTCGAGTTCCCCCAGAAGTTTGCCAACCACCTTATAGGTAAGGGTGGCAGCAACATCAGGGAGCTTCGTGACAAGTTCGACGTTGAGATCCAAGTCCAGGATGGCAAGGTTGAGCTCAGGGGTCCCAAGGCTAAGGCCGAGGCTGCCAAGTCGCATATCCTGAACCTTGGTCGCACTTTGGCGGACGAAACTACCCACGTGCTTAAGATTGACCCCAAGTTCCACAGGGAGCTTATTGGCAAAGAGGGTACTCAGATCAACCGTCTCCAGAACCGATACAAGGTTCTCATCTTCTTCCCCCGCTCTGCTAAGCCTGCCGCGGAGGACTCGGCTGCCGATTCCGCCAGCGAAACCGGCAAGCCTGCTCGCCGACAGCAGAACCCTGACGAGGTCATCATCCGTGGACCCAAGAAGGGTGCCGATGAGGCCCGTGACGAGCTCTTCTCCCTTCATCAGTACCTGAAGGACAATTCGTACACCGCCACCGTCACCATCCAGCAGAAGCAGGTACCCTCTTTGATCGGCCAGGGCGGGTCCGCTCTCGAGGAGCTTCGTTTAGCGACTGGTGCCAAGATCGATATTCCTGCGGACCGTGACGTTGAGACCGTCGAGGTTCAGCTTAAGGGCACCAAGGCGCAGGTTGCGGCCGCCAAGAAGGTTCTCGAAGAGAAGAAGGCCGTCTTTGAGGATACAGTGGTTAAGACCATTGATGTTGACCGCAAGCACCACAAGTCGCTCATCGGCCCTGGAGGTAAAGAATCCGTGTTTCCCCTTCCCTTCATCAAGCTGAAAGACTCTAATTACTAACGCTTATCTACTACAGGTGCCAACCTCCGCAACCTCGTTCTTCTAGCCGGTGGCTCGGTTGACCGCAGGGATCTCGCAAGGACCATTCAGTTCCCCAAACAGGATGCCGATGGAAACACCATTAAGATTGAGGGTCGAACTGAGGTCGTCGATAAGATCATTGCCGACATCCAACAGAAGGTTGCCGAGTGGGAGACCCAGATCACCGAGACCATCGACGTCCCCACTGAACAACATCGTACTCTCATTGGCCGCGGTGGTGACGTGAAGCGCGGCATCGAGGCCCGCTTCAATGTCGCCATCGACATTCCCCGCCAAGGCGAGGGCAAGACGGACATTAAGATCCGCGGCAAGGCCGAAAATATCAAATCCGCCAAGGCGCACATTGCGACTTTTCTCAAGGAGCAGGAGGGTGAGACTGTAATGGTCCCCCGCGCCAAGCACCACGCCGTCTCCAACAACGGCCAAATTTTCCGCAAGTTCCGCAACGATTGGGGTGTCACCGTTGACCACGCCGGTCACAATGTGCCCGCCAAGCCTGAGACCACTCGCGCCAACGGCGGCTCTCTCCCCCTTATTACCGATGACGAGGATGCGGTCGCTGACTCGCACTCGTGGACTATTGTCCAGAACGTCTCGGCCGAAGAGGGCCTCATCCCCTGGATTCTCCGCGGTTCCGCGGACAATGTCGAAAAGGCGAAGAACGCCATCCAAGCTGCCCTCGAGCAATCTTCCAAGCAGGACACCACCGGTCTGCTCATCCTCCCTGACCCGAGAACCTACCGCCACGTCATTGGCCCCGGTGGCAGCAAGGTCAAGAACATCCGTGGCCAGAGCGGCTGCAGGATCACTGTCCCCCGCGATCAGGCCAAGGGCGAGCCCATCGAGATTGTCGGCAGCAAGGAGGGTGTCGAGAAAGCGAAGGAACTGATTCTGGCTGCTGTCAAAGAAGGCACCAACCGCTCCAGGGACTAAATAATGCGTGTGTGATTGTAGAAAAGTTCTCCGCCTTTTTTCTTTCTTTTGAGTCTTATAATGATGCTACGTAATGAGAAAGGGGACGCTTTTTGAGAAAGCGGAATAATAAAAAAGGCAAATGGATGGATACTACGACTAGATCATGCTTTTGACCGTCGGTAGCAAGTCTATAAAAGCAGTTGACGAAACATCTAAGTGTCCATTTTGGTGATGTCCCGGGCTTGTCTCCCCGGTTCTGTGACTTTCTCTGCCCACAATCGAAGTGAAAACAATCGAATCAGTATAAACGTTCTAAATAAGAGCTCTCATTGAATAAAAAGCATACTTTAAAAACCGACAGCCTATTCTACACGATACGTCATACAGAAGGGGATATGTAAACTAAACTAAAACAAGAACCGCCGAGAGTTGAACATTTCCAGGCCATAAAAACGAAACGGGAAAAAAGAAACCGCAACAATACAACACCCTTTGTGTTCTGGCTCCGTTAATCCTGCTGACCACCTGATTTCCGAAACGTCCTTAATGTCCTTTTGAACAAACGCCATCTTTTTTTTTGGGGGGGGGGTTTGCGAAGAAAGTAGTGAATGTGAAAATTAGGGAGGGAAAGAAGCCCGTCTTTGTGAGAGGACAAAGCGGGGAATTGGTAAACGGAGAAAGGCATTTGTACATCTACAAGCCCATCCAGCGTTTTTACTCGTGGATGAGGTCTAGAAGGGAGGCCATGTAGGGAGCCTGGGTATTTGGTTAGTCTCAGCTTTGCATTCGATGGAGAGAGGGAGATGATTTAACAAACGAAGGGGGAAGAAGACATAACAGGGGAAAAAACCTACCAAAGCTCTATTCTCCGCCATCACCTCGAAAAGCCTCGGCATCAACGGCCTAAACAACCTCTCCTTCCAACCGCCCGGCTCACCCGTAGCCTCATTCTCCTTGAGCAGCTCGTCCTCGGCGTCCGTCTTGCTAATATTCCTAGCAATGTTCCTCAACACAAGGACTGCACTAAGGGGAATGCCGGTAGCCTGCGGCGGTCCGTTAGGGTTCTTCTCGTCGCGCATCGTCTGCGTCTCCTCGTACGTGACCGTCATAGTCTTAGCGGGGACGATCCAATCTCTGCGGGGTTTCTTCGCAGCGACGCGGGGTTCGCTGGGCGGCGTCGGCCACACGAGACCGATGTGCACGTTGAGATGGCGCGCGAAGTCGATGAAGCGCAGCGTCGTGGGCTTATTGAAGCGCGAGCACGCGGGCCAAAGGCATCGGAAGGCCTTCTCCTCGTTGGCGTAGCGGCCCTGATCGTCGGGCTTGGTGCCCAGGTGCGTCTCGGCGATGTGCTTGAACATCTCTTTGCGGTCGAGGAAGTAGGCGCCGCAGCCGTCCTTGGGCGGGTCCTTGGCGCCCCAGGTGCATCGGACGTATTCTCGCCCGTCGATGCTGAAGGGGTTCTTCCGAGCGCGCATGGACCCGATGATGAACTTTTGCTGTGCGTCGCCTCGGGCTAGGACTTGAGGGGTCGAATTCTGATAGATCTGCGAGCAGCTCCTAATAAAGTCCGCAGGTGCAGTCGCTGGCAGACCAGCCTGCCTAAGGCTCTCGGCAAACGCTCCGTTATAGGCTTGCCAGGCGGCGATCTGGGTGACGAAGGAGTCGGGGTCGTGGTCGAAGAAGCACTTAACCCACCGATTCACTCTCTCCGGCTCCTTAAGCTTGAGGAGTTCGTCTCTGAGCTGGAGTGGCATGGGTGCAATCTGGTCGCTTGGGGGTAGTTTCTTTTCTGGGGAGAGGATGATTTCCTTGTGGACCTTTCTCGCGCCGTGGGAGAGAAGCCTGGCGAGGTGGTAGACCAAGTTTTCTCCGGATATCGCCCCTAATAATGAGTCGACGTTCTTGACGACAGCGGTATACTGATAAAGGAAATCCAGGCAGGCATCGGTGAATTCATCGTCGTTAAGGAGAATCCAGTTTGTGATGTTCTGCAAAACGGAGGGAGGTACGTAACCAAGACGGTTCGCAGCATCCAGGTTCATGGAAATTCGACCAAGCGCGCGGAGACTGGTGAGAATAACACCACGATCGTCCGAGTCCATCTGGTTGAGTAGAGTGCGGTAAAGAGGATCGTCGGATTCTAACGTCATGTAGGGGGTGATGTGTTCAGCAATATCGAGCGAGTAGTGCTTGGCCTCAACTACAATGTCTCGATTAGGGAGGCTCATGATAATGCAAATCATGTCCTTGATAGGAGGGAAGTTCGCAATGTATGCGGCGTTTTCAGGGAGAGTGACCATGTTTCGGATGGTCAGAACTGCCTCAGTCACACTGAGCATCTCATCGCTGAATTCCTCGGTTTGGATGCTGTCAAGGACAGTTTTGGGGGTGAGGCGCTGGATGCGCTCGAGGATATCAGAGGTGCCATTGACACCATCTAGCTCATCTCGTTCCAACGGCGCAGAGGGATCCCATGATACCTTCCACTCGACATCGTAGAAAAGGCTAGCAACACGAAGTGCCGACTCGACGAGACCTTCGTCCAGGCCGGGGAAGACTTCGAACCTAAATTTCTCCCCACGCTCAAACGAGATTCGTACCCAGTGATGAAGCGCATATGTTCTCTCCGCGGGGTTGTCGGACCTTAGCGCGTTAAGACACCGAATGTAAATGTTTGCACCCTCATAGGCTAGCAAGAAAGTTAATGGTTAGCGATGGACGTGAAAATGAAGGGTAGACAGAGAGAGGGAGAGAGAGAGGAAGGGCTTACTGCCAGGTGGAACTCGAGGCAAACGACCGGCCTGGATCTGCCGAATCTTATGAATAAGTTTGGCCCGAGAAAACGCAATGGGATTGTTTCCAGGGGTGTCGACAGGCCGGATCGGGATTGTCGTCAAGGCGCGGGGGTTGTAACCGGCGATAACAGACGGAACCGCACCGTGGTTGGGATTGTACGGCCCGACGCTGACGTTAGCTGGCGTGCCTCGGGCCTGGTGGTGACCTGATGGCGTACTTAGGTGAGCCTGGTGCTGGAGGTGCTGCGAGCCAGGGGTGCCGTGGGCGGGGCTGGCAGACTGTTGATGGTGGCCAGAAGCGTGTCGGGGCTGTCGCGTGGGGCCGGTATCAGGCTGGAATATGACTCGCTGAGGGGGAGCCTCTCGTAGGCCCCGAGAGGCGCGCGCAGAGGATCCTGGCGTATCTACCGTTGAGCGCTCGCGAGTCGGAGTCGCATCATCACCCGAAATACCAGAGTCGCTAACATTCCTCGTCGGCCTCAAAAAGTTTTCTCGGGTTCGCTTCAGCAAGCCCGAGCCTTTCGCTGTGACATCTTCGAGAATATCCTTTGGAGGAGGCTCCTTCCCGTGGATCTTCTTAATTTCGTACGCGGCGAGGTTCTTGTAAAACTTCTCCTTAAGCGCAAAGGCTGTCGCGGCTTCATTGTTGGTGTAGAGACCAAGCTCCTGTGCCATGCGGCGCCAGGCGAGTTTTTCATCGGAAACCTTGTCGTACCCGCCGTTTGCGATAATATGTTTGAAAACTCGGAGGAGGTCGAGATGGGTCGTGCCGACTCTTGGCTCGGGATCGAAATTGGTGCCGCGATCTGCGTGGAAGGCTCTCAATTCTTCGATAAATTCATTGTATTCGGGTGTGCGCTCAATGATGTGCGGCACCAAATCCTTGGGCGGCATCTTGACTCGGACTCGAGGCTGCCGGGTGGGTTGGCAGCTTCAAATGCGACGGGGAGATGATTGGGGCGCAGGATGAATTTAGCAGTGCGACGATGTGAGAGCTTCATCAAATGCTAGAGAAAGACGCGACGTTGGGTTTGTGACAATTGCAGGAGCTTATCGGATCCTGAAGTGGTTATCAGCAGGTGATATATCACGTGATTACGTGCTAGAAAGACGCACCAAAGCCAGAACGCGGTCATGAACAGCAAAGGAAGCTTCACGACATTGACAAAGGTTGAAGCCTCGTCGATATAATTATGCTGTTCCCGTGGAGATTTGCTGCTAGTAATTTATCTGACAGTGTTGTTTACTTGAATATCAACTCACTCATCGATTATCATCAATCAGGTCCGCTCAGATGCTGACTCCTTGGATTTCTTTGATCTTGCTTCTCCATTGGAAGGACCGCCTGTGGAACATCTTGGGTCTTGTACTCGAAGCAACTTCTTAGTTGTACTTGGCTTTTCAGATTAAACGAGCCTAGGAAGGAACGAGCCAGTGACGAGACTGAGGCCGGAAGTCGCATGTGAGCTTGCGTCGAGGACCGATGTGTACCTTCCTCGCCAGCTTGTGCACTCTCGATTTATAGTATTCAATCTTCCGCTCTCGTCTCAACGGAACATGAACTGGACCTGCCATTTGATTTCTGTCTTCGTCGCTGTTACGTCCTCAAGAACTCATCTCCATTTCCTCACCGATAGAACTGAAAAGCCAATTGAGACTCGAGAGTTTTTGGCTCTTGACTTTCTCCATCCGCTGTCAAGTTTTCTAGATTCAATGATTGATCCTCCGTGCCTTGTCATTCGCATATAACCGTCTGCTCTTATCTCTGAGGAGGAACACACCTCGCTCCCCCAGCCATGCTTCCCAGAAAGCCATCTGATGGCTTATACACATATAATTTTGATCTCGATTTTCTGTTGTTGACCGTATCCAACCCAGCTACCTCCGCTATCTTAAGTCAAACAAAGTACCATGCAAATCTCGTCCTCACGTTACGCCAATACAAGGGTGCATTAGGTGGTCGGACGAGAAGCGCGGAGATAGGGTACTTGCTCATTCTCCATTCAGGAATCCATGCTATTGTAAGACTAACGTCCTCCCGCATAGGAGCTGACGCCGTTTTACGTCTCTCTAACAACTAGGAAACTTGCAGGAAAGAATCGACCTCAAGAAATGGCGGAGTCTAGCATCAGAAAGTCAGACGCCAGTTTACAAGATTCAGTGTGAATCTGGCAACATCTCTCTTCAATACCGACATGATGACGGAAATGTTAGTCCCTCCCTTCCAACTAAGAAGACATCCCCAGTCACTGACAACGAAACTAACGAATCTCCCACCAGATCAGGAGTGCTTCGATTACCTTCCGGAAACGTGACGAGTATGAGAGGGCACTACAAATCCTCCTCAGTCAAAGGCTTAGCGTGGCCGTCAAACCGTGTGAAGGTGAGCCTGTAGTCAACTCTTCGTTCCCAATCTCAATCCCTGGATCGCGCCAATGCAGCACATCAATATCCAGAAACTCTTCAAACTGGGGAGCCATCGCTGGTACCCCAGATTCTTGGGCGTCCCAACCACGGCACGTTACCTCGATGCCTGGCAGGATCCATGACCAATATCCTGGAGGGATCGCACGACCTTCGGTACACGGGGACTCGGTTGGAGGCCGTGACAGGTTTTCTGAGCCCCTAGAACGCCGAAGGCTCCTCAGTTTCGCCCGAGTGCATCCAAACAGCCAGCTCCAAGAGTAAGTCTCCTTCGACTCCTGCCCAGTAATAATCATTTACGCCATGATTTCGGGCTTTTTAGAGGCTAATATCTCTGTAGCCAGCATGGCGGCTCACCCGCTTCTGCCTACGATTGGTCTTCTTCCAGTCAGCTTCACCAGCCGCTCGGAGAACGAAGCCAAGGCAACGAGGGGGGGCTCCGAAGCGCACATCGATATTCATACAATTCTTTTCTTGATCCCAGCCAAGGTTTCAAGGCTGCTGATGACATCTCAACGTGTTCGAGCAGAACTCTCCGACATATCAACGACCCATCCCCTCTTCAACAAGTTAGCTTCCCACCCGATGAGCGAGAAGGTGTGGATAACTTTAACCATGGGAATCCTCACGGGCCCACGGTGCCTAGTTTAGACATCAATTCAATTCTTCCTCCTAAGCGAACACTTCCTTTTAAGTCTAATAAGGAGGCAGAGAAACCGTCTAGTGGCGTACCTAGAGCACCGAAGGAGAGGGCAAGGCCCAAACAACCTCGACGTGCGGTCCAAGGAAAGGAAAAGGGGAAAGCAAAGGCGAAAGTTTCGAGTCCCGTCTCAAAGTCGAAAAGTACTATACGAACTACTCAGGCGAGGAGGAAGCCAGCCAAAAATCGGAGTGCATCGGCAGACGTGCCCGCATTGAGAGCCGGAATGAAGGTTCCGGCGACCCACCTCGAGACACAGGACTCGGCCTGCCAAACTGATGACAACCCCCTTCCTCAGACTTTCAATCAGAAACTGCACGAAATTCCAGAGGATACGCAGAAAAAACTGTGGGATTCCATAGGTACAATTCAAGAAGAACAGTTGAAAATCCGTCAGGAACTTGAGAAGTTGAAGGAGTCTGTTCAATCTTCTCAAATCTCACCAGAGAAGCCACCACAGTGTGCATCGTTAGACCTGGATAGGAGAACGCTCAATATTCCCAGATCTGACTCAAGCCAGACTGAGATGGGATTCCCGAACCGACTGCCGGCTTCCCAACTTAGTACAAGCACGCTTGGGGCGAACCTGGAGCCAAGGAAGAGGCACACAAGGGAGTACAAGCAGTGGAGATACTACTACCTAAATTCCTGTCGAGTCTACGAAACGAAGACGGAAAAGTCAGATGGCGAGTTTATTCGGCGCTTCCTCAACGAGATGCCGAACCCCAAGGTCCGGGCTTGGATTGAGGCAGGATTGTTGCATTTTTATTCATCAATGGTACGAACTCTGGGCACGCGAAGAGGGTGTAGCCGCCTACTGTTTACGAAAGATTTGACTTGGGCTCATGTTCAAGACATGGCAACGAGGAGACTTAAGCTTCCGTTTCCAAAATGGGAAAGTTGCTAAGAGGTATAAGTATGACGAAATATGAAGGTGCTTATGGGTGAGGTCCCTCGTCCGAGCATATGGGAGAAAATGGGTATGTTTACATAGACAATGAAGCTCAAAATGCGAGAAACAGCGCAAGATATAGCCAAGCAAGCCAAATTAGTTTATGCCTGAACAAAGGGATTGTTGCCTTGTGTCTTTGTCTGCTAAGAACATTGATCTTTCCTGTGACGGGCGTTCCCAGCGAAGACACTTACACATGTCGGTTTAGGAGCACATCCGCAACGGTCAAAGCATGTGTTTCTAGGAACACTACATCTGACACGGCAATGCTTACAGAGGAGCCTTGGAAACAATGAATCAACTGGGTTATTGTTGCCCTGAATTTGTTCTATTTCCATTTCATATGCCCAGCTGGAGGGGTCATCAATGATCTGAATACCGGATAGTATAGACTTACGAAGGCCGTGAAAAACAGGCGAACTATACCCTTTGCCATCTGGCCATGGCAGTCTCGAAGAGAAAGGCGCCAACGGAAAGACATAGTCAGGGGGAAGTCAGGGGACTTAAAAACACATGCTTCTAAAGCGTCTTGAAATCCACGACCCATGGGGGAACCTGTGAGGCTAAGGGGTTTCTAGTTTGGGTAATTCTATTCGGTTTTTACACATGACTTTATGGCAAGTGATTCGGGGACAATGGACAAGTACATTGTCTATATAAATGAGAGATTCAATCCTTTGACAGATCTGATTCACATCAATTTCTTCTATATAACACCAAGAGTTCTCGAAGCCAAACTACTGCTCTCCTCTGCTTTGAAGATCCTTGAACGACCACGCTTCTTGCACACTCCGACTCTCACAGCCCTTGCTCCACGTTAGAGACTTACACAATCTCTCACTACAACTGAACTGAACGAGATATCGTATATCGATCGCATACGACAACAGACTTCAATTCACAAGCGATAGGAGAGAACCACTCTGACACAATTTCACAAGTGCGAGTCTAAACGATTATCGTAGATCACTATCATTCCAAGTCAGGAAGGACGATCCACTCTTATATATATATTCATATATATATCTACTCCGGTTTTCCACGAGATCCCCAAAATGGAGGGTCCAATTACGAGGCTGAACCTCAGCCCAAAGGATTTCAACAATCTTGACAACAACCGGAGTTTGGAAGATTCGATCAACCCCGAGAATGCCGTTTTGGATACCATTGTCGCAAACCCCACCGAATACAGCCCGACTAGGTCGCCCCAGAACTTCAGCCACAACCCTTCTTACCCTTCGATCCCGTCTTCTATGAAGAATAAGCCATCTCCCGGCTTTTCAAGCCGTCTTGCAAGGATCGAGCAGTTGAAGGAGAGCCACAAGTGGCCGCGCGCCAACCTGTTCCCGCGAAAGAGGGCGGCAGACGACGACCTCGATGTTTCTGAAACGGAAACACCCATCGGAGCCGAGAACAGCCACAAGCGGAGAAAGACCGATGGCGAGCACAACCTCGAGATTGTTATAAGAGATGGCAAGACAATAATCCGGATCACGAAACGAGGTAACGGCGACGGCGCTGCTCAAAACCCAAAACGGCCCCGGATCATCCTCAAGCCTAAGAATAGAAATCCTATCACAAGCCAGGCTACGCCATATCAAGGGTCTACTAGCCCCAAGGGCTCGTCCACCAGCGACAAATCCGAGCTTAGCCTTCTTGTCAACACGAGTGGCTCCACATCGCAAAACAACGACATCACCCGCCCGCGCATCGCTCTCAAGAGCAAAGCTAGCACCCCGACACTAGAGACGCCTGAGCCAAGAACCCCACCAACAAGGGTGACTGCGGAAGCCCTTGCGGCTTACACCAAGGAAGAGCCACGGACTCCCGACATGCCTAGCTCAATCGATAGCGACAGCCCGCAGGTGCGGGTAGAGGCCACGCGCGGCCCTGGTACTGCCGCCGCTTATAGCTTGTTTCTCAGGAGCAAGCATGATCCCAACGAACTGAACGCCGGGTGGAAAGAACATGCGCGTCCTAAACACAATGGCTCTGATGTCGAGCTTAAGATTAAGGTGCGCAGGAACTGAAGTTTTAGTGAGCCTGGAAAGTCGAAGATGTGAACCTATTACAGCGGGACAGGGCTTGGTGTTTTTTTTTTTTTTTTTTTTTTTTTCCTATTTCTCTTCTTTTAGGGGAGTTTTAGGGGTTTGGGAGTTATAACTGTTGAAAGAATTCTTGAAAGAGGTGATCCTGACTGTATATTAGATGGACTTTGGAAATAACAGGGAACTTTTGGTTTATGAGACTACGTACCCACCAAGAGGAAGTAATAAATTGGACAGAGTGCAAAATTAAAGCCATCATAGTTTCACCAGTGCTTGGTTGTAAGCACGTATTGGTATCAAGGTGTCTACTGACACTTGTTCTTTTATGAATAATGTCCAACAGCAGTGAGTTAAATAGAAAACGTCCTCATCAAATCATGACTCCGGTACTACCCCAAAGCGCCTAACATTGAAATCTCATTCACCCAACCCCTACACCTTACTCCCCTACGCCTTACTCTCCTTCCCCTCCTCGCCCTTCCCAACAACCTTATCCTGCGGCGAGAATTTGATACTCACACTATTAACACAATGCCTCTCATCCGTCGGCGTAGGGAACCCCTCCCCCTTGAAAACATGACCCAAATGCCCGCCACAATTAGCGCACACAATCTCCGTCCTCGTCATGCCGAACGTGCGGTCCTCGTGGCGCTCCACGGCGCCGGGGATGCTGTCAAAGTAGGCCGGCCAGCCGCAGCCCGAGCTGAATTTGTGGGAGGCGCGGTACAGTGGGGCCGAGCAGCCGGCGCAGGAGTAGACGCCCGAGTCCGGGTAGTGCTTGTCGTATTCGCCAGAGCCGGCGGGTTCGGTGCCTTTTTGGCGGAGGATGCGGAATTGTTCTGGGGGGCTTGGTTAGTTTTTGTGTGGTGGGGTTATAAGTGAGTCTGGCGGGGTCGTTGGTGAGGGGTGGCAAGGGGATATTACGAGGCAGGATTGGGTTGAGAAAGGCAGGTTTTTGTGAGATTCGTTTATATAAGTTCTTACCTTTGTTCAGAACCATACGCCACTCCTCTTCAGATCGCTGGTCGGGATACGACATTTTTTCCGCGGGGGATGAGTTGAAGAAGGAGGAGATGAAGCGGAAGGGCATTAACTTTGGAGTCAAGAGATGGTTTCTGGCAGGGATATGAAAGGCTTGAGGCCGGAAATGAGGCGAGTTGCGGACAATGATGGAGGAGATTGGGAATGGGCGACGGGAATTCATCTACGGAAAGGAATTGGATTTATATATGAAATGAGGATATCGAGAGTGATGGAATGGAGGGGGCGATGAGGTTGATGAGGCTCGGCTCCGGCGCTTGGCGATCCCGAAAGAGGAAGGGAGTATTCGTCAAGCAAGGAAGAGCTAAACTGTCGTCACTCTCATCAGCCACTGATAATTACATAAGCACGCTTCAGAGATGGAATCACCATTTACTTCTTTTGGAGAGCAGATCTTGTTTGATTCCAAAAAAGCAATTTGTAAAATTGAACGCAGTACTTGTGGTGGCTGGGCAGGTGGCTTATGATGTGCAGTAATTTGAAATCCCGTTGCCTTTTCCTTGGCTTATTGATTCCTCTAAGATTGTTGGGGAGATGATTGTGGGATCTGTACAAGTAAATTCGAGGGCAAGCCGATGTGGTAAATTGGATAATTGACAGCAAATCTGCAAGATATGATGGACTCGAATCGCTCTCTGAACCAAGATCCAATCAGTGAATTCATACCCCAGATTCGGGTGCGTTTCAATAGAGTTCTAATTCAAGGCACGGACCTCATAAGACTCGCCAGGAGGGAACCGACGAGAAGGAGCTTTTCAGGGGCTTCAGTGGAAGCGCACGAGGATCCACCCCAATTACTTGTGAATGCGACGTTATTGCCTCAGGCATGAACAGCACAGTACCAAGCAGTGGAGCGAGGACATCCCCACTATGCATTTGGCAGGAGCCAGGAGGTGCGATCCACTGCACTCGCGCAGTGTACTTTGTACCACCAGCCAAATCGACAACCCATTCTCATCTTGACCTTTTCGGCCATACCGTAAACCGCCTATCCTCTCCCCTTCACCCCATACTACGACCTCCATCTCCCACTCCAGGGCCGTAACTCTGGCATTTCCGAAGGCGACAACACATCCGATCACTCGATCCCTTTAGGATCCCCCTCGTTAAAATGTCTCGCCGAGCCCCGAACCCCGCCCAGGAGCGGGCTCAAAAGAACCAGCAGACGCTCAAGAATCTCCTAAAGCTGGAGCCTAACAAGATATGTGCGGATTGCAAGGTTAACAAACGTATGCCCTTCGATTCCCTCCTCCCCGTCGCGCCCTCTTATGCTTACCGTGTCTCTCTCTCTTCCAGATCCCAGGTGGGCGAGCTGGAATCTCGGCATCTTCATCTGCATTCGTTGCTCTGGCGTCCACCGTAGCATGGGCACCCACATTAGCCGAGTCAAATCCGTCGATCTCGATACGTGGACCGACGAACAATTGCAGAGCATGCTCAACTGGGGTAACAGGAGGGCGAACAAGTATTGGGAAGCCAAGCTGGCGCACGGTCATGTTCCCTCCGACAGCAAGGTGGAGAGCTTTATCCGCACAAAGTACGAACTAAAGCGCTGGGTGATGGACGGTCCCATGCCCGATCCCAGCACACTGGACGACGGTGATGATATTCCTTTAAGTCTGGTAAAGGAGAAGCAGACGATTGAGCGAAAGGAGTCCATACGTAAGGCCTCGATTGGCCAATCATCGAAGCCGGGCCATGTCGCAGCCCCCGTAGCCGATCTTATCGGAGGCGATCCCATCCCTCAGCGTGCGAGCACGACAAGCCCCCCGGCTCCCAAGGTTGCCGCTAAGGGTACTCCGGCGCCGCCCAAGACGAGTACGAAGGATTCTCTGCTGGGGTTGGACTTCTTTGGTGACCAGCCCGCAGCGCCCGCACGCCCCGCTAGCACCTCGGGCACTCAAAACAAGGGTGGTTCTTCGCGCCCCGACTTGAAGCAGTCTATTCTCTCTCTATATGCCACGGCTCCTCGACCCCAGGCCCAACCAGCCCCCCAACAGCCAGCCGCGCAACCGTTCGGTGGTATGCCTGCCGTTGCGCCTCAACAGGCTTCAGGAGGTCTAGTTGACGCATTTGGCGGCCTCAACTTTGGAAGCACTACTGGTACCACTACTACAACTTACTCGCCGCCTCCCCCAGTAGACCCCTTCGCGGCTCTCGCCTCACCGAGCACCGCTACGAAGCGTGCAGTCTCTCCCCCGAGCGCTTTCGGTGCCCTTAGCGGAGGAAGCTTCTTCGATACCAAACCCGCGCAGCCTGCCGCCCCGTCCGTACACAAACCATCACCCAGCATCACCTCACCTGGCCTTGCTGGTCTTTCAAGCCTTACTTCCCCGACCAACCACATCCCCCAATCTAAGCCCGCCCAGCCGGCCTCTTCCGCTTTCGGAGACCTCTTCGACCTGAGTTCTCCCGCTCCCGCTCCTCAGCCTACCCTCGTCGCCAACCCTGCCCCCACGCAAACCTCTAGCTCCATTTTCAATCTCTCCGCCCCTTCCGCAAAGGCTCCCTCGGCAGCGCCCGCCGCCCCCGCTCTTACCTCCTCCAACTCTACGAACGCCTTCAGCTCCGGCAACTGGTCCAACAGCGACGTTTGGGGAAATGCCTGGAGCGCTCCCGAGCCTGCCGGTCCTGCTGCCACCCAAGCCGCTAAGCCCGCCGTCGCCGCCCCCACTACCACCACAAACGACTTTGGCTGGGGCAGCCCCGGCATCGCCTCCGGTTCTTTTGCCAGCCAGAGTATCGTGCCTGGTGCTAGCGGCTTCAATACGGCGCCCCAGGTTTCGGCCGACGAAGAGTTTGGCGGCTGGAGTAGCGGGGGTGCCACGACGACTACGTCCTCGACGACGAAGCCGGCTGGAGGATTTGGTGGTAGTGATGACCTATTCTCTAATGTCTGGCAGTGAGTAGTCTGGGGTGAGATTGAAGGAGAAAGGGGAGGAAGAGGTGGAAAAGGAAAAGGAAGGAATGATAGCATGACGTTAGCATCACTTTGTGCACATGAAGTTGGGACACTGCATGCCATGGATGGGGTGGTGGGATTCTCATTTCTTCCTTTTTGGTAGTGTTTATTTCTATAGGAGCCCTGGTAGAAAAAATACACTGCGCAGCTACTTTTAAGCATTTGTGCATTCCTTCATTTGAATGGCATCATGATCTAAATCCTGTGTTGTATAACAGGGTCACTCAAACTCAAAGATCTCAAAGATCTCAAAGATTAGAGTGGTTTGAACCAGTGATATATCCATTATATTGCCCACCAAAAACTAAAAGAACAAAAAAGCAAGGCTGCCAAACAAAAGACAACACAAGAGGAACGCCATTCCAGAATGCTAACCAAGGGTATTGTCACAGACACCAACAAGCATTTGTACATGCTCTTCAAACTTCCCCATGCCTCCACTTTCCAGAGACATATAGCAGGCCTACCGCACCAGTCCCTAGGAATTAGGTTATGCATGGCCCCATGCTCTGTGTCGAGGCTCTCAGCCTAAACGCCTTCCCCAGCAACCGATAGTCTTCGAGATGAGGATCCAAGATGCCGAAACACCCATAGCCAACTCCATCGCCCGGCCCTTCCGGACCACTTGCTATCATTATTTTTTTCCCCTTCGTAAAACGTAATTTTTCCTGCCCGCCGAGTAAAGACCGAGTGAAGTCTTAAAAGAATAACTTCGAGACGTAGTAAAGAAATATGAAAATGCCAATAAGTATAGCTGACAACTTCAACACAGCGACTTTATTCCCCGAAGCAGCCATCCTTCCTAGTCGGGTAGCAGAGCCCTTTAGGGACGTAGTCATGGAAGAGAAGGTCTCGGACTAAATTATACACCTCCTTTGTTAGTTTTCTCTTTTTATTATTCGCCCCTAGAAGAAGAAAGTGGCCGAAAAGAGAGGGTGCAAGGGCGCTTACAGTGTTGTCGATGACATCTTGGGCGCGGGCGTTGTCGTATATGTCGACGGTTATGCCGCGGAGGGCGGACACCTTGGAGGAGAGCTCGTCTAGGCGGGCGTTGTTTTGGCGTTCGCGTTCGTAGGCTTCGGACATGGTTGCCGGGCTTTTTCTTCTTTTTTTGTTGGGACTGAGGTCGGGACGGCGCTTGGAGGGGAGATCGGTTGAATCGGATTTATTTTTTTTCTCGGGCTTTTCTTGTGAGTAGAAGGGCCGACGTGGAAGGATCTGCGTCAACGTCTGTTCGGTGAGGTGTTGAGGGTTATCGTGGGAAAGGCAGGGGAGGACTGGGGTCGAAATATTGGAGGTTGAAAGGGGGGCGGCGAAACGAGGTCATGACGATGGTTTTGGATGCGGTCTGGGGTCGATGTTCGGATGGTCTGTGGTTTCAGGCGTGACAGGCGGCAACAGGTGGTAATCCATGTGGCGGAATGAGGACGACTTTGAGGAAATGCACCGCCACAAGTACCTTGGTGGAGTTGCGCATACAGCATGGCGGGTCGGTGGCAAGTGGCAATATTGAAGTCTGGTGAATTCGTATTAGTCCAGTCCACTTCCAAGCTGAGGTCACGCTAAAGCCTGGCGGAACGACCATCGACGAAGCTCTGCCATGAGATAAGAGCATTGTTTTGAAGTCGGGGTTATTGAGCTACACGGGCGAGCAGAGACTGTGGCTGACCGAAGGATCGAGGCTTCAGAAGGATCAGGATGTCCAGGCAGCAACGTGCCTTGCAGAAACCATTTGTTGCCAGACCGGCGCATGTGCATCTATCCTCATCAGCTTGACTTGCATCGCGTAAGGAAAGCTTCCATGCCTCGTTTCTAATTATCTCAGATGCCTCCAATATGTCCAATAGTGTCTCAGAAACGCCGTGTCCACTAGCGGCACTCGTCACTTCGTACCCGATTCTCCAGTCCCTCGCCTCGTGGCTCACTGCCAAGGACCTCTACCACCTCGCGCTGACGAACCGCGAGCACTTCTCATGCATTCTCAGCTCCAAGGAACTGTTCAAGAAACTTCAAGCCAGGTGCCTCTGCGATGGACGCGGTCTAAAGCGCCGCCGGAAGTTGTACCACCGAACGGACTATTCCCGGCCAAGCCGGCGCCAGCAAGAGCCAAAATTCCAAGCCTACGTCGCAAGAGTCACGGCTCGCATGAAAAGGGTCAAGTGCCGGGAGTGGGACTCTCTGCCATGCTTCAAGTGCGGAACCCGCGTTTGCGAGGAATGTCGGTCTTGTCCAAGGGAGGAATTATTTCCTGACCAAACCTACTTTCCGTACCCGCGACCGCATCAAAACGCCCCTTGGCAAGCGGAGAATGTCATGTATCTCTGTCCCCCATGCGACGAGAAGGCACATAGTAAGATTTTGGAAGGGTTTAGCAGAGATGAATGTGATTGTAACCTCTACGAGAGGTGGATATGTGTGGACTGCGTGGACAAGGAGCGGTGGTTTACGTCGGATTACTTTAAGAAGCATACGGTGTGGGAGCATTACCCCGAAAACGAGGAAGATGAGACCAAAATGATTCAGGATCATCAATTTAATCGCTCGGTATGTCTCCATTAGAATTTTTTTCCCCTTCCTTCTCTTTTCTTCCTGCTTTCCCAAAATTATTCTACCACACGGAGATGGTTTGCCCTCGGTTAACTAGTTTGAGATGTAGTTCTGGTGTACATGCGGTGCGACAGTCCCCTTGACGATGCGAGCAAGATGTACGCTGTGTCAACGGCGGCATTTGCCAGAAGATGAATGGGGAAGAGAACATCAGGAGTGTAGACTAGCCGTAAAAGCAGAGCTCGAGCGACAGGCTGCTCTTTAAAAGAGCCATCCCTACTTGATATGCTCAGGTCCGCGACGGTTCTGGAGTTGTGGAGGAGGAAAACTGCACGAGGCGGCAGCGTCTGCCAGTGGCATCAAGTGGTGCCGCTTGAGTTTTCGTCCTGTAACACGAGGCTGGAGGCTTGAATCGACTTTGCTGGATATCCGCTTTTCCCCTGCTATGATTGATTGGTAAGGTTTCGCGCTCGACGTTAGCATTCATAGAAAAGAATTCTTCTGCTTGTTTAAACCATGGACGTCTTTTTTTTTTTTTTTTTTTTTTTTTTTCCTCGGCCGATCCTACCTGTACTTGAGGGCACATGAGTTCATCCAGGGCACTTCGAGTAGTAACTTATGTACTCAGATTTGAAATTTCTTGCCTCTCGTAGTGGAACTGGAAGCCGGGAGGATGGGCGAAACGGCTTAGTTCACAACAGGTAACCCTTCAGTGTTCCTTGCCAAGTTGGGGACTAGGTGGACAAGAGGATGTCAACCCACTATCCTAACTGGGTATCGGGGTGACGACACATTGAGGCGTGGTTGGACCGTCCGGATCGCATGGGAACTGCAAGTACGAACCAGTGGTACGCAATCTCGTGGGCGAAGAGCCAATCCGGAGAATTAGATTCTGCTGGACATATGAAGTATTACTGACTTGTGCCATGCCGAGCCATCCATCCCACCCATCCACAGCGGAGGCCAGCCTTATGAAGACCGCATCCCTCGGTCGTTCCGTTCACCCTACATACATAGTCCTAAGTATAAATACTCGACAACAATAAAATATAACATTCCCTTTGCCACGTTGTTTTCCTCGCGCATCCTGGACTATATTTCCCCAAACGTCGAAAGAGTGTCTACATAGTACTTCTCAAGTCTGTTGCAGAGCAGTTGTTGACTGAGCAATTAATACCCCTGCATAGCCAGCGCAAGCGCGAAGCTCTAGTCCAGACTCTAGAGATTGACTACATTTGATCAATTTGATACCTACATTCAGCTGTCTGCCTCAGTCCTCATTCTGGTTCCCTCGCCTCATCACTGTACTTGACCTTAGTACCTCACCACTGTACCTCATCACTGTACCTCACCACCGTACCTCATCACTGTACCTACCGCAGTACACAGGTACTCTTCCCTCAGCATCGGTTACCCCGCTAAAAGGCCAAGCTCCGGTGGATTCCCGACAAAATCCCCCACTTTGTCCCTCTTCGAGGTCTCCAATTTGAACTTATCCAGCACATTTGCTTGTGAACCCGGGCGAACAAACCCACCACAGCTTTTTCCCCATTTGCGTTACAAACAAACCAACCTCACCTCACCTCCCGCACCAAAAGACAACAACCTCCGACCTCCGACCTCCTCCTCGTCGACCTTCTCTCTAAACAGCGAACACCCGAACACAACTATCGCCCAGCGCCGCTCGCAACCATGGGTCTTCACAACCCTCTGCCGTCGTCGATGGCATGTAAGCTCGCCCCTCCCTTTTGCCGGTCCTTCCGCCTTGCCAAGACTTGCCTCGTCCAACAAACCATGAGGCTCGATTTTGTATCACGAACAAGAGAACATATGCTGACGGAGAGAGTGTCATAGCGGAATGCAAGAAGTGTGGGAAGATCTTAACGTCGTTCATTGATCCTAGACAAGCCTTTGGCCCCGATAAGATTATTCCTCCTTCGGTCCTCGCCAATGCCAAGGTACGCTCCTCACTCCCCGGACTTGCGCTCCAACAGAAAAATGTCCCCCAGTCCTATTCGTGATCCTCCCTCCACACAAGCTTTCTCCCGCTATACCCATAGAAGAAAAAAAAAAAACAGAAGCCCAGTTACTAACCAAAAACAACCGCTTTGGTTGCCCCCCCTCTCTCTAGGGCCTCGCAGTCCTCACAGTAATCAAAGCCGGCTTCCTCGGCTCCGCCCGCTTCGGCAGCGGCCTCGTTGTCGCCCGCCTCCATGACGGTACCTGGTCCGCCCCCTCCGCGATCGCCACAGCCGGCGCCGGCTTCGGCGGCCAAATCGGCCTCGAGCTCACCGACTTCGTCTTCATCCTCAACGACGCCAGCGCAGTCAAGACCTTCGCCCAAGCCGGCTCCCTCACCCTCGGCGGTAACGTGTCCATCGCCGCGGGACCTGTGGGCCGTAATGCCGAAGCTGCCGGCGCCGCCTCGCTCAAGAGCGTCGCGGGTATATTCAGCTATTCTAAGACCAAGGGTCTCTTCGCCGGCGTGTCTCTCGAAGGCTCCGCTATCATCGAACGTCGCGATGCGAATGAGAAGCTCTACGGGACGAGGTATACGGCTCAGCAGCTCCTTAGCGGGACGGTTCGTCCGCCTCCGCAGGCGGCGCCTCTTATGAATGTTCTTGAATCTCGCGTCTTTAGCGGTATGCGCTCGGGGACCTCGGCGGCCGATTCTATGTACAACGACATACCCGTGTACGATAACCGCACCGACGACGTCGTCTGGAACGGGCGCAGGGGCAGCGCCTACGGCGAAGACATGCCCCGGCGCAACTCGGGCGACTTCGGACGGAATGCCGGCTCTGGCGCTTCCTGGCGGGATAACGATTACGATAGGGACTTTGGCGCGCCGCAGAGGGCTAGTACCTACGCGCCCAGCGGGTCGCTCTCGTCGCCTACTTCCGCGGGAGCGCCGAGGCGGCCGGCGGCGCCGAAGCCGAATTTCGCGAGTAAGCAGGCGCTGTTGAAGAAGAATGAGGCGGTGGCGCTGTATACGTTTGAGGCGGATCAGCCGGGGGATTTGAGTTTTAAGAAGGGGGAGATTATTACGGTGTTGAAGAAGACGGATAGTGACAATGACTGGTGGTGAGTCTTCTCTGTTTCTGGGAAATCCTAGAATCCTAGCTTCGACGTTGAGTTAACCCCAAGGCTGTTTTCTAGGACTGGTATGATTGGGAACCGACATGGGATATTCCCTAGCAACTACGTAAAGATGAAGGAGTGATCTGTTTGGGTTTTGCTGCTTTTCGGTTTTGCTTTGCGGAACGGGGATGAGAGGAAGAGACTGGTACAACATCACCGGCGTTTTCTTTTTGCTCTTTTTTTTTTTTGCTACCTTCTTTTCGCTACTTTTCTTCTTTTTCTCTTGTTGTTCTATCTCCCCTTATGATTTTACATTGTTACTCTCTCTGCTATCCTTGGAACCTCGGAAACAGTTTTTTTCTTTTTTCTTTTTTCAGATTCATAACGAGCGACGTTTGACACCCAGGCAACAGAAAATTCGGACTTTCCCACTTCGTTTTATCGTACGCCTACATTGCTTTTATTGTGCTAGTATGATTCGAACCTTTTGTCTTTTTCGTCGTTGGGGTGGGAGTTTGAAGAAAAGAAGCGATTTTCCTTCCGTGCTTGGTGAAGAAAGAGAGTTGAACCTTTTCTGCTTCTGTTATTTGGTTCCTGAGATGCGTTCCTGAGATGCCCGATTTCATTCGGATACCCATTCTTCCTTTTTTTTCTCTCCTCTTCCGTCTTTCTTCTTCTTAGGAGCTATCAATTCAGAGTTATAAACAAAGCATAAAACGTCAAGTCTCACATGTTCGGATCTAAACTCGAAGCTGGATCTTCGTCTCTGGGGTCCGAAGTAGTATCACATTCCGGCTTTGCGAAGTTGACCTGGCTCTTCCACTCTAGCAAGAAACATCACGGCATTAAACGGCAGCCCTCTCGCGGGTTGCACTTTGGAAGCATTCAATACTGATAATGCCCCATCCGATCTCTACTGTATAATCTACAGAGTAAAAGCTTTAATCCGGAACCCAGTCCCTCATTCCCTATTAGCACAATAATGACAATCCGCGCCGACCAGCTCCCAATGAGCAAATACCCAGGAAACAAGAAGAAAATGAAAATCCCATCACGCTCACCGCGACTCTCCTCCAATCAATGCCAAGTCCGTTCAAGATCCCCCCGAGCAAGGCAATAGCCCAATCATGCCCTACCCGTCCGGTAAGCCTCACCGCTCTGTAAAGGGGGACCCGCGGGCTTAGGCTGTTAAGAACACAAAGCTTCTCCCAAAAATTAGCTAACAGATGCTAGAACCAATATCGAATATACTTTTGTTTCCCTTCATCTCTTATTTCTTCTTCCCACCCTTGCGCTTTTTCTTATTTTTCCTTCCGCTAACACCTCCGCCCTGCCCTTGTCCGACCGTACTCGTACTCGCTTCCGTGCTAGGAGACACCACGTCTAGCAAATCGTGAGCTTCGCCGTTATCCTCCGCTCCCGGCTGTTTCGTCGTGGTGGTGGTGATGGCGATGGGAGGAGTAGGTTGTGCCACGGGACTGCCTCCGGCGCTAGCAGCCGCCTCATCCTCCTCGTCTCCCGAGCTCGCTGAAATCACCACCTTCCGCACGCCGCCCGTCTCGACGTAGCTCTCCGTGATGGCTCCGGTCCGGCACATAGTCGGTCTGGACGGGCTCTCGAAGTTGATTCCGCCTCCGTTCCCGCTATTGTCGTTTTTATTATTATTATTATTATTAGTCGACGACGTGTTGCTCCCCGACATCTGCGGCGATTGCGGTTCGCTCGACTGGCCCTTTGACAAACTCGTCGCGAGATCATCACCGGGGGTTATTGTCACGGAACCGTCGCTCCTGACTGACTGCGTGGTAATGGCTTGCGTTTCCGCCTTGGGGGTCCCGCTGCCGTTCGAATCGGCGGTGCCGTATCCGAGTTTACCGGACGTCAAATGACTCTCTTTACCTTTGGGCGTCATTTTCGAGACGAGCAACGGCGTCTCCTCATCGCTTTCATCGCCTTCTTCGGCTTCCGGTTGATGAACGATAGCCAATGCGCTCTTCGCGCGACGGATATCCTTGGCCGGACCCGACGCCGGGCTGGGCATGGCGCTTGACCCGGGCTTAATCGTCACCGACGGAGAGGTCGTGTTCTTTGGGTTCGATGCGGGATTCGAAGGGCCCAGGTGCCGGAGGTGCTGCCTTAGTTGGTCCATGTTCTTCACAGGAATGGTAGAGGATTCGACTCCGTCGACACCCCCCGAGGTTCGCTTCATCATAAAAGTTACGGTTTTGGGGCTTGCTGGAGGGCCCTCGCCGTCCGGGCCGGTAACGGCGATGTCGGGTTTTCTCGAGTCGGTGGAGCGCCGGCCTTCTCCGGGAAGATTCTGTTCGCGAGCCGTTTTATCAGCGTGGACGCTGTCTCGGCGGAAAAGCATCGTCGTCGGGGCGGGTGTGAGACGGCGGATAGCCTTGTGAACATCGATGTAGACGTCGGACTCGTCAATAATTTCCCTGGTCACATGGTTAGCGCCGAAAGGAAGAGAGAGGAGAAGGAGAGGATGAGAGACGAAGAGACAAAGAGGGGGGGGGGGGGGGGGGGGGGGGGGGGTTCTTTGCTCAGATGCGAACTTACTCTCCGATCAATTCTTCAATAACGTCTTCGAGGGTAACAACACCCGCCGCACCATGGTCCTGTCCTGGTGCGGACGACACCAAAGCCATGTGCGACTTGCCGTCCTGGAAGTAGTTAAGGATGTCCAAACAACTAGTCTCGGGTCGCGTCTCCGGCAGGGCTGCCAGCGGGAAATCCTTGACCTGCATGCAGTCTTCCGGATCGTAGGTGATGAGGATCTTGACGAGCAGCATCCCAACGAAGTTGGTCGGATTACCGGGCTGGTGCACGGGGATCCTCGAGTATCCCGCCGACAGGATGCGGCCCATCAGCTTCTCGTCGAGCACGGCGTCGGCCGAAAGGGTAAATACGTCGACCATGGGAGTCATAATATTGCCGACGGGCTTATCCTTGAGGTCGAGGACGGCTCGAATGATGGTGACTTCGTCTGTGTTGAGGCGCTCGTTAACCTCTCCTATGGTCTGGTGTAGCGTCACGAGGGTCTTGAGACCGCTCTTCTTGTAGACGGTGCCTTCGTGAGTACCGAGAATGTAATCGAGCAGTTTGGCCATGGGCCATGAAACGGGCGCCGTGATCCACATGAGTAGAAGGACGGCGGGGGCCATGAAGCCGCCGATGGGGAGACCGTATCGGACGCATATCGACTGGGGAACGACTTCGCCAAAGATGACTGTAAAGGAGCAGAATATTAGCAACTGGCTGGCGAAGCAAGAGAAAAAAGACATTCGTACTCACCAATTAGGACCGTACTCCCGATAATGGCGGCGATACCACCGCCAAGACACCGATCGAGGACGACAGGCAAAGACTCATTGACAACAACATTGGCCAGCAACAGCGTCACAAGAACCCAGTGCTTCCCCCTCGTAAGAAGGTTGAGGACCTTTTCCGCAGCTCGTCGCTTCGAAGAGGACTCGTGGATATCGTCTTTTAATACTTTAAGGTAGATTCCGTCCTGTCCCATAAAGCTGCGCCAAACAGGTTAGAAAAAAAAACCATCAGCTCATGAAGCGCCGGGATACGAAATTTCTCGACCATCACAAAAGAATAAAACATCAATTGACACGAAACAAGGAAAACATACGCAATTGTCAACCCGGCAAAAGCACCTCCCGCAACGACAAGTATCGCCGAGAGGATATACAAGAAAACGAGCCCAGGGCCGTCAGCCTCCGGTTCGTGGACACCGCCGTGCCCCAGCGCGGTGAGCGGGGCAGCCGTAACATGTCGAAGACCGAGAAAGGCCACGCGGCAGAGGCCAATGACGGCGGATCGGGCGCTCAGGAATGCATTGAGGACGGGTGGGCGAGCACGCGTCGTGGACATGGCTTTTTTTATTATTTTTCTTTTCTGCGGCGCTCTTCTTTCTAACCCGGAATGGTGAAAGTGTAAGGATTGGAGTGGGGGAGAGGAGAGAGGACGGAGAGAGAAAACAGTAAAAGACGGACAAGGAAAAATAATAATATGGGCACGTATTATTAGTCGAGGTTTGCGATCACAGGCAGTTTGCATGCAGCGGCGGAGCTAGCAGGGGCGATCCTGGGACGGTCTGTGTCATGGACGAACTCACGTGCGTGGCCCTGCGAGGCGAGGATAAGGATAATGTACAAAGTATAAATTCAGAGGCAGAAGATGAGAAAGGGAACAAGAAAGAATAATTCAGAAGAGTCTACCGGATTCGGAGTGTTCGCTATTCGCCTTCTCGGAGCGTTAGTGTAGAGGACAGAGTGTAGAGGACAGAGGAGGCAGGCCCGGTGCCTTATCAAGATGAAGGGAAAATCGTAGGAGAAGAGAAAAAAGAAGAAGGGGAAAAAAAATATTTGGACGAAATTAATCCCCGATTTGAAGTTGCAGTACAATTGTACTTCATAATACTGAGTACACTACAGTACGGAGGAGAAGAAGAAGGAGACTTTCTCGGGGTCAACGACAAGACAAGTGGAGATTTTGCAAGTACAAATCAATATTGACTTTGAAATGTAACGAAAATGCCACACAGTGACACGGGTACGAGAGTACAGGAGGACGGTGTACCTTGGCGCCTTGGCACCTTGGCACCTTTCTGCTTTCCGGCGCTAAGTGATTCAATGTCCCCGCATGCCGGAACCGCTCGGCGTTAGTCAGGAGGTAACGGAGACAGGAAGTCAATTATTTTATCAGTGCTATCCATACACCGGACGCGGCGTCGTGGGATACGGGTGAGGGGCGAGATGGGCAGCGTTGCCAACGCGGGATGTGACCATCTGCGGGATGCGCAATTCTACGTATGGATGGAGTCGTTTATATCTCAGTCGATGAATGGCGGTAGTTCGACGCCGGACACTTGATGGGGAATAAACCGCAAAGGCGACAAGTAATTACTTCGTACTGAGCAGAGGAAGAAAAAAGAAACCTTAAAGCGCCGAGTGAATCGAGACCCGTCTTATCCGGTCTTGGTCCAGCAATGCATTTAATGTACAAATCAGCTTCAAGCTATTTGTTACCTCAGCTGTGGTTTCACATGTACAACAAAAGTCCAGGGTACAGTGCAACGGAGAAACTTGGAAGAAGCCTCGTCAGCTTTCGTCGCTTTTATTCACGTTTCTAAGGAGGAAAATACAGTAACTCTATAATCATTAAATGTAATTCTCTACTTTAAAGAGTAGAGGAGTAGAAAAAAGATGACAGGGGAGGTAACGGATCGATATGACTGAAGTCAAGGCATCGTGGTCTTCAAATTCTACCTATTAATGAGTACGACGTAGGGGTATACTTCAATGATATATTGGCGGCCCGGCAAGCCTGCTGTCAGCTGGGTTAATGTTGATCCTTACACACTCAGGTGTCCGACGTAAGTGCTCCCCTCAACTGCCACCCATTTTACTCGAGCTTTCAGCGCATCTGCTTCTACGGCATAGATTTGAAATATAGGATCCCCTAAATATTGCCAGGTACTATGTTTGCATGACGCAATCCATGGAGACTGAACTTTTCCTGTCTCGCGCAAAAGAGGTCTAATCTTCTAATTCCACTCCCTTTTGCCAATTCTGGGAGAGACTGTAGCCGAACGTATCTCAATGTTTGTCCTCGACTGGCTAGGCGAAGTAAGATGCTGATGGGAACAGCGTACGAGGTAGAACGCCATGCGAATATGCAAATGAGGTGCAGTATTGTACGAAGTAGTTCAGCGGAGGGCAACGCAACGCTCCACCCAGTTACGGAACTCACCAGCGACCCATCTCGCTAGCAGCCGTAGTACGCCGAGCACGCGGTACGAACCGTCCACGGTGGCCGTGCTCCCGATCTCCAACGGTCCACACACTTCATACTCATCGTCTTTGTCAAACGCAAAGTAGAGCTCCCACCTCTCGCAAACAACCAGCAAAACCGGTACAAACGGTAGGTTCACTACCGTCCCAGCAGCAGTGGGGGGTACTGGTGCAAATTTAGCTACGCGGCCGTACCACGCCGCCAGCCATACCCCCAGCTGGGCCTTCCCCTCCGCACGCCGCCGGCTTTCCACCTTGGTCTCAACGAACACGCCTGTCGGTTCATAACGCAGAGGCCCATTCGTCGACTGGTTGAAGGTCCGCGGACCGTCGAAGCCATCGACGAATTCGGCAATGCGTACTGATAACGACTTCTCTGGGCGTAGTAAAAGGGCGTAATCGATCATTTTGCCGTTCAGTATCTCAATCTCTCCACGCGAGGCTGGGACGAACGCACGACATATGCTGGCTTGCGTGATATTCTCAGCAGCGACATCCGGCGTGCTAGAGACAGCAAGGCGAAGGATCGGGCCGTGGATATGGTCGTTCCAGGTTGCTTCGGAGCGCGTGCTGTTTACGAAAAGGACAGTAGTTGTAGCGATGTCGCGGATAGTGCAGAGCTCACTGTAAACGGCAATTGACGCCACTTCATTTCCGAGAGAGAGGCGTGAAGCATCATGCTTGTTCTTCTCGCTTATGAAAATATCCCTGCTGTTCGTTGCGAAGTGTGAATCGCCGACCATGAGCTCGTCTTTCAATATCCCCTTCAATTCTTGCGGCAAATACCCCTCTTTCTGCACTATTTTCCACACATCGTCGAAAAGCCGTAGTGCCTGCCCGCTTCCAATTGCCTGTACGGCATCCCGCAGGGCACGCGGTTCCGGGGTTGTCCACGACACCGGCTTTTTCAGCTTGAGAAGGTCGTCAGGGTTCTTGATCGGACTCGAGGAACGCGTGCGGCTGCTGACGCCAGATCCTCGGTCTTGCGAGTCCGAAACAGCCGACTGGCTGTCGTTCAAGCCACGTCTGGCCAAGGCAGGCGCCGGGAAGGGGGATGCCCGCTTCCTTGGCCGTGGCGTAGGTTCTCTGTCTGGGTCATCGCGAGCAGCCATCTGTGAGCTTTCTTTTTCCGGGCCGCGGTTTGAATCCCTGGATGTCGACATCGAACGGTCGAAGTTGGGATCGACGTTGGCGAGAGGCAGAAGACGCGGTCGCTTAGCTTTGTTGGAAGCATCAGGAGCCGGTGCCCGACGACGTTTGGGGGACGTTGGGCATTCGGAAGTGTCAGAATTCTGGCATTCCTCTATCCACCGCTCAACCATTTCTGGGTCCATGTATCCAGGGAGTGTAAGCTGAGAACTATTATTCCAGCCATGAAGCTTTTCTTTCGCCTTATTCAGGAGCTGGATCTCAATCGCCGCTCTTGCCAAGTTTCTAACTTCGTCGCGTCGCGACCAGGACGTCCAAATATCCCATGTCCCAGTGCTTACATAACGTTAATGGCAGAACCTGCAATTGCGGGATTCCTTGAAAACCCAACCCAAAGTCTCGGCCGACGGACTCGTCCTCTCTTTCTCGTGATTAAATAGTTACAGTGTTCGAGGCGAAGAGCTGCTTCGGCATTCTAGCGCTGCGGGTCAGGCGAAGGTCGCAGTCATTCGGTTAGAAGGGCGTCCTCACATTTTGCGGTCTTCGCAGGCCCTCCCACACCTTTCGTCTCGATAACACGCCTATAAAAAGGGGGAACAGAAACGGAAACAAATAACGCCAATTTAAAAGCAATTGCTATCATGACCATGAACTATAAAAAAGAGCAGCTAAAGTAGGTCGCGCAGAGTTGATCTGCTACGACATGACCCCCCATATGCCAAACCCCCTATGTACAACCCGTAATGCGAGATGCCAATAATAACATTCTGGCCATGTTTCCTTGCCCTCCCTAATGACCTTCCTACTCCCAAAAAATGTTGATCGAAGTTGAATCCTCAGTCCACTCCCTCCACTATCACACACTCACTTCCTTTTACAAGTTCACAAGACTTACATCAAGAATGCCCTCCGTCGCGGCAAGCTCATCCAAAACCTCCTTAGTAACATGCCCACCAATACCCAAAATCATCAACGCCTCATGCACGACCCCATTCCCGTTCCCATTCCCATGGCCATTCGCGCTGCCAGGCTTCTTCCTAGGCTTGGGCTCATGGCTAGCCACCTGCATAAAGTTGATGTTAACGCCCTGTCTGCCCAGCACCATACCCACGCCGCCAATCTTGCCGGGGGTATCGTAGTTGTGTAGCACGAGAACCGTGCCCTCGGGCTCGAAGCTTCCGTGGAACCTGCCCAGGCGCGAAATGTACGCCGCGTCCTCCGAGATGTAACCCTCGATGATCTGCGGCTCCTCGTCGACGCCGCTGCCGCCCTCCGTGAAGGCCCTCAGCGTGACGAGGCTGGCGTAGACGAGATCGGGGGTGTCGTGCGCCTTGATCTCATTAATTACCATGCCCTTCTCCTTGGCGATGAGCGTGGCGTTGACAATATTCACGTCTCGACCCTGCGAATCGCTAATCGTAGACACGAGCCCCTTGACCAGCGCCGCCAGCAGGGGGCGCGTATTCGTCACGCCCGCCAGCTCGCCATGGTACACGAGCTCAAAGGTTCGTCCGCCAATCATGCCGCCCTTGCGGCCGACGAAATACTGCGTGTACAAGCTGCCGAGCTTCTCGACGAGAGACACGAACGGCTGCAGTCGGCGATACTCGTCGGGGAGGATGAGCGGTGCGTTGACAGCCGTCGTGGGCAGGTCGCCCTCGAGGACCTTGAGGACCTGCGCGCAAACGTCGAGGGAGACGTTTTCTTGGGCCTCGACGGTCGAGGCGCCGAGGTGGGGCGTCGCGACAACCTTGGGGTGCTTAGCGAGCTTAGACGCGGTCGAGTCGGGCGCCGGGGGCTCCGACGTGAAGACGTCGATGCCGGCGGCGGCGATCCAGCCCTCGTCGAGGGCTTTGACGAGGGCGGCTTCATTGTAGACGCCTCCGCGGGCGACATTGAGAACGCGCGCCGTCTTCTTCATCTGTTGGAGCTCCGCCTCGCCCAGGAGATCGAGTGTGCTAGCAATGAGGGGCGTATGGATGGTCAAGAAATCCACCTGGGGTAGCATGGTCTTGAGATCCGCCACAAGCTCAACGCTGGCGCGCTCAGCGACCTCGGCGCTGGCATACGGATCGACGGCCTTAATCTTCATCCCCAAACCCTTAGCCATCCTAGCAACGTTCATACCGACCTTGCCCAAACCGATGATGCCGAGAGTCTTGCCACCAACTTCGACACCCACGAGCTTGCTCCTCTCCCACTTTCCGTCCTTGAGAGTACCATCAGCCCGACCAATATGTCTTGCCGTCGCCAACAACAAGGCAATGGTATGCTCGGCGGCTGCCAAAATGTTACCAGACGGCGAGTTGACGACAATGACGCCACGAGCCGTCGCGGCAGCAACGTCGATGTTATCCACACCAACACCGGCGCGGGCTACCACCTTGAGGTTCACGGCAGCTTGGAGCACCGGGGCGGTAACCTTTGTCTCAGAGCGCACGATGAGAGCTTCGTAGCCAGGGATGATGGTGAGAAGCTCCTCGGCGCTGAGACCCAGTCGGATGTCGACTTGGAACTTGCCTTGGAGCATGGCGAGGCCATCGGGGGAGACTTTTTCCGGCACAAGCACACGCGGCTTAGCCGGGACCGCCGGGGCGGCGGGGACAGGGTCTTCAGCGATGGGTGCCATAGTTTTTTGGTTCTTTTTATGGAACTTCTGATTTAGGGGATTGCGGGGGAGGGGCAAACGGGGAGAAGTTTAGATAGGGACAGAGCTAAAGTTTGATTTCTTTATTTAAAGAATGAAGGTTCGTGACGTCAGAGAAGTCGGAGAGGACAGAGAACGAGGATAAGAATTGGAAGTGAGAATAACCGACGGCTACTAGCAATCCGGTATCCAAGGGCAAACGGATCCTGACTTAATTGATTCACACAACTTGGTGAGTACAGGAGAAAGGACAGAAGGGAAGGGAAGAGTGTAGGAGGGAAACACAAGACAAAGAATGAAATTTAAAAATAAAAATAGAAAAAGTACAAAATAGACAAAAAGAGTTTGGACATTGTGTGGGACGGGTTCGGAGTCAGTCAGTCAGTCATTCCCGCAAAGCACGCCCTCCCCTTACGACTTCGGCGAGTCACGTCGGATGCCCCATCCCAAGGGGGCAACATAGCTCGAGAGGGTCAGAGGCTCATGGACCTGATCAAGTTCTGGACCCAGACCGTTTCCAGACCGCACACCCATCTCCTTCGCTCAACTTACACCACGCGAAGCGGGAAGTCATCAATGAGAAGGGGGGGAAGAGAGGGGGGTGTCATAAAGAAGGGCAACCAAAACCGCATGGAACTACCCAGTCAGAATGGTAGTAGGGATGACATCCCGCGTCTTCTCAATGGCTGGGATTTGCAACAGAAAACAAGAAAAGAGGGTAGGGTTGGAGATCGGAACAGACCGAGGGAGCGATGTCGGCATCTGATGAGAGGGAAAAAAAAAAGTCATGTTATTAAAATCATGTTGCCCCTCCAAATTCAAATTGCGAGGCGTCGCTCTGTTTCCTCTTTCCCTCCGATATGCCAATGCCAATGCCTATGCCAATGCTAATGCGGATGCCAATGGCACATAGTACGTAGTGGAATGCTCGCCTCGCAGGCTCATACTAAGCCTTCTTCGGATTGGAGGGGCGAGCTGTCATACGTGGGATGAGCATCCGAGAACAACGTAACAGAGAGTGGCAATCGGAGGGGGGAGCAAACTCATTAGCCATTTGTGGAGGTGGAGACGACGTCGGCCAAACATGTCCGTTTCAAGGGTTCAAGTTGATCGTCGTGCCAAGAATGCTTGCTGCAGGCTGTACTCGTCGACTTGCGCAAGCTGATGATCTTCAATGGGAGAGGGCCTGACAGTCTGACTGAAGGAGGAGAGTCACTCGTTGTCCAAATGCGGTGGAAATGCCGAAAATGCCGCCCCTCGGGCAGTTAAGCAGTTGAACCCTGTGGTCCCTGGAAAGTTATTACCAGAGATCAATTGAGGGACTGTATCCCTCCCCGAGGCAATTTACGTTGGAGGATTCGAGCGCGCTTCAGCCAGCTTCAGTTGAGCCTTTATTTACCCCTCGGCTCTTGGTGCTGCAATGCAACTTCTTCGCAGCATTGATGTTTCATTGGCTGCAGTTGTGCAGTGTGTGTGTGCACTATCTTAATGGCCGGCTCAGCGCTCAGAACACTAACATTTACCCCTCAATCACTAAACCTCCCGCGCCAGGCCAGACGCTAACCCCCCCACGTTCCCCGAGCGCAGCCTGAGCGCACCTGGCACACTACAGATTTAGCAGCCTCCAGCCCACCAATCCCCCTGTGAACTTGTACACCCTCTCCTCCCAATCCGTACCCGCAATCCTCTATTCTCAACCGGCCATTGAGATTGATTCTTTCCAAGCCCGGTCTCCTCGGGGCGATATTCCTTTAGCTATTTGGATCAAGTAAGCAAAAGGAATATATTGTACCTCTGTGTTGACGGAGCCGGTTTGAGGAGCCGGCTTGGGTGGCTGGGGGCGCGTGGGGATTTACCGGCGCTAGGTTCGGGAACGAGTACCCTTTCCATAAATCATATCCAGTCCATCGAATCCCTTGATGGATATGTAGATACGTTGCTGCCTGGAAACTGAACAAGAGCCAACCAGGACAAGATGGGCTGCATGCCTCATGCTTACGAGGGACGCATAGATTACGTCGGTCATAGCCAGTGTTGCCGGATCGGATGCAGGCATATCTCACTGTGCATCGGATCGTACACTGATCATTGGCACAAAGGTCAACTTTGACGAGACTGCATTACTCACCACTGTGCCGAGTTCGGTGTTGAACAGTCTGGGGGTGTAAGAATGGAAATAGGCCAAGCCCTTTACAATATGCTTTCCCTCTTCGTCTTTCATTTCTTTTTTCCCCTATATTTTCTTTTATTCTACTCCATCATGTCACAGGCGAGCCGAGTCCAACCGGTCCGCCTCGCGCCTTCAAAAGTTATCCTTGCCAGAAATACCCTCGTTCTGCACAACCTCAATCCAATAACCATCGGGGTCGAGGAGGAACGCAACATTGTTCATCTTGCCGTCCGTCAACCTCTTCTTCCAGTTACACTTGAGGTCCTCGAATCGCTGGCATGCCGCATCGAGGTTGTCCACCGCAATGCCTGTATCCGGTACCGTTAGTTCTTACCATGGGATTCACAAGATAAAGAGAGAGGGACACAGAAGACCCTGCGGTGGAACTCACAGATATGGCCAAAGCCTTGGGGCTCCTTGTTGCCGTCGTGATAGCTAAAGGCCTCGTCCTTCTCCGTGCCATAGTTCCACGTCAACTCGAGGAGACCCTCCCTGTTGCTGGTGTTCTTATCGGCGGGGATACCCTCCTTGCCGGGATAGCCCAAGAAGTAGAGGTTGAAGCCTCCGTTGGGCGACTCGTGAGTGCGAATCAAGGTCATGCCAATAACCTCCTGGTAGAACTTGAGCGACCTTTCGGCATCCTTGACTCGAAGCATGGTGTGGTTCTATAACCTCTAGTTTAGCGTTTCTCTTCACACATCAGAACTCCACGCAGTCTCACGGATACCACATACCATTCGATAGGTAGACACATCCGTCGTCGTAACGTTTTCCGTCTCCTCGAGAGGCTTCTGTCCAATAACCTCAACCCAGTACCCATCCGGATCCAAAGCAAAGGCGATATGCTTCATCCTGCCATCCGTAAGTTTCTTCTGGAACTTGTACCCCGCATCTTCGATCCTCTTGCACGCGGCCTGGATGTTGTCGACGCTGATACACGTGTGCCCAAAGCCTCGGTGGGGCTCGACATTGCCGTTGTTGATCTTGTAGGTGTCATCGTTTTCGGTGCCGTAGTTGTGCGTGAGCTCGATGAGTCCCTCGCGGTCGAACGTCTTATTTCCGTGGGAGAGGGCCTTGGGGGAGTCGTAGCCGAGGAAGTAGAGGTCGAACTTGAAGTCGGGGAAGGAGAGCTTATTGATGAGGCTCATGCCGAGGAACTCGTAGAATTCGACTACGGTTACCTAGGTTAGTTTTTTGTGTCGGGTAGAAGTGTCGACAGCGAGAGGAGGGGAGGGGATATTCGTACCGGACCTCTTGGGGTCTTTGACTCGAATCCTGGCAGCAGAACCGTCAGATTGTGGCTCGGTGAAGAGGGGATAGCGCCAACCTACATCGAGTGGTTGAACTTGTACGTGTTGGTATCCGTAGTGGTCGCCATTGTTGCGAATGTTCGATATACGGGTCTGAAAGTAGATGGAAGAACGAATACAGATGATCTAACACTCGTCAAGAATCGCACTGAATTCATGAATGGCTTCAATGGCCTGTCAATGTGTTTCCTGGTCGAAGAAAGTAAGGAAGTCTGCCTCACTTCAAAATACCCCGCCAGCCAGTATTTGAACAACTTATTTCGTCATTACCAACTACCCTTACCCCGCCACCGCGCTAAGCTTCATTATTGGCTGCGTGGACCTGAGCTACGACGGACGTAGCTGATGCCGTGGCTTGAGCATCAATCGTTCATCGGCACTTCGCCCTTCAGTGGGCAGCTTTGAATTATCGAACTCACTATCTAATGGATCAACTTGGCTGCAACTGTGATGGAGGGGATATTCAGGTAGGGTGGTGGATGATAAACAATGCCCTGCCGCCCGCCTGCGAACCAAATAGCCATCCACCATCAAGCAATGCTTGGAGACCTTCACCACGACCAGTGTGGAGTCGGTCGGCATGGAATCAACATCCCGATATCCTAAGTGTCACTCTTACTTGGTAGGCTTCAAGGTTAATAGCAACTATTCGAGTAGCCGTGGATGGCAATTTTAAGATTCCGGTGACTTCATTATTCTATATCTAGGCGGACACCTTCATGTACTCTCTTCTTCATGGCAACGCATCAAGCGCCACACACAATGAAAAGAAAATTCTCCGGAGTGAACTCCAGAAAAAGGAAAGACATCAAAAATTGCGCCCCCGACGGCCCCGAAGGACAATCGAGCAAGGCCGACTCCGCGATGTGCAATGCAGGTCATCCTCACTGAACTACCGACTTCTTGATCTCGGCGAGCACGGGACAAGGTAAGTATGAAGAAAGAAAAGAAGAAGAAAAAGCCAAAGACTGTGGGACGGTCGGGCGGTATTTATGGTTTTTCGAAGGCGGTGAGGCGGAGCTCTGGATCAGTAGGTGGGTCCGGGGCGGCAGAATTATTTTTTGAAGGCCGAATTTTGATTGGATAGATTTTCAAGGTGTGGGGCTTCCTGATTCACTTGGTCAACTTCAACGTCGAGGAAGGAGCTCTTTGGCTTTGTATGGAAGGAGGAAACAAGAAGTACGAAGGAAGACACGAATTGGGAAAGTTGCGGGTCCCTCTGCCTCCCCTGGAAATTCCCCCGAAAGGTACTTGGCACCAAGTATTTCGATTCGATGCTATTCACAAGACTACTGATGCTGGGTCTTGCTCGCTCCCTTCTTACGGACACACATCGATGCCGGCTCGAAAGATAACACAAGTGGATGCGATGCCGCCGTCATCTGAGATCCGCATTTACATTCGCGTCTGCATCATGTCCCAAACCAAACAGACGATTACAGGATAATTCCAAGAGTCTATGTGTGCGGAGTGCGGCTTCATACTAGTTCCACATTTCTTGGGCTGATGCTGCCTCTTCTGATGGCAAAGGATTAGACGGGAGGGAACTTTTCTTGTCCATGACTTAGACATGGTTGCTTCTTCTGTGTGCCGTATATACCGTACCTTCTACTTGAGCTTCAAAAACTCACCTTCCGGCTTCCGTCAATAAGTACGTTTCCCTCCTGGAAGCATCCACATCTCCTAAACGAGGACACAGGCACTGTCGTTTCTTGGTTGGTAGATATGGCGACGTCGAGTCTTGGGCATTTGTCACGATTCGCCATGTCTACGCCATTCCGACTATTAGGCGGCAAATCTACTGCCGAAGATAGACAGGTGTAGCCTCTGGAGGGTCGTAGGGATGCAGTGCAAAAGTATTGCTTCATTTTAAATAATGATGGAAAGTGGTGCTTATTCGGTCAACATATGCCGGGTTTAAAGCCTTGTAGTAGAACCAGTTCCTGTCAATCCAAGTCGCAAGACGAAAAGGATGGCTATGAATACATCGGGAGATATTCTCCTTTCTGCTCATGAACTATTTGTCCCAGTCTCGCAGTCGGGCGTACTTTCCTTGGGTGGCTTGCTGAAAAGGGAGGGGGAGTATGTGTTATATATTTGGATAAGTTCGTAGGCTATCGCCAGCGTGAGGTACTCATGTTTCTGAAGTACGCGGTTTGAGGCCTCTCACGGGGCTGGGATAGTGTGCGCTTGCATGTTTGTACCTAGTATTCCTCCGGGAGCCTCACGCTGGTTCATCTCTTTTCCTTTTTGCCACACATTTTTGCTGGTGCGGTGGAAAATTCTCATCAGGGAAGAGGCTCCGAGGAAATTTGCAAAGTCACTCTCTTTTGCTCCCAACGGACCTTCCTCTCGCTCGACCGACAGGCGTAACGAAGGTACTTCCTAGGCAGGGGACCCCTACGAGGATGCCGTGATGGTAGTTGCTGTTGCCAGGCTTTCAGAAAACGGCTTCCCAGATGGCCTTGGTTCGAATCCGGCTTTGCCTCTGGCACCTTTTTTATTTATTTATTTTTTATTTTTTTATTTATTTTTTTATTTTTTTATTTATTTTTTTTTTTTTTTTTACGCCTGTTCCTCCACGACATTGGTCCCGACTCTCAATCGTGCTTGGGTAATATTAACATGCCGCGGAAGGGCGCCATCTACACTTCGCATGTCTTTACTCGAAAGTTGGCATCAATTGATCTTAATTGGCTTCACTCCCCCTTCTTCATTCAATTCAGAAGGTCATACTAGGCCACTTATGATAGTCGAATGCAAACTAGGGGATACGAAAAACTATTAGTGCCCGGTATTGATTTTGAACAGCTACCCGCAACAGAGAATCGTTTCGAGAACCCGCCCTCACTCAGGACTCCAATTGAAGCCAAAACAAAACCTGGCCAAAAAATCGAAAAGCCAACATAAGTCTTCCTGCGACTATAATGGCATAACTGGAGATCTCTGGTTTTCCCAAGAGTTTGCGCGCGGAGGTCTTGTAGACTACAAAAAGGCCGTTCGACTGGTGTTGGGCTACTTAGGACCAAAGGTATGAACTGCCTCCGAGGATATCAACACAACGAATACCTTGCGTGCAATACAGGTTCGTGGAGCGTTCCAAATCTAGGTTCTCTCGAGGACAGCTCAGTAGAACATCTGTTACTGAATCGACTTGTTGAATGGACCATTGTCGGTTGCTATGATCTGGCGAAAATAAGCCTTTCCTTACCCGAGGATGTTGAGCATGTCGCAAGCTCCTTATGCACCTCGAGGAAATGCACAGCAACTCATATAAAGTCCAGTTAGGATTCAGAACCAAGCTGTTATCTTGAAAAAACCAAGCTTGGAGATACCCAAGGAAGCAAGGAAGACGTTGGACGTTGAAAAGGGGTACAAAGTACATCATTCCTCGGAAGTGGGATGCCCCGCAGTGGTTACATAATCCAGTTTGATGAACAGGGATCCACTGATGTCAACTCTGAAGGAGTCTCAACTGGGAAGGTACTGCATCAATGTACCTACTACCCATCACGCTTCACGGTTGCTATTCTCGATTCTCGATTCGCCAAAAGTTCATCGCCCTCTTATAAGCGCGCAGCCTTCTGTGCATGTTTGCCCCCTCTCCCTTCGAATCAGCCTCCGCCTGGACATTCCTCCGTGATATCGTGCTTTTGAGAAGCCAGCAGACAATCTCCAGAGAAGTCGATGCCGAACCTACCTTCCCATGATCCAGACTATGCCTGTTGAATCCCCTGTCGTCATGATTCGATCGCGTCCGTAACGACTGCAGGGAAACTTGAGCACTCGACTCCGCCAAGCCGAGCTCCAAGTGCAAAGAACGACCAGCAAATCGGAACCATTAGCTTTTCGAGAATAATACATTCCACCCAATATCCATTCCCAACATCTATTGGATTCTTCATTCACTTTGAATGAACATTCCCGCCCACACCATGGATCCTCGAGGACAAAACCCCTTCTACGAATCCGCTATCGTCGACGACGACTCCGCCAAGGGAACCAATACGACGTCCTCAGGCCACCTCGTGTCCCAATCGCCACTTCCCCGATCCAGATCCTTCTCCGACGGCGGCCCGTCCGGTCCCAAACTCTCACCCTCCCCGAACATCATCGCAGCCGCTTCCTCCCGCCGAACAAAAGACGACATAGCGCTCAAAGACACCACGATCTCCACCCCCGCCTCGCTGTCCGCCTCCACACCCTCTACGCCGTGCCGCGATGAGTTCCCCCGCCGAGGTCTCAACCTCCAGGCACCACCGAATCGAGACTTCACGTCCCCGGGCGGCCCTACGTCATCGCACCAGCCCGGAAGCAACAGTCCGTACTTCGCCGGCCGAGTCGCCCCGCTGAGTCCGAAGCTCGACCCTTCGCAGGTGTTTGCTTCGCCGACTAATATTTTGCCGCGTCGATCGAGGGGTCTGGACTTTTCAAGGGCTGCGACTAGTCTACACCATTCGATGCTCGCTGATCAGTCGAGTCCCGACTCGAGTCCGACCATGGGTGGGAGGGCGATGAATATACCGAATCGAAGGAGTGGTGACTTTAGTAGCACGGAGCAATCGTCCAACTCGCTCTGGTCTGTAATGGGTAGCCAGGAGAGGATGAACCTGTCGGGTTCTTTGGGGAGCGTTCCGGGGATTGTGCCGTCGGATTCATCTTCCAGCTCCGACGACGACGTCATGGACGAGGATATGGATGAGAGCTATCTGACTACTCCGCAGGCTAAGGCTACGATATCCCTTGGCGGCCCACAGCCTGCTCCATGGTCCCTGGGGGGCTCGCCCGCCGTCAGCAGCTTGATGAACTTCCAGCAACGACAACGGCCGAAGAAGCACCCGAAGCGCCGTCTCCGTGCGGGTCTCGGCCTTGGGGGTATTTTTCCAAGTGGTGTGTCCAAGTCACCGCCGAACGGCATGGCCATGGACGTGTCTCATTCGCGGCGCGAGAGTATTAGCTGGCAAGCTAATCAGCTGCATCTGTCGGGGAGCGAGGGCGAGGATGTCTCGTCGAAGGCGGAAAATCCCCTGGGAACTCCGAGCCGTGATCGTAGTGTTATCCGTCGCGTTGTTACCAGGAGGGGGAATCTCTTTGTAAGGCTGCACAGGGGAGTAGATGCTGTTCCGGATCTCTATTTACTAACATTTCAACAGCCGAAAACGAAAGGATTCGCCCGTATTCGAGCCGCTCTAGCGGAAGAAAGCGCCCCAGTCGAGGCCGAAATCTGCAGAGAGGCAGAAGTCGTCCGCCAGGTCCTCGAGAGCGATGTACCCTACGAGCGCGGACCGACCGCCATCCCCCCGCTCTCTGCCCCTACCACCACCAACTCCTCTCCGTCCCTCAAGCCCCAAGACGACATGGACGATATGATCACTGACTCGGGCCTCGGTATATCCTCCACGTCTCGCCTGCAACAACAGCAACAACAACAACAACCACCCCCTCTCAAGGGCCTTCTCCCCAGCGCCCGCCTCCCCTGGGACGCTGCCGCTGCCGAGCCCACAAGCAACACCTCAAGCGCCTACACCACGCCACCACTCCCGCCCTTCCGACCCCGCGGCTCCTCCACCATCAGCGAAGACATGTCCATGGATTCCCAAAGCGGTCCCTTCTCCTCCTCCACCCAACCGCAACCGCCCTCGGCCGCCGAAATCACCCGCCGCATCAACAACAAGCGCCGCCGCGACGACGACCTCGACCCCGTAGCCCTCAAGCGCCGCGCCGTGAGCCCCAGCGTCAGCGTGCACAACTCGCCCGTCATGCAGAGCCCCATGCAGCGCGACGCGGCGCCGTGGGGGTCCAGACCCGGGAGTAATTGCGGTGATAGGGGCGGAAGCAGCGCGGCGAGCGATTCGGGGAGCATAGGCGGAACGCCGGGGAGTGTGTCTGTTGGGGCGACGGGGAGGATTGGTGGTGGGGGGAAGGGGAGGGTTGGGTTTCAGGGGATGGTGGATACGAGTGATGGGATGATGAGGATGAGTATTGAGTAGGGAGGGGGACTGTCGCTCCTCATTTCTTTCTCTACTGTTGTCCATTCCTGTGTTGAATCTTTTTCATTTGTCTATCCTCCCCCGCTCCTTCTCTCCTTTTACTGCTACTATTCTAACATTCGCATTTTGATTTTATCTGGGAGGCGAAGCAATATGGGGGATTTGGATCTATCTAGGAGTACTTTAGACGGCTGCATTATATTGGCGTTCGTTTCGTTTCTTCCTTTCTCTTCTTATTTTTCTTTTTGCTCTTTTGTCAAAATCTGGTCAGATCGGAAAACTTCTTCCTTTTTTAAAAACAAATCAGTTCAGGAAGGATTCTTAGAACTCTCGGATATACTCAGATCGTAACGTAATTTCGACATCTAATTTTTTTTACAATGAGAATGTTGTGTGTACTCGTGCTATGTCTTGATCAAGATGGGTAGAAGAGCCGCGGCTGTCTAAAGGTCTTTGATACTCTCTCAACGATCATTTTCGAGTCTGTTGGCCATGGAGACAAGTCTGGCCCTGAAAAGCAGCCGGCCACCATGGTCGACGTTTCTTCCCCCCTTGTGGATAGCATCTAAATTTTCAACGTCGCCCCAAGAATCCCCCGGCATCACCTCCATTCGTTTCCACTCTCTCGCAAGCGCATACACAGACATGTATGAGAACGAGCCCAACCCTCACCCATCCATCCCCACGATAAAGTAAATCCACCCCCCCTTTCACCTTCAATCCGCCCCAACCGCATCCAAAGGAACCCTCAAGCCGCCCAACCTCTCATCCAAAACCCTCGCAACCTCCTCCGCCGCCTTCCTAACAACCAAAACCCCTTGCGCCCTCACGCTCCCCACGCTGCCCACACTACTCGCCGCGCCTCCGCTAATAACACTATCCCCGTCATCCGGACTCCCCACCACGCTCCCCCCTCCTCCTCCTCCCCCCGCAAGCTGGTGGTGGTGATGGTGCTCCTCCCTACCCCCCAAGCTCACAATCTCATCCCCCGGCGGCCCAACACAAACCAACAAAAGCCCACATCTCAACCTCCGAATAACAACCACCCCGCCCGCCAACTGCACCGTAACAGCCACAGCCTCCGACTCCTCCTCCCTCTCCCCATCCGATCCATCACCTTCCTCCTCCCCCTCTTCTTCGTCGTCGTCGCCGTCCTGGTCACGATCGGTGGGCGATGCGCTGAGAGCGTGGGGTACTAGGCTCGCGCATCCCGTGTGCATGGCGACGAGGGATGAGGCCACGGTCGCTTGGGCGCGCAGCTCGGAGGCGGGTTTGAGGGGTCGGGAGGCGTGGGCTAGGAGGTTGCCTGTGGGGGTGGTGAGGAGGAGGGTGTGTGATGAGGGGGAGAGGCGGGTTGTGAGGAAGGTTGTGAGGCGTTTGGTTAGGAGGAGAGGGGGTGTTTGTGGTTGGGCCATTGTTGGCGGGTAGAGTTCCCTTTTGGCCTTTTGAGATGAGGTTTTTATTTTTATTTTCGGTTGCTGTGTTGGATGGTGGTGCTGGTTTGCCGGATTCTTTTTCTTCGTCGCAGAGAATATGGAGCGGAGGGTTTGTGATATAATTAATTCTGGATTATTGACTGAGCTTTGAGATGAGATTGGACTTGAGCTTGGAGGGGAGGAGAAAGCTCGGCGAGGTTTGTTTCCTTATCGCAGTCTACTTCGTAAACTACAAGGCTACAAAAACAAGGGCAAACAGGGGCAAACAAGGGTGGGCGTGGCCCGCTTTTCAGGTACAGTCGATTGTACCGAGTACTTTGTAAATCGTCGCTTGACGTCAATTGATCTTTCGCTTAGTCCGCTCAGTCCAACACCAACATCGATGCGACCTTCCTCCTCCTCGACAGCGTTGTACTCCATGTACTTCATGTACTTCACCTCGTATGTTCCGAGGCGCATTCAAATTGTCGAGAAAAATGTGCGACCTCTTTGACCTGTGTCTTCTCATCTCGATCTCATAAGTCTTCACGCATGTCTGTTCATTTCACTTCCCTCCATCGCCGCCCCAAGAAACCCGGGCGTATGACGGCATTCTCTACCCATTATGACCAAATCATTCCCTCTCTTTCCTCGCCTCCCATTCGAACTCCGCACTACAATATGGGAAGCCGCCATCTCAGACGTGAAGCAAGTCCTCGAGGCCTACGTCGTCGAACAAGACCACGACGGCCACGCCGACTGTATAGCCTTTCTACTTGACAGGGACGCGGACGGCAACCTACGTAGTCCTTACCCAGGCCCCCTCGCGAACTGTGTAATAGTTCGTCGTCTGCTCGTCTTCCCCTACGCAGCCTCAGGCCAAATCCCGCCTCCCGCCGTCCTCTCTGTATCTCGCGAGGCTCGCCACGTCGGTCTCCAGTATGGTTCCGTTTCTCATCTCTGGCTCGATAGACGTCACGAGAAACCTCACCCCGTGCGTCTCTCTTCCGGCCTCGAAAACACCATCGTCTTCATACCCAACTTTGAAAAATTCGCCAAGTACGGCCCACGAAAGAAACCACCCCTCGAAAACCCCGAGCACCTCACACCCATCCGCCACCTCGCCCTCGAATGGTCCTTCTTCCCCTCCGGTAGCCCCCCGCCTGGATGCCCCGTAGAAGTGCACAGGTTCTTTTGGAAAGCCAGAATCTACATTTTGTACTCATCCTGCCCGAACCTCACGGACATCTACTGTTGTGTGCCCGGCCTGCGTCGCCCGTCCGCGGGTTCCGCGGCCGAAGTCGACCTGCACTCCGAGGAGCCTCCTGGCTGTGCTGGACTCCCCATACGTCTTGAGCCCATGGATCCGGAACGCGCGTTCCCGTCGTGCAGGTGTGCCTCCCAGCAGTGCACTTGGCCTAATATCGAAGCCGAAATCGATGAGGTTTTCGCTTCTGAATGGCTGAGGGCTTCTGTGCAGAGTGGTGAATTCGGGGGCAGTGGCTTTACGTTCCCGCCGCGTGTGCATGGATGTATGTTGCTACGTGAAGGTTTGGATCTTGAAAAGGTCAAGAAGGAGAAAACTCGCTATGGCTGCTACGGCTCGGAAATAGAGGAAGATTTTTGAGCTGGTCGCGCCATGGGGGGTGATCCACCTACAGTCTTCGCGGGGGCAGGTACCTTGAGACGAACGATACCCAGAAATGAAGTATTGGGGATCCTTCCTTCAGCTTTGTTGGAGATATCAAGCTGAGAGCAGCCAGTCTTTAGGGCAGAATATAGGACCGCCAAGGTGTTCAATAGTCGGGAAAACGTTGCCAGTGAAGAAAGGAGACGGAAATGTGGAGGCGGATGGTGATTGGAAATCTAGAGCGGTCATAAGCCCTATCAACTTGATGATCTCCACTCGGTCACCCAAGAGTTCTTCAGATTTCGAAACAACACAATCACCGTGACTTCATTTCTTATGTCGGTTCCTCTATTTACCACAAGATAAAAAATATACACGCTCTCCTCCTCGAGGAGACTGAATGGTAAGTATATACACATCCCATCCCAGAACCATTAGCCACAGTAAATGTGCAAGTAAGCCTCTTTATTCATGCCCCCCCCCCCCCCCCCCCCCCCCCCCCCCAAAGAAACTCCTTTCGGGTTTGTTTGCTCCCGTTCCGTGCCGAATCCCAGATACCTCAAGTGATAAATGTGAGAAAATGCCAAATATAAAACCTCCGTACTAGATCAATCCTCCACACACTCTCACATGGACACTTCATGGCCCGGCCTGCCTAGCGGCGTCTGCTCCTTTGGCTTCTCTGCGAGGTCTCCGAACGCTTCCAAACTATTCCCCATCACCTTTACTACTTCGAAAAGGTGGGCGCCTCGGAACGTCTCCGCCCACATCCTCACCACTGCAGCGGCAAGCAGCCGTAACCTCATGCTGTCATTGGCCGGTCCTCCTGGACCGCTTGCATCAACAGGCACGGCGAATTCCGTCTCGTCCACCATTCGCCAAACCGTATCCAATATCGTCCTTTCCTCTACAGTCGGGGGTGGGTCATTATGGCTTAATGAGGAGAGCATTAGAAGCCACTTGGATATTAATATCGCGCACTCAAAGTTGGATACTATTGACCAAGTGAAGTCAGCATCAAAGCGCAACAGCTAAGGGGGAAGAAGGGGATTGGAGTGCAACATACACGAGTGCTGGATACTTCTTTCCCACGAACTGGCTCTCGCTACATAATTTACGCCTGTTTTCACTAACCGTGACAAGGCATGTAAGGCCTGGATCAAGGCGCGATGAAGCTTGATGTCTCGCGGAGGAGTCGTCCTCTCATCGGCTAAGGCCACAGCCATAGCAGTGTGGTCTCTCGCCTCAAGACCTCGGCTCGGAAACATATCAGAGCAAAGTCGAATGTACGCCATCCGCAAGACGCCGGTAGAATTGTTCGCTATCGGCCCTCCGGGAAAGCTGTCGCCTAACACGAATCCGCTTTGGGCCCGAGCGGCCGCGCGCATTTGATTCCCTTGCTCAAAAGCCATTTGCCACATACGAAGCGCGTGCGTCACCTCTTCGACATCATCTGGGCGTATCGTGGGGTGTCCACTTGGCGCATGTGGAAGTGATAGAGATGTCTGCTTCAGGAGAAAAATCTGTTGCATCAACGCATGGATAAGAACATGACTCCCAAGTGACGATATATGTGGGGGCAGCCCCTGTTGTGGCCTGGCAAACAGTCTCGAGAGCGCTTCGTGCACTGTCATATCCACAATGACTATGGCTTGTCGGGCTTCCTGCCATTGCCACGCTGTCTCAGCCCTCCATAGCCGTGAGGGCTGCGAGAGGTAGAAATTAAGCTCCGCCGTTAAAATCGAAGGCGGTCCGTTGTAGGCGATGCTGCATAGATTGAAGTAACAGTACGCCACTGATTTCGTTCTGACAAGACCCTCAATGCGTATCCAACTCTCCCAGTCCGGAGCAGCAGACTGACTCATGTTGCCCAACGATCTTGTCTCTTCGCGTAGAAGCATTGCGACGCGGCTTTGAAGCGATAAGGATTCGCGTAAGACCGCCTTCGGACCCCAGAGACCAACGATGAAGAGAAGCAACACCGCTTGAAGGGTTTCTAGTCGCGACTGGGGAGTGCCAGGGGAGCTACAGTCGCGGGGCCACCACGCAATCAGCACACAGATTCCGCACATGGTTAGCTACCAGGAAGGGTACGAAGTGATGGGACTTACAATGGCTCTCTATGGGCATCTCGCGCCGTGGGTCGGTCCTGGGAGGTCGACGAGAAGTGGTGCCTGTATCCGGCGTTCGGTGAAGGCCGTCTCGAGTTCGGGCTATATGCAGCGGCTGTCGGCAGTAACGCATACACTTCATTCGAATTCCTTCTCCGGATTTGCTCTAGTGCAATCGATCTAGACGCATACCACAGCCCGTAAGCTCGATTATTCTCGAAACGGTAGATCGCCCCAACGGCCATGATCGCGAGTAGCAGCTCAGGTGCTACTTCCGAAAGGGATAGCGTCGGTAGATGTAGGAAAGGAAGACGTTCGTGGAATCCGGAGATGTATCCTTCCACAAATCGTATCAGGGTATGCCGTGAGGGAAAGACAAAGTCGTTCGGTAATATGGAGGAGAACTCGTCAATTCGCCCCTTCAGAACGGTATGGTCCCCTGGAGATATTCGGAGCCGCGGCGTTCTCGAAGAGTCGTCAGCGAATCGGGACGACGAGCCTTCACTGTCCTGTTGAGAGGTGGACAAGACGGATGCAAACTGAGATCCGGCTTTGGGAGTGCCATCTTTGCTTGACCAAGCCCCATGCTGTTGTTCTGAGTCAAAAGGCGGTGGCAGAAAGTGAGACGATACCGTAAGCTCGTCGAAAAAGCTGTACTCGTCGAACATGGACGCTGTTTGCGACACGAAGCCAGCCGAAAGAATCGCCGGTTCCTCCCGTGGCCTCGTAGAATAAGATGCCTCAGCTACCGGATGCTCTTCGTATCCTCGGTGTGTTAACCTAGGGGCGCCGGTCGGTTGTGGCCCATGTGACAGGTCGGAGGTCATCATGCCTTGCATAGGGTTAACCTCGCTCGCGAGCGCTGCATCAGACAACAGATCCAAGTTACATGGCGCATTCCGCGGCTGCTGGACGCGGACATCCTGAGGTATGTTCGGCGCCGATGCGGACGCAATCGGCTCCGCAAGGTACGGCTGAGGAGCGCCGGACGGGTGCATGCTGAGCACCTCCCTATCGGAGCGTCTATCAGGAGTGTGTCCGGACACTGGTGAAACTACCGTTGATGAGGAGGGCTTCCTCGGCCGGCTCGCGTCTTTATTGCCATCGTTGAGGTGAACGAGCTTCTCGTGCCGCACAAGGAGATCGCTAATGTCCATATAAGCATACTTTCATTGAGATTGGTGATTTTTTTTTAAAAGGTGATGGCCGAAAGGAGCGAACTAGGGTGTCGGGCTGAAACTCTTTGTGCGAACTTGACAAGAAATAAACAAACACACGAGGATGAATTTATATTGGGCTACAAAAGTGATGGATGGTGGATGGGACGAGGGGGAAAAGGAAGTGAACTAGCAAGGAAAGGGCGGAAATTGAGCGCACGGGGAAATGTGTAAGAAGTAGTGGTAGTGAGAGGTGTAGGGCGGACTTAATGAGTGGGCGACAGATGCGTGTGTGAGTGTCCGGGTTCCGGGTCGGCACATGATAAATCAAAGGTTATCCCAAAAGGGCCACAGCATGAAAGAAATATGAGTAGCACTCACCGTCTACCAAAGGTTTTTCCACAACCGTCCCAAGCGCATGCGAAAGGCTTCTCCTTAGTATGAGTCCTCTCATGCCTCTGAACGTGCTCTACACGCCTAAGTCGATGAAGTTGATGGGTCAGTAAAGTGTCGAACGAGCCTGAGCGAATGTGCTGACGGGAATTCACAGTTGTCCTCACCTGAAGCGCTTGTTGCAATATTTGCAGGGCAGGGTTTTTGGCTTAAGATGTCGGCTTTCACCATTCTCGTCTGTGCCGGCTGAGACGGGAGTAGCTGTGATAGAGCCATTGGAGGTTACCGGATGATGCATCGGGGCGGAAACTGGGAGGATGGGCGCCATAAGTGGAGTTGAGCCTTCTATGGACTGGAGTGGCATCATTAGGTAGAATTAGTGCTGAAGCAAAAAAGTCACAGTCACACAGTGACGACACACAGGGGTGGGGGGAAGGTCAAAGAGACTGTGGCTGACGGCGTGTAAGAGGGGAAATAGGGCGTGGGTGGTGGTCGTAGTAGAATGAGGAGTTTGTGGGGTGAATATGGGTTATGAAGGATGAATGCCGTCTGCACGATAGAGAATCCGGGGGGGAAAGGGAATATGCTTGATTCCCTCCTGATACCCCTCAATCCCCCCCTCCTCTCCTTGTTGGCGGGAGAAGGGCGGTCTGGCGAGCGGTAGACTGGACGTGCTCTATCGGCTAGCTAAGCCCGACAATAACCAACGACAGGAGCTTGGGCAAGCGCGGGTTGAAAGACGTGAGGCGGGCGTCGATGAAGTTCTCAGAGGTCGGGATATGGAATCGGTTTCGGAGATGAACCTCTCTCGTCAAGACAAAATCGCTTGGAACCTCGAGGTCAAAACCCGTCGTTTGAGCTCGTGGATGTTAGGTGTCGCTGGTGTCAAGTGACGGGAAACGGTGTTCCTCGAATCAATCGCCCGAAAATTTTTCCACCTCAAATTTGTGAGGCGTGAAGAGGGGGACAGGCTCAATCACCCATGTGAGAAGAGTTACGGCATGCAAGGGTATGAGTACAATAACGAAAACCAACTTGGATAAATGGTGATAGTAGAGGGGGGAAAAACAGAAGAAGAAAAAAAAAAAGGAGCATCAGTAGGGGGGGTGAGAAAGTGAAAGGCGGGGAATCAGTAGACGGAGAGAGATGGGGAAGGGGAAGAGAAAGTCACCAAAGCGAGGACAGTGGGAGCGGAGAAAGTGAGAGTGACAGGGCAAGCTCCAACTCAGTGGGAGTAGCCGCGAGTTAGAGTAAAAGTTGCCTCTCGAGCCCAGCCTCGCCGCCCGAGCCACCAAAAGGGTACCTAAGCAAGGGTCACCACCACCTCCACAAGTTTGAGGTATAAATCCGGAGGGTCTGCCGCGCTCTCTCCCACTCTCACACACTCTCTCACACGTATACCTGTATAGGGCTTGACGTAAGGCTCTTGTGGGATGCCACCAGCTTGGAGGACAGCTCCAGGTTACATGTGGAGAACAGAAACGGGAAATCCGGGGGAGAGGAGAAGATGAGATCGAAGCGAAGAATGGTGCAGGAAGTACATGTACGAAGAGCAGGAAGGGGTTTAGAACGAGGAAGTCCGATGAACGTCTCGCCTCGGGGGATTTTAGGGGTAAGGAGAGATCTATGGTGCAGAGGAGATGCAGAATCAGCAGGCAGTGTCGCACAGCTAAAGTAGTCTCGAGGTCAGCAGTGGAGGTTGCTAGTCAAGTTGTAGCGTGTGTGGATGTGTGGAGAGAGGTATCCGATACACGGCTCATTCAGGCGTAAAATGACCGTGGAGCCCCATGGGGTTCATCTCCAATGCGAGTGCGGAGAAATCAGATTTTCATAAAATAAAACGGGGTTGCATGTGGGGGAAGGGAGGGGCGCGGGCGGGGATGAGGCCAATCAGGTATAGTTCCGAGGTGCCGTTTGATGGAATGAGAGGATGGAGGAGCGAGCGAGAGAGCGAGAGAGCGAGCAAGTCAACTACACCCAACCAGGCAGGAACTCTACTTTTTTCCCTTTCCCTCTCCCCCCCTTCCTCGCTTTTGTTGTCCTTTTTTCACTCCTTTGAAAGCATCTGAACCCTCCCCCCCTGCGCCGTGTACTTTTACCACCCTTGCTTTCCCAATTGTCGGAGCCCTGGAGGGCGACGAGGAATCTAAATGCTCTTTCGCGGCAAGAACGGAAAGATCGGTACGATCGGGGGCTCTCTTGACCAGTAGCCACACCCACACCGTAGCACAGGTTTGTACAGTACATACGTACTTGCATAATAACTCCTCATGTGGCGGACTCTATTACCAACGCATTAGAGTTTGTGGGTGGTGGACTGACTCTGACAGCTTCGAGCGAGGCAGTCAGTGCAGCTTTTCCCTTGCAAACGTGGCCAATCTTCAGCGGCAGTCGAACGTTGAATGCGCCGCGGGATCTGGTACTCGTGTATTGCCTGGCAGATTACGAAGGCTGCCAGTGATTCCTGGCGTAGGTACCCTGGGGCCTGGACAAAGAGGGTACCCTAGTCGCTTGAGGTGCCATTGCGTCCAAGGAGCCGAGCTGGAAATTCCGTTCGTCCCCAATGGAGTTGCATGACACCGAGGTCGACACGTGTAAAATGGGGAAACAGCCGACCCAAGCACGCTGAGTATACAAAGGTAATAATGGATCAACGATGAGAGAGCCGCCGCCGAGCTGGAGTTAGCTTAAATCCCACCACTGGGCTGATGCTCATAACCACTCGGCTGGATGGAGAGCTGTTGCCGACCACAAGACCCGTCAATCTGCGACCTGCAGCCTGCAGCAGTGATTACCAACAGCCCCAGATCCACTAAATACAGCTTGACCCTTCGTGGGCCGACGACCTTTGACATATTTTAGCGTGGTGAGGGGGAAGAGCTGGTTTGGGATTGGGTTTAAGGCACACAGACAGGGAGAGCCTTGTTGGAGGATTCCGTGTGTGCGTCTAGCCGAGGGACGATCACGAAAAAAAGAGGAAAAAAAGATCAAAAGCTGGCGGACGCAAGGGCGGGCTTCCCCAGTCAATATTGTCCAGATGTGTATGTCGTAACAAGAGATCCAGAATAAGCTTAGATCAATAGATCTCAGAGGATGGTTATAGTTATTACAGGATGTCCGGCTGTCGCTCTCTAAGCTTTCCAAACCAAGTCGACACGGCTCGGAACCTCAAGCCGATGATGAATTGCTCTTTCCTCCGAAAACCGAAACCAGTTGAGAACGCGGGGGCACCTTCCCTCGACCGAGTCAGGGTGCAACTCGTCTGATCGATCTTGCGAGATAAACCAACGCGTCGTGCAGAAGTTTTCACGTGCAGCATCACAAGCCTAGACCGCAGACATTCTCGGATAGATGGGGTCCAGGATGAAGCAGGCGGAGTTAAGAAGCAAGGAAGGATCAGGCGTCGGACGATAGAGTACGAAGTCTTTCTCGTACCTTCCTGGGATCCAAGATGAAGGAAGTAGTGTACTTCGTATGAGGTACGAAGTAGGAAGTACAATTGGAATTATACTTTCCAATTGTTCCAGGCTCGTGGGGTAACCGACGACCCATTTCTAGCCCCAAGCCGTCCCTAAAACCCCACACCTTCCCAGAAAGTTTAAGGGCGAGAAACCCCTGTGGGGCATCGCGTTGAGTACAAGTACTTCGTGCATGCATTCGACCGAGTACGAAGTAGTGTACACTAGTATATTGTAATGTCGGAGTGTACGAATAACTTGGTACTGTTTGCTGCTGTTTTGCATTGAGGTCGGCGAGCTCTTCTAGATATGAAGGACAGCGATTGAGGATTGCACTCGGCTCCGAAATGCTGAGGAAGTCGCTGTTTTAAGACGGAGGAACACCAAGGGCTGGTCTGGGGGCTAATTGGGGAAGCACATGCTCACTGGACTGTTCTGGACGACAATGACAGCACCAGGCTTCACCTCGCGATTCTCCTCCAAGTCTTCTCCACTTTCCGCGATCAAATATTGTTGGGGATCCTGTCTCTTATTTTCTCTCGGCTTTCCCTTTCCATTTATGCGTTATGTGTGCGCTGACAGAACTAAGGGCCGCCGTCCAAACCTGGAAACGGGAGAACCACTGATCTCTTTTTGCGCTCGACCTCACCCATGATCACTTGATCACTGTTCCCAATCTTCCGGTACGTACCCGAGGCACTCGGCGAGAAGTCCAGAAATGCATCAATGGGAAGCAAGACTTTCGAGACGATGGGTCTCTCAACGGACCCCCTCCATCATATCTATCTTCCACCGGGAGTTTTTCGAGAAGAGGTTCAGGAGCTTTATCTCAGATTATCTCGGGAAGGAGAGGGAAAACATGGCGCTCTGGTACCGAGGCCTGATTGGTATTCTGCCCGCTTCATTGCCCATCCTGGGGGACAAAAGATGTCGATCGAGAAAGTTCCGTTTCGTTTTCTTCCGTGCATCGTTTATTAATTCACTTTCATCCCACCACTCCGCGCGAAAAGTACGCATTCTGGAAGCCTTTCTAGATCAATCTTCGCCGTCCCCCCTTGAAGACGATACCATCGTTCTTCCCTTCCCCGCTCGGAAACGAAGGGCGACAAGAAGAAGCCTGCGATTTGGCCAATCTAATGATGAGGTTAT